ATGAATTTGGCATGACGGTGATTGGGATATGTGACCGTGGTGCAAGACTTGACCGCCCGAGGCATCCCCGAGACGACGGTTGTCCAAACATGTCTTCCGCGCTCATACAGATTGGTCATTTCCTACATGTTCTCAACTTCTCATGCATCACCGTCACCTCCATATCTCCATGCATCACCATCACCTCCATATCTCCAAGCTTCTCTCTCACTCCATTTCCAACACCATCATAATCTCGTTATCGAGGCCGATGAATTTGACATGGCGGTGATTGGGATGTGTGACCGTGGTGCAAGACAAACAGATCTTTGACCACCCGACCAAGCACTCCGAGGCATCCCCGAGACGTGGCCCAAACCTGTCCGCCAGACTTTCGCGCCGAGTCTCATACAGATTGGTCATCTCCTACGTGTTCTCATTCAAAATCAATCATAATGCATAATTCCCATCATGCATCACCACTCAAGCAGGCTTGACAGTGTTAGGCAGTAGAACGTCTGTACATGCAAATGACAGAGTCTCCAACTCATTATTACTTAAATAAAGTATTCCCATGATTTTATAGGCCAGCCAAAGACTCCAGTGTGCACGTATGATGGTCACCGGTTCAGCATTCACCGGTTATGGCATAAACTTGTTCTTCACAGCGTCTGACATTCCCTAGGAGGGCATGGAGTTCATCGTTCATCCATGAGGTTCAGTGGTTCAATAGCGCACTCGACAGATCCTATACATCTGCCAAGACGAAAGCGTAATGCCAGCGTGACACTGCTCTTCATGCAATCAAACCTCTTCAGCATGTAAAACTGACGGTTCATAATTCTAGCGAGTCTCTTTATCATAACCACTTCTTCTAGCCTCACGAGCCTCGATCACCAGTACTGTCCTCCGTCCGTAAAGCACAATACTTTCAGACCTTTAACCTTACTGCGCGACGAGGTCAAGTCAAGCACGTCAGCAAAGCGGGAGAGACGTAGAAAGAGAACCGCTATTACACAAATTCACCAACATCCCTCCAAACGGACGCCTGTGCAGTACCACCATGACGCACTTTAGGAAGGTGGGCAACTCCACGATAATGCCCACAGACTGACTCAACCAGAACCAGCTCCCTCGATAGCAACAATTTATGGTGTTAAATGGCACAATGGTATATCAAGATAAGTCACTCGCAATGACTTTATGGAACTGACCTTCATCAGAGATACGATTGAATGGGTCCCGAAAGTGCTCCTACATTCCAAGAATTCATGGTCGAGGAATACATTACTTCTACACAACTCGTTCGCAGATGCGAATGGCGCCATCACCTCCCCTTCGTAGGCCAGTTTCCTGCTCTTAATCTGTTGATGCGTCGCCACCAGTACTACTTGACCCGCGCCGTTGGAATTTCAAGTCACTCCCTGTAACAATCGCTGAGCAGTGTCGACTCAGCTGTTACTCCTTGTCACAATGAAGATATGAGCGCTAGTCATCACTGATATTTGTCCCTTCTGATACTATTCAATTTGCAGAGATACAGTATTGCTGCTGGGTCCGATACAGAAGCGGCTGCAGCTGTGCAAGATTCAACTGATGAGCGGGGACACGCGTACTATCTAGGACAATCAACACAAACGCAAAGCTCATCTGGTGGAGCGGGAGAAACTTTTTACAAAGTTGGCTGCTGCGATTCGGTCGTCCTTGGCTGATGTCGCGAAACTGTCTCTTGCGCTCTTACTAAGGATTATCTTACACCTTGTGCCTGCGTATATATTGTATCTACATGAATGCCATATAGCAACCCGCTCTCATTTGGAGTCTATCGATATCACTGCTGATTATTGTGAGCAAAATTTCTAACCCCGCAGACTCGTCGATCGTACATGCAATTAATTTCAATGCCACAACACATCGAGCACAAAAATTACAATGAATATCTATAAACATGAACATACTCTGTGACAATACGGTACCCCCTATCCACGCACTCACTTTTAATCTTCATCCTCCACCGCTATCATCATCATCATCATCAAAGCTCGTTGTCGTACCGCCTGCACGAATGAAGGAGATGCAAATATCTATAGTATAAACATACAATACCATTTACGCCTCACACACTTGGAGTCAGAGCCTATTCTTCATCTTTCAAACCCAGCCAGAGGACGTCAAAAGCGGACAACGGTAGCTGCTACCAATTCCAATCGTCGTCTTCGAAACTCGGCGCAGTTCCTCCTTTGGCGGGTGCGAGTGAATCGGGTGTTTGGTGTACTGATGCGGACGCAGAGGTAGGCGTAAGCACAGATGGCATCAAAACCCTCCCAGCATTCACCGTATTCTCATCTTCCTCATCTTCCAGCCAACTATTTGTGCGCGGGATAGGGGCATGAGTTTTGGTGCGAGTGTGCAGGTACGTGGAGTGCGTCGATGGAGAGCTAGCGTTTGATGATGGTGTGTGTGGGGAGGAGGAAGCGGAAGCGCTCGGTAAGGTTCCGTGTAGGGAGGTGGTGCCGCTTGAGGATGTGCGGAGGGATGAGGGGAATGGGAAAAGGGAAGGTGTTGATGTTTGCATTGATGTGGGAACGGGTGCGGGTGAGGTTGCTACTGGGCCTGGGGTTAATGCTGATACAATGGATTGAGAGACGTCTGCGAGGAGGATGGAAGCTCGCTTTTGGCTTTTGGAGAATCTGCGATGAGTGTTAGTTTGTGAATGTGATCGGAGGAGAGACATTGATAGTGAATGCACCAAACTGAAAGCGGGAAGAGAATATTACTCACACATCACCTCCAAGCTTGCGACCGACATTTCCCCACCCACCACCTCCGGCGGGCGATCCGGCGCCAGTCGATGTAGGCAGTACTACGGAGGAGCGTTTGCTAAGGAGTGTATTTGTGCTTGGTGAAGACCCTGCACCATCTGCATCGAATTCTGAAGCCCCCGCTCTAACGGACGTGTCTATTCCCGGATTGATCGTACCCCGAACGGCCTCTGTAGTCGAGTCGAGTTCCACGCTGCCTCGCCCGAGGTCCACACTGGTACTCGTACTATTATAAGAACTGGCATGCCTCATAAATGCAGTCGGTGGATGCGAAAGATCGCGCGATCTCCTACGAAAGACTTTTTCCTGTCTCGCTCTTGATGCTTCCCTTTCTCGTGTTTGATTCGTGAAATGTCGTTCCGCGCCGCTACTAGAAGAAAGGGAAATGTCTTCGTCCCAGACAGATGACACGGAACTCCTCGAGAATTGTGTCCTCCCTGAACGCGCTGACGTTGAGGTTGACGAGTCGCTCACACGCTGCGTGTGACGCCTCGGGACCCCTGCTGTTTCTTCTGTGTCTGTTGGGGGAGCTGGTGAGGGAATTGGAGAAGAAAGGTCACTTAGGTCGCTCAGACCTGCTGCGAGTAATCTTACGCCTTCTTTGAGGCCACCTACGACTGAAGCAGTGGGTGTGGACAAGGGAAGGGTGGGATGGGGTGGTTCGCGGTTGACGATGCGCTCCCATTTTCGTTTGACTAGGAAACGAGAGAGGGTCAGTTCGCTCTGACGAGGAATTGAGGCATATGTGATGGCGGATATAGTGCGGAACGACGGCACCGAGAAAGAAGGACAAAATGAAACATCAGAAAGGGACTCACGTTCTCCTAGATCCCCTTCAACAGCAGCCAGTTGACCAGACAGCTCGAGGCGTCTACTCTCGGCGGCTGCAATTTCGCGGAGGAGGTCGGCGTGCCTGAGATTTAGGTTCCGTTGACATCAATATAGGTATGCAGGGATCTGGACGTACTTCTCAGCTAAGGTCAGTGCAGCTCTCTCTACACCCCCACTGGCACTAGCACTCCCAACGGACAGACGCGTGCGGGCTTCCCCGACTGCATTTAATCCGCGCAACTCCTCGAGTCCTACCATAGTATGCCTCTTCATCGAGCGCGAGGTCCTTTTGCGTCCTTCGAATAGACCTCCCGCTCCGTGTACCGTATCCGTTGCTATCGAGGCATCAGCCACGGTTGGAGACGTGGATGTCCCATGTCTCGAGAACACATCGACGCGGGAAGATATGTAGGAGATGGAAGATTGCCTGCGGGTAGCTTTGAGGGCTTTTGTCGCGTCGTTGGGGGATACGCCTCGTGCGTGGGCACTCGAGGATGGTGTGCTGCGACTTGGAGGGGGAGAATAGGGCGGGGAAGGGAGAGAACTCGCTGCTGTTGACGAGCTGGAAGTGTTCAAGAGAGTCAGGTGTTTAGTGCCATTACTATGGTCCATATTCATAGTCGTGGATGACTTGGTTTTTTAGATGGTGTTGACGGTTGAAGACATGGACGAGAGAACGATGTTGTCACACAAGATAAATATCGAGCAGTTGCAAAGCAACAGTCACTTTGGAATCATATTTATCAACCGAAAAGGAAACTCTCCGCATAGCGAGATGAGAGCGAGAAAAATCTCTATTTCCAGAGGTCACTGGCTGGTATGTCTTATCAAGGTAACTACATGTTGGCCGCTTCGCATTGTATATTAATACGAGAACCCAAATCAATGATGCGCTACCCCGCCCTCCTTCTCGGCTTCTGCAATAAAGTTCTTGATACTGTTCATCCTGGTCAGTCCGTGCTGCAGCACGAGTTGTTAGGGTCTTATAGAACACATACAATTGTTCCTCTTCACTATAGACCGCACAGTTAGTCTGTGTCTGCAAGCAAGTGAGAATGAGAATAAACGCACCTGGACCCAGCATTTATGGGTACAGCCTCCTTCACGCGCTCTGCAAGAGGTTTGCCTGAAGATGCAGAATCTTTCTTTCCACCAAGGGATGCATACACGGCACCACCGGTCGCGAAGAGCGTACCCAACGTGAGGTACTCGGTTTTAATGGCGCGGCCAAAGATGACGCTACCAACATTCCAGTCAGTGGGTCAGTAGCTAGTGAATGAGATATGCACACGCACTAAGACATGTCGATTTTCGGAAGTGGAGGAAGAGGTTGAAGCAGAAGTGAAGTACTAGCCCGGATTTTCCCGGATTGGCAATTTGCCGACTAGCCCAACCTCCGACACACTCCCAAAACTTGCATTTTCAAATACTACTCTCCCTAGCTAAGGCATATCGTCGTACTAAGGTAAAGCCGTGATGCACAGGACGCTATCAACAGTCGCGCGTGGAACAGCGTTCGAGCAACGGTCGCTTCAATTACTTCAAGAATGTTTCTCCATGTCCCTCAAACGCGTCGGTGGCAAATCTGATGGCGGCATCGACTTGTTGGGCTGGTGGTGGCTTCCCCTTAGCTCAGTTTCACAGCCTACGCCGATCACACCTCCACGTAGACGCATACGCGTCCTTGCGCAATGTAAAGCAGAGAAGAAGAAATTCTCGCCAAACTACGTTCGCGAGATGGAAGGCGTATGGCATATGCACGCTCAAGACCGCTCCCCTTCCGAATCTAACATACGCGTGTCTGAACTGGGTACAGTAGCGCTTCTCCTTTCAGAGTCAAAATTCACCACCGCAACCCTCACCCGTGCACTTGGATCCAGCGTTCCCTTTCTACTCATGCACCTCCCTCCCCCTCTGCCGGTTTCTTCAGATTCACCCGTTGAAACCACCCTCGGAGAAGTTGGCTCTGCTTTCTGGAATCCCGCTCTGGGTGGTGCGCAAGGTCTTCTTCGAGGAGAACTCGATGTTCGATGGGAACGTGACCCGGGAGGTGGTGGGCGGCCTGGGTTGTGGTGTCGTGACAAAAGGGTGCAAAACTGGACGCCGGATGCACATGGGGAGTATGTTAACACTTCCGAGGATATCAATCGGTGACTAGGATGGTTATCCGTCTATGGATGACCCGACTCGGGAGTTGAGTGTCACGCTACCATTGTATGTGTGTATACCACGTATTCCTCTCTGCTTTTGTCACACTCCCTGAAGGTGCCGACTGGGCGTGTAACTGCGTTTGCATGTTCATTTCTTTAGCGCTCGCCGACGGATTTGGTGCAAGTGGTGATATGTAAGACGGAACCAACCGAGGTTCATCACAGGCATTCTAAACAAGGTACCTGCACCCACAGCATGTAAATTTGAGCGTTTAGCAGGTTCATTCATCACCTCCATCATATCTTCCCCTCGGTTCTTATTATCTCAGGGTTTACTGTCTACCTCTCTGTGAAGCACGCCGTTCTCAATCAGGGTTATGCCCCACGAAGAGGCTGAGTCAAGCACGTCAGCCAGAGGAAGAGAAGCGCCGTTAGGCTCATCAGCACGTATTACACCTCTAGCGGGAGAGAAGGATCCACCGCCATATGGTGCACAGCATCGGCAAGATGCTCTTTGGAAAGGTGGGCAAATCGTATTAGGATGGCCATTGACTTACTTAACAAGAAGCAGGCGGGAATGAAGCGCTCCCTCCTGAATGGCAACAGTGTCAGGTGTTAGATGGTATATACTATCAAGACGACACGGTCAGCATAGTTTCATGGAACCGACCTTTACCCGGAGTGCGTCTAGGTGAGCGAAGAACGTCCCACCGGGAGCGAGGAACTCATGACAAAGCATAGATGATCCTGGAGATCTTGCTGTTAGTGGATGCGAACGGCACATCTCACCACTCGGTCGGTCTTACTTCGTCAACCACAGCACTCGGACCACGTCCTGGAAGAAACCGACATTAGAACGGCCGGCTGGGAGCTTGATGCCGGAGTGCATCATCGAGGGTCACTCCCACTGCATATGGAGTCTTGCCTGCGTGGGCACCAGTTGCAATGTACTGAGCGCGTCGGGCGACGGTTCGATTCGCCAGTGGAAAAGAGACGGGGAATCAGTAGGAAAACCTTTGGATAGCCATGGGATGCCGATAGGTTCTATGGCTGTATCTCCAGATGAAACTATGGTTGTGAGCGGAAGTACAGACGGCAGACTAAGGCTGTGGAACATAAAGAAAGGTTGTATGGTTGGCGATCCGTGGGAGGGCCACAATGGCCAGGTGATGTGCCTCGATTGGTCTCCCAATGCGCTGGAGATAGCAAGTGGATCGACCGACGGCACCATACGACGCTGGAACCCGGATACCGGCCAACAAATTGCATCACCGATAGAGACCGGTCACTGTTGGGTCTATACTGTCAAATACTCTCCACAAGGTAACAAATTCGCGAGCGGCGGGGAGGACAGAATGATTCGTGTGTGGTCAAAGAACGGGGAGCTACTTATGGAGATCAAGGGACATGAAAACGTCGTGACGTCGTCGTGTTGGTCCAGGGATGGCGCATATATTTTCTCGGCGTCGTATGATTGCACCATCCGAAAATGGCGGTCGATTGGTGGGAAGGAGCTCGTTGTTTTCAAGGGTCATGACAATATCGTCCACTCTCTCTGTCTTTCCCCTGATCAAAGCCATCTTGTCAGCGCATCGACCGATTACTCTGTTCGCATCTGGGACCTCAAGACCAATCAGCCAGTCGGAGACCCACTCTTGCATGACGACAGACTTTTGACTGTTGTCATGTCCTCCGATGGCAAATATATTGCCAGCGCTGGATTAGACGCAAAGGTCTATATATGGAGTATGGAAGCAGCGCTCAAAAGATGTCCAATCCGACCGCGAGATGTGCGCTCATCAGTTGTGAACTCTATTCTTCGCTGATTTGTGTTGTTAGACCTTTCCCTCGCATCCAATTGTCTCAAAACAGCTCGTGAACAATAGAGGCGTGGGGAGATATGTTAGTATTATTTTTCGATTCTTAGCTTTGGCTAACGTTCATTTGATACAGGGCAATGATTTCTTTGGTAACGATACAAATAATGGGCCAGCTCCTCCTGCAAGCGCGTCGTCTCTCCTTCGTCGTTTGCTCAGTTCCCCACGTGTCCGCGTGCGACCTCCAAATTCGCTTCAATCAACACCACGCGAGCCCCGACGTTGGAATTTCAACTTATTTCGAGGAGGAAGCTCTATATATACTGTTGATGTAGCTGCTGGTCGCAAGAAAAGTGTGAGTGGCTTCCATTGCCACCTCGTGATGTCATGGAAACTAATACATTTGCAGAGAATTCATGTTTCCCCTCCCAGCGCAGCAGAATTGGCCCGCGCACAAGCGGCTGCAGTAGCTGCGCAACATACGAATGGCAACGAGACCAGCAGTTCGATGCAAGCAGGTCAATCTCAGGGTGTGTCTGGAACACAAGTGTCTCAAGGAGGCCCGACGAACACGAACACACAAGCAGGTCAATCTCAAGCTGTGTCGGGCGCACAATCGTCTCAAGGACTCCCGACGGACACGCAAGCAGGTCAATCTCAGGCTGTGCCAGGGGCACTAGCGTCTCAGGGGCAAACAACAGGAACGCAAGGTGCAGGTGGTGGGATGGGAGATGCTTCTTATCAAGCATTGAGCTGCTGCGGGTTTTTCTTTGGATTTTTCTTTGGTCGTCGTCGTCCCACCTCGCATCAGTCATGAGGACGTTTACTAAACTAGTTGTTTGGATGTTTTTTCTCTAGAATTCGTGGGCTTAACAGACTGTTTCGCATCCAGCCATACACCTCGTGAGCGTTGTATTTTACTTGTCCGTGTAGATGAAAGCCATACAGTTTCTTATCACGGGTTTCAAATGAGTACAGGTCTAGCAGTACATCCCATACCTCGGACTCTACAAATGACTTTGAAGTTCGAGCGTTACCGAGAACATGAAGGACGAAAGGTAATAGTTTTATGAGCAGACTTCATTGACTTGCTAGTCAGACGAAAGAACTTTAAGGAGGTTAGAGTTTAAATTTGACAGAATATCTGCATGCGCGCCTGTCCAAACGGCAGACGAAGCCAATCTCGGAGCTACATAGTGAGACCAGGTAATTGACTCGTTCAGTTACTTCGAGATATGCTCTCCACTGCAAGTCAATTGGAACGAGATCTAAGAGCACTTCGGGTGAGACCTCACGTGTATACCACCTATTCAGTCCTTACCGTCCTTTGTTCAGATCATCAAGAGAATGGTCCAACTCGGAGTGGTGGGTGCCTGCTGAACACAAAAGGTAAACTTCAGTTCGCACTCGCAAGACCTCCCCAGCTGAAAATGGCTATCGTCAGTTCGAATTTCCCATTACCCTCGACGAGCCTTAAGCATTTGGCCACCATCGCTTTCAACCATCTTCGTCCAGGCAAGACATTCGACACCCCGACGTTCATGTTCTTAAACTTCCCTCCATCATCCAACAATCTCTCCGTATTCCCATCTGCACAGTCACTCGTGGCCAGGTGGTTGGACCGTCTGAGTGCATGGCGTCGCCTACTACGTCCGTGCAGTTGCTCGTAGTGCGGAAGGATCCAAACGATGAGATTACTGCCCCACGCACCGCCAAGTGCATATCCTAGAGAGGACGATTCGGCGCCCGCTGGGATAATGAGTGGATTACCCGGGCCATAACCCTCAGTTTTGGGAGTGAATATCATATTCTTTCGAACGCCTCTTCGGTTGAGTGACTCACGGCCAACATCTTTCCCACTCAACAATGTGATCACCGTGGTAGCTATCCTATGTCTATGGCCATGAAACTCATAGCACATGCGGATCTGTGTATTATTCCGACGGATTCTGCGTTTTGTATATTTTGTCGTAAGTACAGTCACTCAACATGAAAATTCAAGAGTTCATCCACTTTCTCATCATCGCCGAGATGTGATCATTCTAATTCGTCCGATTGAGAATCGAAAGGCAAGATCATTTGATCAGTTGTGAGCCGTGGGGCTTGCTCGAGTGGTGGCACGGTGTATTTTGAAAATTAGACAGATCGCTTCCGCGGAGCCACGGAATATCACAAGGTTTTTGAGGTCTTTTTTACGTCACACTGCTGGTACCTTGTTTTCGCCGCAGCGCCAAACAACGGAGTGGTGAGCAACAGGTCACTATACACACTCTTTCAACAGCAACAAGTACTGCTGCTAGCATGCAGTGTTAAGCAGAGTATAATTTCTATAGTCGCGCGTGGAACAGAAGCAATGATCGCCTCAAGAATGTTTATCAATGCTACTCAATCGTCGGTGGTAAATCTGATGGCGGCTCTGACGTGCTGGGCCGGTAGTGGCTTCCCCTCAGCTCAGATCCCCAGTCTACCCCAATGATACCTCTACGCGGACGTACACACATCCTCACGCAATGCGAAGCAAAAAAAGAAGATGTTTCGCCAAAGTCGTGAAACGGAAGGCGTATGGCATATACACGCTCAAGCCCGCCCTCCATACGCATGTTTGAACTGGTACAGTAGCACTTCTCCTTTCAGAGTCAAAATTCACCACTGCAACCCTCACCCGTGCACTCGGCTCAAGCATCCTCTTTCTCCTCATCCTCCCCCTCCACCAATTTCTTCAGATTCACCCGTTGAAACCACCCTCGGAGAAGTCAGCTCTGCTTTCTGGAACCCCGCTCTCGGTGGTGCACAAGGTCTTCGTAGGAAATTTGATATTCGATGGGAACATGATCCGGAAGTCGGGAAGTGGTTGGCGATCTGAGTTGGTGTCGTGACAAAACAGTGCAGAACTGGACGCCAGATACGCATGGGGAGTATGTTAACGCTTTCGAGTATATTGATCATTGACTAGGATGGTTTTCCATCCATTCATGACTCCGCTCGGGCGTTGAAATTCGGAATGCCACGATAACAATGTATGTATACATACCGCGTATTCCTCTCTACCTTAGTCACGCTTCCCAGAGGCACAGACTGGGCGTGTAACTGCGTTTGCATGTCCATTTCTTACAATTAAAATTAACTCTCACTGCCTGTCCAGATGTTTGGATATATGAAGCTCGAGCGAATTCCATATCTAAGCGCTCGCCGACGGATTTGATCGTTGGTACAAGTGGTGGTATGTAAGACGGAACAAACCGAGGTGCATCGCAATAAAAACATCAGTCACATAATCGCCACCAACATGTATTCTTAGCAAGGTGCCTGCAACCACAGCATCCAAATCTGAGCGTTTAGCAGGTTCGTTCATCACCTCCATCATATCTTCACCTTGATTCTTATTTTGCGCATTATCTCAAGGTTTACTGTCTACCTCTCTGTGAAGCACGTCATTCTCAATCAGGGTTATGCCCCACGAAGAGGCTGAGTCAAGCACGTCAGCCAGAGGAAGAGAAGCGCCGTTAGGCTCATCAGCACGTATTAGACCTCTAGTGGGAGAGAAGGATCCACCGTCATATGGTGCACAGCATCGCCAGGATGCTCTTTGGGAAGGCGAGCAAACCGTATTAGGATGGCCACTGACTTACTTAACAAGATGCAGGCGGGAATGAAGTGCTCCCTCCTGAATGGCAACAGTTTAAGGTGTTAGATGGTTCAGCCCAATATCAAGACAACACGCTCACCATGACTTCATTGAACCGACCTTTACCAGGAGTGCGTCTAGGTGAGCGAAGAACGTCCCACTGGGAGCGAGGAACTCATGACAAAGCATAGATTGTCCTGGAGATCTTGCTGTTAGTGGATGCGAATGGCACATCTCACCACTCGGTCGGTCCTACTTCGTCAACCACAGCACTCGGACCACTTCGTGGAAGAAACCGACGCCAGAACGACCAGCAGGGAGCTTGATGCCGGAGTTCATCACCGAGGGTCACTCCCGCTGCATATGGAGTCTTGCCTGCGTGGGTGCCAGTTACAATGTACTGAGCGCGTCGGAGGACTGTTCGATTCGCCAGTGGAAAATAGACGGAGAATCAGTAGGAAAACCTTTGGATAGCCATTGGCCGACAAGCTCTATGGCTGTATCTCCAGATGAAACTATGGTTGTGAGCGGAAGTACAGACGGCAGACTACGACTGTGGAACATAGAGAAAGGTAGTATGGTTGGCGATCTGTGGGGGGGCCACAATGGCCACGTGAGGTGCCTCGATTGGTCTCCCAATGCCCTGGAGATAGCAAGTGGATCGACCGACGGCACCATACGACGGTGGAACCCGGATACCGGCCAACAAATTGCACCACCGATAGAGATCGGTCACTGTTGGGTCTATACTGTCAAATACTCTCCACAAGGTGACAAATTCGCGAGCGGCGGGGAGGACGAGACGATTCGTGTGTGGTCAAAGAACGGCGAGCTACTTGTCGAGATCAAGGGACATGAAGATATGGTGACGTCGTTATGTTGGTCCAGGGATAGCGCATATATTTTCTCCGCGTCGTATGATTGCACCATCCGAAAATGGCGGTCGATTGGTGGGAAGGAGCTCGTTGTTTTTAAGGGTCATGACCTTACCGTCCACTCTCTCTGTCTTTCCCCTGATCAAGGCCATCTTGTCAGCGCATCAAGCGACCGCTCTGTTCGCATCTGGGACCTCAAGACCAATCAGCCAGTCGGAGACCCACTCTTGCATGACGACAAACTTTTGACTGTTGTCATGTCCTCCGATGGCAAATATATTGCCAGCGCTGGATTAGACGCAAAGGTCTATGTATGGAACGTAGAGGCAGCGCTCAAACAGCAGGGTGTGCGCTTCTGCATTGTATTTCCACGTCTTTTCTTTATTCTGAAGGTTTTTACTGTTGTTTAGGGTACGGATGATGCCAATGCAGGGCCCGATGCAAAGTTCAAGGTAAGTCAGTCTTTTATATCTCTTTCACACTTGATGTCACCTTTTTACTAGACTCATCTAATCCGATCGCGAGATGTGCGCTAATCGGTTGTGAACAACCTTATCCTTCGCTGATTTGTGTTGTCAGACCTTCCCCTCACGACAGCTCGCAAACAATAGAGGTGTGGGGAAATATGTTAGTATTATTTTTCGATTCTTAGCTTTGGCTAACGTTCATTTGATACAGGGCAATGATTTCTTTGGTAGCGATACAAACCATGGGCCAGCTCCCCCTGCAAGCGCGTCGTCTCTCCTTCGTCGGTTGTTTAGTTCCCCACGTGTCGGCACGCGACCTCCAAATTCGCTCCAGTCAACACCACGCGAGCCCCGACGTTGGAATTTCAACTTATTTCGAGGGGGAAGCTCCATACATACCGTTGAAGTAGCTGCCGGTCGGAAGAAAAATGTGAGTGACCTCCATTGCTCCTTTTTTGATATCATGGAACTTAATACATTGGCAGAGAATTTATGTTTCCCCTCCCAGCGCAGCAGAATTGGCTCGCGCACAAGCGGCTGCAGTAGCTGCGCAACATGCGAATGGCAACGAGACTGGCAGTTCGATGCAAGCAGGTCAATCTCAGGCTGTGTCGGGAACACAAGTGTCTCAAGGACGCCCGACGGACACACAAGCAGGTCAATCTCAGGCTGCGCCAGGGACACAAGTGTCTCAAGGGCAAACAACAGGAACGCAAGGTGCAGGTGGTGGAATGGGAGATGTTCCTTATCAAGGATTAAGCTGCTGCGGATTTTTCTTTGAATTTTCCTTTGGTCGTCGTCGTCCCACCTCGCATCAGTCATGAGGACATTTACTAAACTAGTTGAGCATGCTCCATGATACCTCCCATGTATTCATTTACTATCAGAAACACTTCATTTACTAAGCCCTTGGGTCCAGATTTGCATGCGGTCAAAACTATTTCACTCCCATTGTAAGGTGCATCTCAGACTGGCAGAGTTATGCTTCGCAGTAACTGTCACTCGCGCACTCGGATCCATCTCCCTTCATGCACTTCCTTTCCATTGCACTACTTTCTCCAGATCCATCCCACGTGCTGACAACACCACCAGGGAAGTTGGCTCCGTTTTCTGGAATGCACCAAATGATCTTTTGCGCGGGGAGCTTAATGTTCGCTTGGAAGGCGACCCTAGTGGGAGTCAGTGGGCTCTGACACTTGTATCGCTGAGATGGAGTGCACCCAGCCCGGACATGCAACTGGAAGAAGTATTGCTACGTGCCATGGTCCGTGTACAGTCCACGAACTAAAATGTTGATATATGCACTGTCGCTCCATTGGCAAAACATAGCAAACTATGTGCTTCAAAATTTGACGGGGTCGCTTCTTTAACCAGCATATGACACTGCCTCTAATGACATGCAGTGCAAGGAAGGAGCCTGTAAATACAGCATATGAACCCTAGCGTCTATTAGGAGGTCTCTCCACCGCTTCCACTATCTTCGCTATAGATTTTACCCATTATCAAACCTAGCCTCTAGCTCATTGTACTACCATCTGGAAGCGCAGCGTCCTTTCTTGATCAGAGTCATGGTTAGCGAAGTTGGCGAGTCAAGCATATCAGCACAACGGAAAGACGGACAACAAGAGTCGCTATTGCACTCACCGACATTTCAGACGGGCGCGAAGGATCCACCACAATATGGTGCACAATACCGCCAGGATGCACTTTGGGAAGGTGAGCAGCTACCTTATGATACCCACCACTTACTCAATTAGAAGCAGGCGGGAATGAAGCGCTCCCTCCTATGTGGCAACAGTTTAAAACGTCATCGGATGGTGAATCGCGATATCAAGATGATACGCTCGTGATGGTCTCGTGGAACTGGCCTTTACCAGGAGTGCGACTAGGTAGAGCGATGAAATTGCGACAGGGAGTGACGAACTCACAGTTAACATAGATCATCCTGGAGATCTCGTTGTCCCCGGATGGGAATGGCACATCTCCCCACTCGGTCGGTCCTACTTCGTCAACCACAACACTCGGACCACGTCGTGGAAGAAACCAAAGCCAGAACGTCCGGCAGGAAGCTTGAAGCCAGAGTGCATCATCGAGGGTCGCTCCAAATGCATATGGAATCTTGCCTACTTGGGTACCGGCAATATAATGAGCACGTCTGAGGATGGTTCAATTTGTCAATGGCAAAGAGATGGAGAGCCAGTGGGAAAACCTTTGAATAGCGATGGGGGAGGGATAGGTTCGATGGTGGTATCACCGGATGAAACAATGGTCATTTGTGGAAATGCAGATGGCAGACTGCGGCTGTGGAATATAGAGAAGGGTAAGATGATTGGTGACCCATGGGAGGGGCACGACGCTGCAGTGAGAAGCCTCGATTGGTCTCCCAGTTCCCTGGAGATAGCAAGTGGATCGGAAGACGGCACCATACGACGCTGGAACCCGGATACTGGGAGACAAATGACTCGGACACCACCCATAGAGACCAGTCACGGATGGGTGAATGCGGTCTGATACTCTCCACAAGAAGATAGATTCATGAGCGGTGGCACGGACATGATGATCTGCGTGTGGTCAAAGTATGGCCAGCTGCTTATCAAGATCAAGGGACACGACAGCGGAGTGACGTCATTGTGTTGGTCCGAGGACGGCAAACACATCTTCTCTGCCTCAATTGACAACACCATCAGAAAATGGCGGGCGATTGATGGACAGGAACTCGTCGTTTTTCGGGGCCATACACACTACGTCCATTCCCTCTGTCTTACTCCCAATCAAAACTATATTGTTAGTGGATCAAGTGACTACTCCATTCGCATCTGGGATCTCAAGACCAATCAGCCAGTCGGAGATCCACTCTTTCATGATGACGAACTCTGGGCTGTTGCCATGTCCCCCGATGGAAAACACATTGCCAGTACTGGACAAGACAAAAACATCTATGTATGGAGCCTGGAGGAGGCGCTCAAAGTTGCGGTACGTGTGCTTTGGTGTTTCGATGTCCTTGTCTAACAGTTTTGGTTGTTCAGGGTGCCGATGATGGGAATGCACAGCTGAATGTAAGTCTTCTCTGCTTCTCTTTCACACCACATCTCACCTCTTACTAGGGACGTCTAGCCCAACCGAGAGTTGTGTACCCACCAATCGTGAGCGATCTAACCTTTTCTCATATGTTTCACTAGATTCTTAATGTCCATCTGCATTTCAAACAACAGCCCAATACCAGAGGCTCGGCGAAATATGTCAGTAGAATTTTGTCTTTCAGCTCTTGCTAATCTAAATTTGATACAGGGCAGTAATTTCTTCGGCAACGAGTCAGACCACGCGTCTCGTCGCGCAGCTCCACCTGCAAGCCCATCGTCCCTTGTTCGTTGGCATCATTTACTCAGTTCTATACATTTCGGCACACCACCTGTAAATACATCCCAACCAATTGAACGACAGTCCCGACACTGGAATTCCAACTTTAAGTTGTTTTCTGGAGGAAACACCAGACACACCGTTGACGTACCTCTTGCTCAAGATGAAGATGTGAGTAACTCCCCTTTGCTCTTCTTTCATCCCATTAAATTGCATCGCAGAGATATGGCATTGTCCATGAAACTGATGCGGAAGCGGCCGCAGCTATGCAACGCACAGATGGCAATGAGGCCGACAATTCACTGCAATCAGGTCAACCAGCTGGGGCACAAGCATCTCAAGTAGAACCAATTCAAACACAGACGCAAGGCCCAACTGGTGGAGCGGAAGACTTTGTGTATGTAGGAGTAAGCTGCTGCGGAATTTTCTTTGGTTGTCGTCGTCCTGCTTCGCATCAGTCATGAAAACATCTAGAAACTTTGCTAGTCGAATATTATCTCTCTTCCCTTTCATCTGTATTTACACATCATGCGTCTTAGATATAGCTCGTTCCGTCACACATACATGCGCATGAAATTGATACATTTCTCTTAATAAGGGAAAGTGTGATTGAAGCAAGCATGAAACTGTACCAGTGTGCCTGTGTAATCACCCAGCCGCTTGCGCGTAAAATATCCGAAAGGCATAGGAGATCGAATACAAACAGAGTGAGAGTGTGCAAAAGATACTAAAAGATAATATATCTTGGTTTTGCATTGGTGTTATTGAGTTTTGTTGGTTTATTGGATATGACGGCGAAGAGCTACAACGTTAAAAAAAGGGGCACGGCAGAGGGCTCGGGCCTGTACGCATGATTGGAGGCTAGCCAGGGATTAGTGGCACCTAGAAGTTCCGCCATTGGGTGAAGCTTATGGAGTACGAAAAGTACAGCACACAGCTGCCTGTAGGCTAAGTGACATTAAACACTCTACGAAAACTGTTGAATGCACGATGCGAGACAAAGGTAAGTGAATGCCAAATGTTTGGCCTCCATGTTGTATTCGCGTTGGTCACGCTCTCTTTCGTTGGCGTGGGCGAACCCCCTTGATAGATGTCCATGAATCGTACATTTTCCTCGAAATGTAAAGGTTGAAGTCCATGCAACGCCTTTTCCATTTGGTTGATTTCAACCAACCCGATTCCAGAAACCTGAGACCAAGTCTTATTGATGGATGTACGCGTTGCTAGAATAATGATTGAGAATACAATGACATAGATAACTCTGGATACATAATTATGATTGCCAAGGAAGCCTAGTTTGCACGGCACTTGCAGAAATCTGTATAGAACCAATAAGATCACTCGTCCCTTCAAAACATTGGATCAAATCCTTGACGCTACCACCGCTACTCCGTCTTTCCCGGTAATCACTTGTGAAGACGCGTTGGACAGGCTCTGGCGATATGTGACGGAGCTCCACGAGGCGTTTTGGCTTGTTCCTGCGCAGCTGTACATGCTTCTGTGGAGGTGTGGTATGGTGAAGATCTACAAAATCCTTGTGCGGTTTCTGCCGCTCCGAAAGTTTCCGCGCTGGTGTCGTAATGGGCTTGCGACGGTCTATGAGATCTGTCGGCGGAGGAGGTAAGGGAGGACAGTCGGGGTGGTCATCAGGTTTAACATATTCACGGCGAGGAAGAAATGATGCCCATGTCGGAAGCCTGGAAAAGAATCCCGTCTTTTCTGCTAGGTGATTTGGTGGTACAATAGTCGGTTGAGGCCTAACTGAGTAAGATGATGTAGATATGGGAATATTCGTCGGGTCAATAGCACTGGCTTTGTCGAAGAGGTCACGGTACCGTGGTATGTGCGAGACCGGCGTAGATGTGAAATTCGCCAGCCTGGACACATCCGGGGACATGAAACTGGCAAAAGATAATGTTGAGAGATCGGCTCGCGCAGCCCGCTTTTTTATGAGCACATCTACTCTTGCTAGTAAGTTCTCCCTGAGTGTGTGTCAACTCAGCTGGGACAGCGAAAACTGTCAGGAAGTACAAACCAACTCCAGGGGGGACCCAGCCCCGTCACAACATCGTGACCTCCAGCAAGACATTGAAATCGCATCACCACCGCCTCTCTGTTCACATCCTTTGGCGAGGTGATAACTCCGTTGACATGGCACTCCTCAAAAAAACATTTATCCAAAATTTTCCAGTCTTCACGCCTCCACTCGCCCGCCTTAGGCTCATACCGAGGTTGGACGCACCACGGCGTCGGATCTCCATTGTGGACCGCACGCCGGCTCTGTATCGAGCTGCGGCGTTTCCCGACGCCTGCGCTAGGGAACGTTGTGCGCGACTTGCGTGCAGCAGCGCGCTTGGAAGACGCCAATACGCAGTCGTAGTCATGCTGAATTGGTCAAAAAAACTTTAACTTGTGGAGATTGAAGAGGAATACTTACTAATTTCAAAATCGCAGCGGCTCTCGCTGCAGCCATTGGATCGCTCCCTGTAATGCGTACTACATCGCTTTCGACGTCCACATCTGAATCTTCACTCTCTTCTGCCCTGATATGAAGATCACTGGTTGACAAATCGCTGGATAGATCGTCGGAACCAGGTGGCACCTCCACGATATCCTCGAACACACTCTCAATATCCAATGCATCCAAGATATTTCCTTCCATGCCTTCATCCTCATTATCTGCAATTTCCATATCCTCTGGATCAGGCAAGCTCCTGTCTAGTCGTGCCTCGTACGGAAATGGGCTGACTGGTCGACCCCACTCCTTCATGCGTGCCTTTGTCCCACTCGTAGGTGGGTCCGCCTTCGTAGGTACTTGAAACATCTTGAAACGCCCTGTGTACTCTCCCTCGCCTTCTGATTCGGTGTCCGTCCACTCGGGTGATGGGGTGTCCCGAACGTCGGCATGTCTATGCGGTGACGAGCTTAAGAAAACAGGGGTCGATCTAGAACTGGTTGTTGACCCCAAATGTTTTGCACTCAACAGAAGCGGGTCTTCTGTTGGGCTGGGGGGTCTCATTGCACTCAAGTTGATCTCCGGTGGCTCCCTCTTTACACTGGTTTGCCTCGATCCATTCCTCCGCGGCGGACGTGATGGCTATTAATTCGTAAACAATCAAGTACTTGTTACACTTCAAAACACTCACTGTCACACACTTCTTTCTCGGACTCTTCAGCATCCGTCTAATAGTAAGTTTCACATTCGGCGCGGTCTCGAAATGGTTTGTCCAAGAACACGGTTTGCATCGCACGTGACTGTACCAAGTTCATTGATTATGTCATAATAGTAATACCTAACCAAATATATGCATACAGACTTGGCTTCGTAAATCGAAGAATTTGAGAAAAGACTGCCAAGTAACTTATAAGTAATATGACTGATCGAGTCGCAGAGTAGAGTATATGATCATCATGAAAATCATCAGTATCGTCAGAGGTCGTAACTATCATCTAAAGGGTTGTGAAAGACCGGTCACCGGATGGACATTCGAAAGCGAAACTGAAAGTGATCTCGGCGAAGACTATCGCGAGACAACACTTTCGCTCTGCCCTCTCGCTCGGCCACTGAGGTCTCCTGATTGCAACGAACGTTTCGCACCAAGTGACAGATCATCGTTCGCACGAGAAAAGAAATCATCCTCGCCCTCGTACGGAGAAGTGCCCGAATTTATCTGTGCCACAACATTCGATGAGCCAAACGTTAGGTGGGAGAGACGGTGCCCCATGACTCACCCACTGCTTGAGAACATCTGCTACACGACTCGCTTCCTCGACGTTGAAAATCACATTGGTCCCCTTCTCGGCATGGAGCCGCATGAGCTCACTCAGCGACCTGTTTTTCCTACTTCTATTTGCCCCGGGTGTGCTGCAGTTGTCCTGTGTCTCTTCGCCCGGAAACAGTACAGAATTTCGTGGTACTTGCGTCTGAGGTATGATAATATCACTTGAGCGGTCCCAGTCCTCATTCAGATTCAGCGAGAGGCTGCTCGTCGTGAAACTCTCCTTTGATGACATAGTTCAATTACAGTTCTTAGTAGTGGCAGGGTCGACGAAGTAGGAGAGGTGAAGGCCCTGGTATAAGACTATAATTGGACTATAAGTAACTTTATCCTTCGATTCCTTTTTTGGATGCCTGTGGGATGCGGAGTTGTCCGGCTTTCTATCAACCTTTATAGCGAAGCCTCATTGAAATCTTAGTCAAGGTCAATCCCTTTCTGTTGGGATAAATGACTGGGAACCAATAATACTGGCGTTCAGTGCTACGTTGAAATCTCCCTGGTCCCACATGTCTATTTGTGTCAAGTTGAGTATTATGTTCATGTCACAGAGGTAGTATCATTCTGAGTTAATTGCTGCATTCAAATGTCGGGGGTGTTAATGACATCACGCGGACTTGTTTGGTCATATGTTCACCCTACGGGTAATCTCTCAGTTGCGCGATGCTGCCACGCTGACCATGGCCGGGCAGAACATGGTTCTGCCAGTTCTGCCGGTAAAACTACCTTGAAATAGTTCTGCCCACAACTTGAAGTTGCAACACTAACTGTGAGCTCCCTTATCAGCAGCAGTAGATTTAAACTGATTTGATGCTGATCTCTTCCTCGCGTGTCGGAATTGTTGTGCCTACATTTTTGGTCTAGTTTATGCTAACCCGGAGACTATATTGAACAGCTTGAACGACGATTTTAACTCTAGGTGCTCACTGGCAAGGCCTCACAATCTGCACTCCCCCGAAATTAAAAGAGATACGTTCTCATCGTACTAAGTACTGTGGTTTAAATTGATAATGGGTACCGAGTGACGATATTCACTTCCCAACTCTCACCTCCACTACCAATGGCTCTAGAGGATGTTAGATCCCAGCAGCTGCAGTTAGAAACGAAGGCAGATGACTCAATCAAAGTCGATGTTACCGATGAGGTGGATTTTGTCGCTTATTACGAGCAGACTTCTGGCCGTTTGGTAGTTGACCCCGAGTATGTGGTTGTTGCTCCTACTTATCCTGAGTCCATCGTTACTCATTCGTAACTCACTAGACAGGCGAAGGTCGAGTTTGGGGAGGTAATGGCCTCTAGGCTCAAGCTTAGCCCTGATGGGTTGAAGGTTTAGAGGTTCGAGGCGAGCGGATCAGGAGGGAGCTAGTAGATAGGGACAATATATCTCAGTCTATATTTTGGGACTCTTAGTCCATGTACAGTACCTAGTAGATAGGGACAATATCTACTCGTTTGAATCAGTGCGCGCTCTAAAGTAAGTTCGAAAGTAACAACTCACATCTCAGTCTATATTTTGGGACTGAGATGTTCGTTCGATATCTATGAAGTTTATAAGGTAAAACTGACGCGATACGTATATTAGCGTTGTAAGGAGAATGATAAAGTGAAACATTGGTATCTAGACGTCGAGTGACACTCGACGTCTCTTTTCTCGTGCCTCTGTCAAATGGTCGCGCTCATACTACGTGGCGTCGTCCGAAGCATCCGATACGACCGAACTCAACACTCCCCCTCGAGCGGGACCGAGTGACATCATGGTCCTGAGCTTCTGGAAGCGCGGTCGTGGTAACGGCTTGGTGAACGTGTCTGCTACGTTGTCATCAGTAGGACAGTAGCGTAATTCGAATGTTCCGTTCTTGATATGCGCACGAACGAAATGAAAACGTATGTCGATATGCTTCGTGCGCGCGTGGAACTTGCTGTTCAACGCTAACGCAATCGCGGACTGATTATCGCAATGAATGGGGGTAGAGCCATGGTCTTCGTCGTAGAGTTCTTTGAGGAGAAGCTGTAAGTAGAGTATCTCCCGCGCAGCAGCCGTCAAGGCTATATACTCTGCCTCCGCGGTGGACAACGCTATAATTGGTTGCTTCCTCGAGCTCCATGCAACAGGGCCGCCGTTTAGCATAATCACGTACCCAGACATTGAGTGGCGATGGGGCTGGGAGGCCCAGTCTGCATCGACGTAAGCTTCAAGTCCTCCATCCGTTCCCCCCAACGTTAACCCGTGGTCCGCTGTACCTTTGAGGTAGCGCATAGTGCACTTGGCAGCTTCCCAGTGCACCCTGCCGGGGTTGCGCATGAACTGGGATAGCGTGGCCACAGCGAATGCTATGTCGGGCCTCGTGCTCGTAGCAGTGTACATGAGTGAACCAATGCCACGCTGGTACGGCACGTCCAGCATGTCAGCGAGTGCGGCATGAGTATCGGGAGACTGCTCCACCGACAATGTGCAGCTAGCGTCCATTGGGATCACTGCGCTCTTCGAGTCGGTGAGATGGAAGCGTTCAAGTATGGTACTGACATAGGCGTGTTGGGAAAGGGTGATGGTGCGCTCGGGTCGGTTCCATTCTACCCGTAGACCCAATAACCAGCCGAGTTCGCCCAAGTCGGTGATTTCGAAGTACTGACGGAGGTGGTGTTTGAATTCGGTGATGTGTCGCAGGTGTTTGGATGTGACCGCCATATCGTCGACTGAGACGGTGACCACCATGTGTTTGTCAGTCTCGCGTACGTAGTAAACGGCTTGGTCAATTTGCGAACGCGTGAATCCCATCTCTAAGAATACACTTGCCAGTTCTTCCGACCACTCGAATCCCGCCTGCTTTAACCCATACAAACATCTCTTCAGCTTCAGAACCTTGCCCTCATCTCCAGCCTTCAGGTATCCAGGAGGTGCTCTCATGTAGATGTCTTCCTTGATCTCAGCGTGCAAGTATGCGCTCTTGATGTCGACTTGGTGAATTTCCCAGTCCTTCTGGGCGGCCATAGCGAGAACGGTACGTATAGTGGACATGTTGGTGGTTGGAGCAAAAGTCTCCGAGTAATCGAGGCCGTGCTTCTGACATTGGCCGTTTGCCACGAGTCGGGCACGCAGCTTGAGTTTCTCACCGTCCGGGCCGCGTTTGGTGGCCAAGACATAATGGCAGGGTATGACGTTAGCATGACGTGGTACGTTTACCACTTCCCAGGCTTCTAACTTCTCAAGCTGACTAAGTTCATAGTCTATCGCCTCTTGCCATTCCACCGCGTCTGGACCGTTCAAGGCTTGCTGGAGCGTCGGTTCGGGCTCTGCTGCTGCTAGAGCCCAGTGGGTAAGTGGAGCGTCGTTTCCGTCCTCGTCTGGGACAGTCGCTATAGAAGCTGACTCCCCTTCATTCAGGGCCTTGTAGTACCCGATTGGAGGGCGAACGCGCGTTGCTCTGGGGGCAGTAGGTTCGGGGAGTGGTGTCTGGAGCTTCGGTGGGGTAGATAGTGTGGGTGTCGAGACGTGCTGATCGTTACTCGCTGGCAACGGCACCTTCTCCCCCTCGATCGGTACGTCTGCAGCCACGGTTATAGTTGTGGGCACGAAACTAATGTTTCGTTCTACAGAAATGCGACGCTTACCCGGCCAGTAGACCCGGTACCCTTTGCTCTGGTCGTCCACGCCTATGAAAACCGCCTCCTCCGCCCTTGCCTCCAGCTTCCCAGCGTCCTGTAGGTGGACATACACCTTTGCGCCAAACTTGTGGGCCTGGGCCAAATTGGGACGGCGACCGTGCACCAGGTCGTATGGGGTGTGTCCTGGCGTTGCCCTTGAAGGTAAGCGGTTACGCAGCCAGCTGGCATAGCTGACTGCGGCAGTCCACAGGAACTTGGGCACGTTACGTGCCAGCAACATCGCGCGTGTCAACTCGACTAGCGTCCTGTTGAGGCGTTCAGCGACGCCGTTCTGCTGGGGAGAGTCGTGTACGGTGAGTTCTCGTTTGATACCCTGACCTGCTAAGTACACATCGAATTCTGCACTTAGGTACTCTCCTCCCCGGTCGGAACGCAGAGTCTTAATCTTCGCGTCATGCTGCCTGGTGAGTCGTGCTTCATATTGTTTGAAAGCTCCAAGGGCCTCACTCTTGTGCTTCAGGAAGAGGATGTGCGTTTCACGGGAGTAATCGTCAGTGAAGCTCATGTAATATGAGCTCCCACCTATGCTAACAGTTTGTGCAGGTCCCCAGAGGTCAGTGTGGATCAACTCGCCATACGTCTGCGCACGACGTTTCGACTCCTTTGGGAACGGCTGCCTCGCAGCCTTTCCCTTCTCACACGCCTCGCAGAATTCTGGTTCCGAGGCGGAGTCAAGCTCAACGCCTTCCACCAAGCCCTTTTCGACAGCGGACTTAACTGCCGAGTGCGATACGTGTCCCAGTGCACGATGGAGTTCCCCCAAGGTGACTTTTCCCTTGGCTAATGCAGCATGATGCTCGTGCTGACCCGCAACGGTGTATAGGCCGTCGACGTGAGGTATTTCGGCGATTACTTGCCGTTTGGGACCCATGGACAAGATCCTGCAGTTGGTCCCCTCGAAATGGACTGATAATCCGGCGGCCGTTATACGGTTCGTCGCCACGAGCGTATAGCTCATCTTTGGCACGTGCAGTGCGTCCTTGAGGGTGACTCTGGTCCACTTGGATCCTAGCGGTAAGTGCATTCTTACATCACCGCGACCTATGGCACTAATTATCGAGCCGTCTGCAGTTCTAATGTCGAGGGGTTTGATTGGGGTATAGGAGATGAACTCGGCTCTGTTTGGGCAGAAGTGGGAGGTAGCGCCGGAATCAATGATTGCCGTGCGGTTCTTTTCGGGTGAGTCGTTTTCTCCAGTCATAGGCACGCTGTCTATTAACGCGAAGGCGTAGTTATCCTGGGAGTCAGTGGCTGCTGCTGCTGTTGCAGCAGTCTTGTTCTGTCTCGCCTTCTTCTGACGTGGGCCCTGCCCTTCCTTGCCGCCTCCCTTCCTCCAACAGTCACTCTTGTAGTGGCCTTTCCTATCGCAGTTGTGGCACACCACGTCTGCGTTCTGCTGGTTGGAGTTGCCAGTGTCACGGCGACTCCCTTGGGTGGCTCTAGCTGTAAAAGCTGAGTTACTCCCTTTTTTTCCAGTTCTACGTTCTGAGAGCTGACGGTGCTCGTATTCCTCGGTGACCACGCTGATCAACTCATACGGGGTAAGCACCTTCGTGGCTATTTTGGCCGCTGCGTTTATTGACAAGACCAACGGGCGGTAGGATTCGGGCAATGAGCCCAACGTGATCGCGTAGAAATCGCGGTCATCTATACTAGCGCCCATGCCCGCAAGCAATTCTCGGAGGCGTAGTTGCTCCCCGAAATGCACTTTAACATCGCCCCCTTCCTCGCATCTCAATTCCTGGAGTCTGCGGCGGAGGTCTATCTGGACCAATTCAGTTTTCCCTTCGTGGATCTTGCAGACCTCGTCCCAGATGGAGGCTGCGCTGCCTAGGTTTTGGATCCGGAGCAAGAGCTGATCGGAAATGGTACTGAATATTTGTTGTTTTACCAGTGAGTCCTTTTGCTGGTATTCGTCTATCTGATCGTCTAGGTCCTCGATTTCCGCATCCGTTGGCTTCGAGCCGTCCTTCTTCCTCGGTTTCCCAGTCGACGGGTCAACCTCGAAAGGGACGGGCTTTTTCTTACGACCGTCGATATATTGCATCAGGCCTCGAGCGCCAATCGCCGTCAACATTCTTCCCTTATAGGTTATCCAATTCAGGCCGTCGTCGGCGAGCTTTGGGATGTTGAAGAGCGCGGAGTTGGAGCTGGGGAGCGAAGTATCCATGGTAGTAGCAGGGCTCATAACCTTTAGAGGTTCGAGGCGAGCGGATCAGGAGGGAGCTAGTAGATAGGGACAATATATCTCAGTCTATATTTTGGGACTCTTAGTCCATGTACAGTACCTAGTAGATAGGGACAATATCTACTCGTTTGAATCAGTGCGCGCTCTAAAGTAAGTTCGAAAGTAACAACTCACATCTCAGTCTATATTTTGGGACTGAGATGTTCGTTCGATATCTATGAAGTTTATAAGGTAAAACTGACGCGATACGTATATTAGCGTTGTAAGGAGAATGATAAAGTGAAACATTGGTATCTAGACGTCGAGTGACACTCGACGTCTCTTTTCTCGTGCCTCTGTCAAATGGTCGCGCTCGTACTACGTGGCGTCGTCCGAAGCATCCGATACGACCGAACTCAACAGAAGGTTCTCTGGCCTCAACCCGCCAACGACCCGAACGACCCGCAAAATGTTCGTCATTTCTCACCATCATGTCCCTTTCACTAATACTAAGCTATTTATTCGTAGTGGACCGATTTCCGCAAGACTGTGCACCTGATCATCATTACAATGTCTGCAGTGGTACCTGACTTCGACGGTGGAATTGGTATGCATCTCGCCCTCGCTCAATATCCATAGTAGTATCATTGTGAAATACTTTTATTGGCAGGAATCGCGTCGATATTTGGCCTCGCTCAAACTTATGACACGACCTCGGGTGTCATCAACGATCTGACGTCAAAGTGCGTGATGCATCGATCGTTACTCACATTCAATGACAATTACCTGAAGCTGGAGCATCTTTCTTCTGGGTGAGACCACACCATTACATGAGAATAACCTCTTCTCATCTGTAGTCCAGGTTGGGGAGGCATCTTCTGGGTCATGCTCGTGAGACGGTATGGTCGGTTGCCAGTACTCTTCTGGAGTCAGGTATATATTTCCAGTGATTTGGCCGATATAAACCCTGAAAACTTGAGCGCAGCTTTTTGCGCTTGCATTCTTGGTTGGTGGCACATTGGCGCCGAATCTAGCCACCTTTGCAGGTATTCATACAATAATTCGGTATTTATTGGACAATGTTAACTGCTGATGAAGGGATGCGATGTTTGAGTGGATTCTTTGGGCAGGTCGTCATGTTATCCATGCTGCGGTAAATTGACTACGGTTTCAGAACGTGTCCCCAGGTGACAGTACGATTAGTGGCAATTCTCATGGTAGCTTCAACATTTACCAACCTCCAAGGGTCTTTATGTCGTGACGGATATCTTCCCCTTCCATCTTCAAGCACGGAAGCTGAACATTTGGACTTCGGGTTTCGTTCTGTCAGAAATGAATTCCTTTATTGGGAGAAACGTTTCTCACTATCTCATAGATCGCCTTACCTATCACCATGTGTATTTGGCTTTTTTGTAGCGCATGTGAGGTACGTCTTACATATGCTGTCCTTGATTCAGAATATTCATCAATTGTTGGATAGCTGGAGATGGGCCTATGCTATAGGATCTATCTACAACGCCATCGTATTACTTCTCATCGTGTTTTTCATGGAAGAAACGTACGCTCTGTTGTACTGTTTCTTAGGGCAGTGACGTTGACTTTTGCTGAACTAGCATGTATGATCGTCACCTTGCATCGAAGCCACTGCAAATTTCTACGGGACTGCGATATCGATTTGAGACTTTGATAGGCGTCACTGGGTACAAGATGGCAAAATACAGATCACGATGGCCGGAAGTTCTATTGGCATCTTTGGATGTCGTTTGGCGTCCTCAGTTTTTCTTCGTAGTTCTCTTTGAGGTGAGATGAATTGCATTGCTGACCATACTTAGTACATTTGCTGACCTTTTCGAAAGGCATTGGTCTTCGGGTTCTCGATCGGCTTGAATGTGAGCGTTTCCGTTTCGACCTGCAGTAATAAACTCATCGACTTTTGTAGACGACAAATGTTGTTTTCATGGGATCTCCTCCTCCCGTCGGATTTGGCTTCAGTCAATATGCGGTGGCTGGAGCGTATGCAACTCCAATTGCAAGTTTTTTCCATCTATGAAGTATGCATGATTAATGTTCTCAGCATAATTTTTTTAGGTCGCCGTCCTTATTGGCGAGTTCATTGGACGTTACGTCAATGAATTCATCATGGATCTGCATATTCGCAAAAACGGTGGTTTCTTTGAGGCCGAGAGCCGCTTGTGGTATGCAAACTCAACTGATGGTCCAAGGTTAGAGCTGAGAATTTGTGTAGGACCTGTTACTTAGCCATGCCGCTTTATATCTGTGGCTTTTTGACGCTGGGCGCTGGGGTACAAAATCTCAGCGAAGCCGCTCTCATCATGGGCTGGGGCATTGCGATCGTTGCAATCACCCTCAACACTGTTGCAGTGTGTAAGTCTCGGATCCAACATTTCAAGTGTCGTGGGGTAACTCAAGGAGTATTATTAGACGCATATTGCAATGACTGCTTCCCTCGTAGGGCAGTGAGTGACGCATATATATTTGCATTTCAGTGATATGACCTCCCCTTCTAGGGCGAAGTCAGTGCCCTGTTAAACCTTGCAAGAGCATTGGGCGGTGAGTTACAACGACGCATGATTTGTCCAACGTTCACAATTGTGCCCTAGGTTTTGCAGTCGCATATTTCCAAGTCCCATGGGCTACAAAATCTGGAGGATTGGTGGTGTTTGGTGTTGAAGCAGCGCAAGTGATATCACTTGACACACTCGAAGAGTCTGACGGTTTTTACAGGCTTGTGATTGCTTTGTTTTTCGTCGCCGTTCCTATGATACAACTGAAGGGAAGCTACTTCCGAGTAAGTGCGGTTCTTTTCGTTTGTGTTACAGCATTGAATCTGTACATCAAATATTAGGCACGTTATGCCTTATAATTGGCATTGACAGCGTCTCGATTTCAGAACCAGAAGAACATTATTTAGAGTTAGACATGTATGCTTCGGCCCCTGGTTACTTTGTTGTACATCCAAGTATTGCCCTGCGGGCGTCTACAATGTTATGTTTTGGTGTATGTAGTAAATTACCTTCAACATGCCCTTTCGCAAGATCAGTTGGTGCAACGTAAAATTAGCAGTTGTCAATCTCTATGAGCATGAAATTCTACCCCTTGAGCAGATTCTTGAATGTCTTAGATTCTCTGCATCAGCAAACCACAAATTTTCCAGGAAAAATGACTAACAACTCGGACTGTATCAGTTCACTTTGAAGAGAAGCCAAATGCAGAATGGGCTTTACCACACAGCTCGAAACTCAAATGAGGCGAGCCTCAAGTTGAGAGTCCGGGTCTGCATCGCAGATTCATGGAGGTTGGCGCACGGTCAGCTTTACACTGCGCTATCGAGAGTGCGATGTCGGCGTGACATACGCGCGCTATTTCCTTCAGAGGGTGAGGAGAAGACAACGGCAAACGTATTATATAGACAACTGTAACAGACGCGACGTCCGAAGGCGACCGGTCCGCTTGTATGTCTATATATCGCAAATTGAGTCGTGATCACGTTTACATGTAAGGATAATGCCACAAAGCCCTACGTCAGCCATCTCTGAGTCCTCTCTATTTTGTCCTGTACACTTTGAATCTGAGCCCTTAGATCCTGCAACTGAGTCATATTTTCGGCCGCAGCCTCCTTCGCGGCCATGCCAAGCATGACGCCTTGCTCAGCGTACTTTGTGTTCGCATTCGAAAGTGTGAACAACATGTTGAAATTGTCTGTCATATTGACCCGCGTAGATTCAATGGCTTCCATTATATCAGCGACTTGGTAGATACCGACGTAGTCAGTTGGTAGCACTCGAAATTTGAATCGGGACTTACTGGTCATTTGAGGCCTAATGGCCTGTGCCCGGTTCATCAGGAAATCACGCGTTTCCTTTTCTAGCTTTTTCACGCTTATTTAAGAGACTTATTGCTAATCATCACTTTTTCTCACTTATATTTTGGACATAAAAAGCTCGTGCAATTAAAATAAGTAGGCAAGTGAAAAAGTAAGAAAAAGCGGAAAAGTAAGAAAAAGCGAGAGGATTGAAAAGACATAGAAAAAAAGTGAGTTACATTACCAAGCTATTTCGAAGGCATGGTGGTCAGCATATTTGTTGACATAAAATAGGGTAAATATATCGAGAACGTGGTGAGATTTAACTAATGAGGGAAGCAGTTCAGTGCCATAGACCGGAATAAGATGTGCAGAACGAAAAATAGCCTCAACATGAATCACCGCATAGTGTGCATGATTACCGTTAAAAGACGGTGACACCATCCACATCCCAGTATCTTCATCTGGCGTGTCACCGATTCGGTTGAACCACCGAACGACCGCACATGGATAACGTACTCCCCTTAATCGAAAGGAAAAAAATGTTAGTACCTGGGCGATGTCCATACCCCGCATTCCAGGAACGTTCGGGTCAGTAATAACAAACACGCAATCTTTGCGTGCATATTCATTTCTCCATCTGGGGGACACACGAATGTGTTCGCGTTTCATCCCGCCGGTTCCACTCAGGTCACTCAGTGCAAAGAATGTTGAGGCCGCAGAGTGAAAAACTCGTATCCTCCCATCGTAACGAGGGCGGTCCATAATACCTGTGGGAATTTGTGTGGGGTCCTTGTTGGGATACAGCTGCTCGGTGAGGAATTGTTGAACAAGTTCAGCCAAGTCAGGGATGTGAAGCTCGTTAGCTAGTGCAGGAATGCTTTGTGGGCGCTTTTTTCCCTCTGTACATAATGATATTTAGTAGTGTATCAAGGTTGTACAAATGAAAAAAGACTTACGAGATGTTCGAGCAAGCTCTACGTGTGCAAGGACCGACATTGGCACATCAATATCCTCAGAGTCAGCGCTGACATCCGGGTCGAGTATACTGGCGCTGGCGCTTCGGGACATACTGGGCAGCTCAGGGTCGTGTTGATCTGCATTGGTCTGCTCTTCCACATTGGTTTGTGCAGGCTGCGCACACTGTCTATCTGATGGTTCTATAGCAAAGGTCAAACAATCTAACAATAAACGAAGTAAAAATGAATCACATACCAAGTGCCGCAAGAATGGATGATAGACATGTACCCGAGAGCATCCCGCGAGTGCGGAAATCCACACGTGATGCCGCCAACTTGTCAAGACGCTGATTGGTTAGTAACATCTGACCCAGAGCCTTGTATCGGCTGGACCGTCTCCAAGGCTCCTTGACAGCCTTTATATGCTTTGACTCCGTAATAGAGGAGCAGAGGCCGTTCGGAGCGCCAAAGAGTCGGATAAGATAGATGTAGTGAGACATGGCGTGTTGTCGGGGAAGTGAAAAAGTTAAGACCGTTCCAGTAGTCTTGAAAATCTCCCGATAGTGGTGAAAACGGGTAAGGGCATCTTGAATTTCACCGAGCGACTTCTCCGTGATCACATTGCGGCGGACAAGGTAACAGAATTCGAGGAAGGCACGGAATGCACGCACGACATCCAAGGGGATGTGACCTTCAATGGCCGGCAAATATACCTTCATAAGGGCCTTGGAATCGTCGCCAGTCCACTGTTTGAAGTGACGTCCTTGAGGAAATCTACGAAGTCCAGGGAATGGAGGAACTGCTGCAATTCTATGAAAGGTTAGAGTAAATCAAAATGATGGTGCATAAACACACCTTCGGTCAATATCATCTAAAATTATGTTAGCCTGCATCTTTCCATGTGTGCGCAGTAGGTATTTCTCTACCCATGTAACTAAATGGTCCTTATATGCCCCCTTGATAATCTGGTGAAGAAGATCAGGTGCGAGGAGTTCGTGGATGTCGGCGCGGGGAAAATCGTTCGTAAATGGCTGAATATAAGAATTAATTCTAAGTACAAATGAAACCGAACAACTGAAGTACCACAAGCATGTTAATGAGACCATACTCTTTCCACAGTGTATCGAAATCGCACTCTTCGATGAGTGCATCTGCGTGAGTTCTTGAACGAAGGAGACTAATCTCGTCGAGGTCATTGCTATGGGAAAGACACCTAGTAATATTTAATATAAGAATGAATCCAATAGATAATCGGGAAAAATTACTTGGCACACCAGTTCCGAACTATGCATGCGAGCAACACCTGTTCCTCGTAGTCTGCGATATATGGCCCGAGTCCATATATGACACGGCGATAGTGGCCGTCCCCAAAACGAACAATTTCAGGCTTTGTCATGCCTGGCTTCAGATTCTTTAGGATGAATGAGAGGGACGAATGAAAAATTTGACGTCGGAAGCTTCGAAAACCTGGTGTCTCAGCATGCTGTTTCGTGGCTTCACAGGAGGGTAAGGACAGTAAAATGTGAACATGTGAGCACATACTTTTTGGCATTGCAAGGAATCCCACCACGGCAACAGCGTTGCGGTGTGCACGGCGAACAGTATTCTGGACATTCCCAATAGATGCGTAGAGAGGGTAGTAATCATTTTGCCCCGTTGCAACCGAAACAGTGGTCTTATCACTCCCGAGAATGACGGGCACGAACGCCGAGCCATGGGTATCTGGGTCCTCAGAAATCTTATCCTGAAAATATCTCTCAAATCATGTACATTAACGATAATGAACATAGTACATACCGCTTGAGACCAAGCCCAATCCCCGGACATGAAGTCCTGCCATTGGCGTTCGTCATTTTCGGTTGCGTACTCACGGTAAGGTTGGAGATCGATTTCCATAGCATAGTCTGGATTAGAAAGCATATTGTTAACAACATTGCGTGGATCACGAAACCAAACGTCATAGGTATCTGTCATCCAGGGTGCGACACCTTGTTCTGGAATCTCGCCAGTATATTTTACCGAAAACGACTGCCATTTAATGTCTCCGAGGGGTGTATCGTCGATGGTCTTGTAAAGTGCACGGTGGTCAGGAAACAAAGTTGTTTTGCTACCCCCTTCAATCAATGAAGCTGCCCATATATTTAACAGCTGGTCGATTGAATGCATGGGGGTCTGGTTTTTCGTAAATAGGTAGTCGGCGAGCTCAAACTCTACCCGACTCTTGTAAGGCGTCCAGTCATCTGATGCCTTGTCCGAAAGTGGTGGAGGCGGAGTTCCTCGTGGAAGGAAGTTACCTTCACGATCACAGGGGCGAGCTTCATAGGTCACAAGCAATATATCAGTACTTGAGAATTATACAGTCCATAAACTTACCAGACAGAAGCGGATGATAATTTCTATACAACCGGTCACCAGGCCCAACAAATTGAGCAGTTGGTTGCAAGGGATCTTCCGGTCCCAAGTCCGTGTCGTTGGCATCACCAAAATCCAAATCAAAGGACAATGCAGGACTTGGTGAACAAGGGACAGATGCCTGAGTCACTGCATGTGGATGTAAGAATATGGGGTGCTTCGCATTCATGTGCTGTGTATACCCTGATCGGTTCTTGAACCAACGGTTACACCCCGGCTTCGTGCAAGGGATGCAAAGTCCACTGGCCTGGTGGCGCAGGTAGCTTCCTTGTGACCCAGTTTGGGACATGCTGGTTGAGGTATTTGGAGTTGGGGAGGGTAGGACTCGTCGGTAGGATAGCCAATATCTGGTCTGGCGGATTGAGTTGATGGTATTCAGAGTCAGGGAGGGTCAAGCTTGTCGGTAGGATGGCTAGTACGAGTGAGTTGATGGTATTCAGAGTAGGGGGGGTAGGACTCGTCGGTAGGATAGCCAATATCTGGTCTGGCGGATTGAGTTGATGGTATTCGGAGTCGGTAGAGTTGAGCTTGTCAGTAGGATAGCCAATACTACCAGCTCCAGCGGATTGAGTTGATGGTATTTGGAGTCAGGAAGGGTCGAGCTTGTCGGTAGGATGGCCAATACCAGCTCTGGCGCGTGAGTTGATGGTATTCAGAGTCGGGAGAGTTGAGCTTGTCGGTAGGATAGCCAATATTGCCAGCTCTGGCGGATTGAGTTGATGGTATTTGGAGTCAGGAAGGGTCGAGCTTGTCGGTAGGATGGCCAATACAAGCTCTGGCGCGTGAGTTGATGGTATTTGGAGTTGGCGATAGTGCAGCTTGTTGGCAGAATAGCCAGTACTAGCTCTGGTGTCTGGTGTCAGCTTGGGGCAGAACCAGTTGGGATGATAGTCAGTACATACCGGCTCAGATGCTTGAGTTAAGTGCTGGAGGATGCAGGCGGACTTGGAAAATGATGTAAATCGGTATTGAGGGTTACCCTTGGAGTTACAATGGGTTGTTTGTTTGCGTTTAGGAAATTTGCAAAGTCTCTGACTAGTAACTCTTACATACCTTTTATCAGGTCCTGCCCTTCGCTGCTTCTTTCTTCCTGCCTGTCGCCTGCCTTTAATCTCCGTTATGACACCTCCTGCCTCCCCTCGTCGTACACGCCCAAAAAATGCGACACAGCGCCCTGGACTCATTCTTCTTGAAGGTCAAAAAAAACGACGCACCAAGGCCCAGATCGCAGAAGATCTACAGCATGCAAAAGATGTGCAGGCTGTCCAGGCAGCGACTGCACAGCGTGGAATTAGCCACATTGCTGGCATTGAGGCTGACATGCAGGCACAGCAGTCGACTCAGGCAAGTGGGAGGGGGAAGCTGCCCGTAAAGCCCCGTCCTAGACCAGTGAAGAGTAAAAAAGCAGAAGTTGTAGCGACTAATGAACTTACCTTGGAGAGTCCTATTGTGCCGGCAACACAGGTCAAGGCCAAAGGCACAGGCAAATATGGCACCATGGGTAGGGATGCTGATGGCGTTGATGCAGGAGATGGCGAAGTGATCGGAAACGAAGTTGAGAAGTCAAAGAAGACGAAGAAGCTTAAGAAGGCCAACCTCATTTCGCGCGAGGTGATCAGTGCTGCAACGAAGCATATCATCAATCAAGGGAAGGCACCTGACAGTGACAAGAAAGGAAATCTCTATCCGTCAGTCATTTCTCTTCTCTCACCATCATGATGTTAATGCTCACAGAATCCACGCTCCACTTCATGACGCTTACATGGGCGCTCAGTAGTAGAAAACTTAACGTTGCTAGAAAGATCGATAACTGGCAAACTCTTGTTAAACCTCAGGAGGAAGTTCATTCCGAACTTCAAACGACAATAAAAAATCCTGTTTTAAGGGCCGTCCAATCTGCTTCGGGCAACACTTTGTCAGTGACAACTTTGAAATCGAGTCAGACTGCAGCAACCACAGTCTCAAGTGCGAAAGAACCCCCTCCCACCTTGATCAAATCTTCAGACGGACTGGTATCAGAGGAGGACGAGGAAGAAGATGAGGAAGATGAAGACGAAGCAGATGAAGACGAAGAGGAATTACCAGAGCAGTTGTATGGGTTCACGGCCGACAGGAAAGACAAGGCGGCAATGCAGGTAAGTGTCAGACTTGATCCGATCATTGAAATTGCTCAATTTGGTTGTAGAGTGTTGTAGCGATCTCTGAATTTTCGGATGATGAAGTGGCCGAAGCACCGGCCATCATTCCATTCAACTTATTACCATTCACGCAGCAAGCAGATATAGTAAGGTTTGCTTTAGAACAACCTCGAGCTCCAATCAGTACTACCTCCAAAAGGAAAATCGAGGACCTCGTCGGATATTACAGCTCATCCGAAGAGGACATTGCCCCCGTTGTCGTTGATGCAGAGTTGGATTTGCTTTCGGCGTCTGAGGTCGAGATTGAGGATGTTCCCAAGCCAATGCGCACCACTGGCACCGCAAAGGTGAGTATTTCTTAAAATTCTGTTATATAACGACACTGAGGCGCCTGCTTATAGACGAGTGTATCGGTCTCTGTGAATCCGAACCCATCCAAGAAAGCCAAAGTCGAACCGGCTCGCCAGGACCTGTCCAAGAAGGTGAAAACAGAACTCGTTTCTCAAAAGAAGGCCAAGGTCGATCTACCTTCCAAGGACACTGACATTCTGGTTCCCGCAACCCCTCAGCCTGACTTAATGTTTGCGGATATGGCGACAAAGCCTAAAACTATAGGGCAATGGAGAAACACAGATCTCCCGTCGATGATGTTGGAGGACGGCGCATGGCGCAGAACTTTTATACCAACAGTCTTTCTATGGGCTGGCGCTCAGCCAAAATTTTGGACCATCGAGACTGAGCAGTTACTTCCAGCACTACAATCTATCTTTGACGTTGCTTATCCAGGAACAAATCACAATATCCAACCAAAGGGCCCTATCATAGGCTTGGTACGTCTCACTTTTGCTTTTACATTTGAAATATTTTTTCTAATGTCATGTTATCCCAACCAAAGGTAAATCAGCGTCTATGCTCCTGGCGCAGTAACTTCGGATCTACAGCCATCGCCCTTGTTACTAACTTCCTCGCGGCCTCCAAAGCTGATGAGGATGATGAGGACGAGGACGACACCAGTGACTTTGAGCAAGTGCTGGCAACTAACCTTCTCGAGGACTACGCTTTCCTCTATGAGGATCCGGAGACCCGTGACCCAGACCAGATCTACCGGTCCATATTCATGTTGGAAATGATCGAGGCCGCCCACATTAATGCCATTGCTGGATTCCTTGATGTACCTGCGCTCAACACTCATGGTTTGCATTTGAATGGAATGCAGGCTGTAATTGCTGCATGCGCTGCTGCAGTAGGTCCTATCTCCAGATTCTGGCTTTTATTAATGGTCCGTTTCTATAGCTCGAACGTGCCTTTTCTTTCGCTGCAAAATGTTAAGACCGTGCACAAAGGGTAGGACTGATTCCGAGGGGCTTGGCTTCAGCTCGTGCGCTGCGCCCCTTACCCGAGTATGTGCCCTTAATTTCAGAATGATGTCCGAAGGACGTCCGAAGCGCGGGAAAGTTCGGAAGGACTTTCCGGACGAGTGCAAGTAACTTCCGGACGAGTGCGGGAAAGTTCCGGAGGAACTTCCGGAAATTACGATGAGGTTTCGTCCTGATACGGATACGTGTAATGGCTACTTATGACAAGTCCTAAGTAGAAGCAAACAGAGGAAAGGCTGCAAGGACAAAGTCCGAAGCAGAATAGGTCCGGAGGACTGCGGGAAAGTTTCGGACGAACGTCCGGAAACTTCGGAGGATCGGATGAGCGGATAAGCGGAGCTCTGGCCTAGGGAATTTCTCCCTAGGCCCGAGATGGATATTGACTAAGTCGATAGACTAGAACTGATGTGAGGACTTAGAGTGAGATCTAGTGCGAGGACTAATATGATATTCAGACTGAGGAACTACAGGACATATACAAGAGTTTATATACTAAGGAAATAACGGAAAGATCAGTAAGCAAGCGTCCGAGGCTATGTATGAAGCATAAGCAAAGTTATCAAGCGCGAGTCGGAAATGAAGCATAGGTTAACGGATCAGTAAGCATACCGGTAGTAAGTATAACCGAGATACCGAGGACAAGGAATACCGAATAGAGGAATAGGCTGTGTTAACGTTATATGCACAGGAATTGAATTAGGAAGCTTATCGTATATCGGATCGGATCGGACCGGACCGGACCGGACATCCGGATGAGACGCGTGGATTGAGGTATGGAGGTAAATGTATGTGGATGTGGATGTGGATGTGCAGGGGTGCAGGGATCCGGATGGATAGAGGACTGGAGACATGGATAGGGTGTCCGAAAGTCCGGATGAGGCGTGGGAATATTGTCGGATGTAGGTCCGGAATACGGGATATGACACAAAACCAAAAACCTCTGCTGACAACCAAAGCACTACTGCCGGCAGTACAAAGGGCAGCAGTAAGCCTCGCAAAATGCCCCTGAAGCGCAATAAATCCTCGGGCAAGGACAGCACTGCAGCGTCGGCCTTTTCAGAAGCAAACTGTGGGTTGGTGACGTCTGAATATTATGATTCCTTGCAGAGGCGTGGGTCGAAGTACACAATGGACACAATTGCCATGGTGCGTCGGCGGCAGGCAGCATCCTCAAACGCTGCTGCTGAGGAGGTAAAACCCAAGGGGGGACGTGCCCTGCTTTGTAAGTATTTTTCACTCATCGTGTGCTCTACTAGTAGTACTGACACGTCTGATAGAATGTTCTCTGTTTTTGATGCTTGTATCACTGTTTCCGCTCACTTTCCGCCGGTGGTACTATTATTAGTAGTATGCTCCAGACGCTTATGCACTCCGAGTTCCATCATAATGATCCCCTCCCCCTCTACTAGTAGGCTACTAGTAGTACTAGTAATTTGAGCCATCTTTTTCTCTACTAGTCGCACATTTTCAATACCATTCGTCATTTTGGATCACTTATTTCATACTTTTAAACTACTTTTTTTTGACTTAATGCAACTTTTGATCCCTCATATCGTGCATTTTTGAGTGGGTTTCGCCAAAAAAAAGTTGACAATAAGTCAAGCATAAGTAGAACGTAAGTAGAATTTGAGTAGAGAGATCTACTGAAAAAAGTTGGTTCAACTTTTTTCGACCTGATGCAACTTTCCTACCGAGTCGTGCGAAAAGTTGGACATAAGTAGACAAAAAGTAAACTCGTGATTTCCTGATGTTATTGATGGGGACGGCAGGTTCATCATCGTCCGACATATGAGTGGCGCGTCTGCTCCAGCCCACCTGTTGTTCCCACGTACCTGATCTAATTAGATGTGACAGCTGGGTGTGATGGCGTATCTAAGTCGATATGTTTTTGCCTCTCCCCGCCCAAATGAATAATTGGTCGATAAAGGAGGGTCTTTAGAACTGTAGAAGGTGCTGGGTAGGGTAGGTACCTATGAGGGCCTCGGCTATATCCCTCCCGAGTGCCTGGGTGCCATATTTGGAACTACGGCTATTATTAACACCGGCGGCTGTCCTAAATAGGCCACGTCGTCACACAAACCTTCGTGCTCGCTGTGCACGACAGCGAGCTCATGTATCTCGACAGCGGACACACTTCACAATGGCGGACCTTTTTATATATGCAGCAACAAGTGTATACGGTAAGTTTCGAGCATATTGCCCGTGCTGAAAAGTAATTAAACATCAAAGGTAACCTGGAGAATGTCCTCAAGAATGCGCGACTGCTCTTCCCCATCAACTTCCGCACCCTCCTCGTCATCCAGATCCGCTATACCATCTTCCACATTTTCTGTAACGACAGGAACCACTGGGACCAGCAGACGAGCAGGGATACACACAGCAGGTGCACTGCCACTTGCCCCAGGTGATTCTTCGCTGCTGACTCCAGGTGACAGCGATCCTGTAAAGCCATGTAGCTTGCCCATGCTGACTAGACGGCGAAAATGGTGTTCAGTGAAGCGAGCGTAAATGTTACGATGGACGCTAACTTGATATGCAAGTGCAGGATGGATGGTTCGAAGTTGTTTGTCACACTCGCGTAGGTATAAGTCCTCGTCTCGAAGGTACGTGACCATTCTCTTGACCTCGATATTGAGTCGCTGAACCTCTTCTCGTGCGCGTTGCATCTTGTAGTACGTATCCATGGCTAAACGACCGGTGGGGGTGGCCCAGGCATGTTGAGACACATCTTGGCGGGCATCTCGAAGAAGATCAAAGTCGGAGAGGAATGCATATTCAACGACCTCGTCCCAGGAAAGAGATGGACGAGGTGGTGAAAGGGCACGTGCTGCAGTGTTATAGCGGTCGAGTGCCGTCCGAATAGCTGCAGAGCGAGCCTGCAAAGCTCTCCCAATGTGTTTTCGTAGTTTGTAGCCTAGATTAATGGTCAGCGCTAAGCTCACACCAATGCAAATGTTTGTGACTTACCTGTCCCCGCACGGTTCATCTTCGATAGCTCAAAGATACGAGCAACTACTAAACCTTCCAAAGAGTCCAGGGCCCGCTGAAACTTCCGATTTGCTACAAGGCGACCCGCATCCTTCCATTCGATATCATCCGGCGTCCATCGACGAGTCACCCCGAGCTTCACTTCAAGCTCTTGGACAACTTTGAGATCTTTCTCATAGTTCTCGATGGCATGCCGACGTGCAGTTTCGATTCTGATAGTCGTAGCGATATCACGTGATCCAAACGATGCACTGGATGGTGTGGATATGCTCCAAGGCGCACTGGCAACATCCAGGTCTTTCCTGTTTTTTTTTGAGCTTTTTGGTTTTGAGAAAAAAACTACTACTCACTTGCTTGCAGTCATGTTGACAAGCTTCTGCCAGTATTCCATTTGTAACGTTTCGTGTTTTGGTTCCTGGTTCAACGACATTAGGTAAGCACGTTCCTCGACCAGCCAGTTTTCGAAGACGCTATCGTTGGTGATGCCAAGCTCACGCATGAGTTGCGGAAGCGTTGACTGTCCGTCGTGCAGAATACAGAGGGCCTGTTTATAATTGTTATATAGGAACGTAGCTACAAACAATGTCAGTTCACGCTCGTAATCAGTATGAATTGCTACGTACAAAGATTGGCGTATACTTCGAAGTCATCAGTATGCTGAAAATAATTCGCGATAGCTTGGCGTCGGTGAAAAATACTTGAATAACGGACCGAAGATGCGAGTGCGTTCGATTTTGAGAACGTTCGTTCGCAGCCCTCGAGATCTTCAAGTCCTAGACCTTTGACGTATGTAGTTAGATGATCAAGTTGACACAAGCGTTTGTGGGCGTGTCCGTGAAAAGCACCGACGAGTGATGTATGGTTGAGCTCACGCGCAGACTGACCCAGCACACTTCGATTGAGAGTAGTCTTGAACCTACAGCCAATATCATAGCCACCGCCTAAGTCCTTGCCGAAAACCTCGAGGAGTTTTGATACAACTGCCAAAGGATACTTGGATCTTAAAACAGCATTAGTAAATAGCGAAATCTAAACATGAATGACTTACTGTTCGCCGCTTTGAACCATGTCCGCGATAACAAGAGAGAATCCATGGCGACAGACAGCCATGAAAATTCCAGACTCATCAAACACACCCCACATTCTTCTGGTTTTTTCGTCCTTCATGTTGTTCCAACGTCCAGCGCATGGATTTTCCTAAGGATGAGTTAGTAGGCTGTAGACAAAAAGTGAGGCACCTTACCTTGTCGTCGACTGATAGCATGTCGACTGAAGAATCACCAGCGAAGCTATTTACGTAGTCCCTCGTTAAGTACCGGTCACCACCCACAGATTGTGTAGAAGGTAGCTCGGCAGACCTTGGTAGAGGAATGTCGTTGTCGTCATCGAGGTACTCAGAGTCATCCCGCACAACCTTTTTAAGCACTCGCTTGAGCGAGTCGTTGCCGTCCATCGTATAGAGTAGACGGAATTTTAAAGTGTCTTCATCTTTGAGCGTGTAAGTACATGCTGGGCACGCGTGCATCAGACGCCAGTTAGAATTACTGCGTCCGATGGCTTCGTGGACCAGTGATTTGACGTTAGAGAGAATCTGCAAGTACACGTCAAGCGCGATCGAGAATTGGCGTGAAAGATATGGGTGAAATTGAACCTAAGGCAGACTTGCATCAATGTACCATGAGGAAGCGGGACTTGAGGTACTTACGCCTTGTAGGTCACATAGCGTTTTCACATATGCCTGAATAGAGAAGTGCGGGTTGCGCTGGCGTGCAATATGATAAAAATTGAGGGCTTGCATTGTAACCCCAGTTGATGGGCTGATTGGTGAACACGGGACGACACCTTGCCGGACGAGTGCTGAAGCTATGAAAGAGTCAGTCGATAGAATAGTTAGAGGTAGCCTTTCAGCGTCTAATGCATAACGTGACGGCATCAACACAACTACACAATCAATAGCCTGAGAACCTTACAAAACACATCCACAACGTTGATGATAATCGATCCTGCATTTGCGTCGACCATTGTTCCAAATGTACCACATGTGTCTCGATACTGTGAGAAGAACCCCCGACCGTCCGAACCACCATTAGCAAGATTCCAGTCCAGGTAGGCACGTGTTAGTGCTGACATTTGCTGGTCAAAGGCTTCCGTGCGACGCCTAGTTCTGTCACGCCTGGTCCTATAGTCAGCTCGATGACCACGGGTCTGCGAATTTCTGCCGAGTCTTGTTAGCAGTGGTATGCCTAATTTACATAATGAACCCTCACCCTTTCCAGAAGTCACTGATTAATTGCCTGGTGAGTTCATGCAGCTCCCCACCTGCATGGCTAATGTTGACTGACTCTGATCCGTCCAACACACTACTTCCGAAATCGTCGTCACCATTGAACCCATCGAACATGATGTTATCATCATTACGCTCTTGCAGCGCCTCGAGTGCACGTTTTTCTTCCAGCGTCATCGCTTCCAAAGTAAGTTTCATGAGTTCCGGAATCAATGCTACTGATGAAATGTACCTTGAATGCGAGATTTTTTGTGGATGCTTACTTCTGCTGCGCGTGCAGCTATTTTTCTCGGACCCAGTACCTCCTGCATCGGACGTAGCCCATGGTTCGGATCTCGGTGAGATATGACATGTCGAATCCTTTGTGAAGTGAGTCCTGTTTGATTTTTCGGACGTTTGTTGATATTTCCTTGTGCCATAGGACTTGTTTTTCGGAAGTTGTGGGTACGATAGACATATGCACGTGACTTTTTCTTGTTCTCTGCTGCGGCACTGCACCTAAGACATCACTCAGTGCTCGCTCGATCTATCTCAATCTATCGTGCAATGAGCTCCACTAACACCTCAACCAGACAAGGTGCGTGTTACCCTAACCTCGTTCACTCTGACAACGCTAATCTATCCATACAGCATCAGATAATGTGCATGATCGCAGACACATCAAGACGGTGACTCGAACTCGGACCACACGTACCGTGCAGACTCATACTTCCCGAATCGTCACCTCTATGAAAACGACCATCGATGCTACTGAAACTGAGACTGTGAAGGAGAGAACTCGAACTGTGGACTCCGCCGTTACTCATACCATCTCTGGCCCTGTGAGTACCATTATACATCTGTTGTGGGGATTACTCTCTTACATATACCGGCAGTCCAACCTCCCCATCCTGAATACTATGATAGAGATGCCAAATGCATCAGCTCCCTCGAGTCCGACCGAATCGACGGTATCCACCGTCACCAGTACTTCGCAATCTGACCCTGCAAGCCCAGCTCAGTCAAGCCAGTCAAGCGAGGATCTGTGGGTGCAGCTTGAGGATCTCTCAGAGTATATGAATGCTGTCAATTTGAGTGAGGGAGAGGGCACGTAGAATACAATGTATTGATTATTGATGTAACACGAAGAATGACTCACACACTCTCAGCTTCAAATCTAAGATCGATATTTTGCAATCATGTTAAATATTGCGCATGATGGTACCAGACACTGATGATAATATGATATGTTTAATGCAAAGTTTGCAGTGTTTGTGCAGTTCGATTCGGCGCCGTTTGATAAAGCAGTGACGGAGCCAATGAACATAATGACATTATTGTTATTGTGAATATAATAGCTGCACTCAGACCTCAAGAGGAATGATTATAATCTATGTAAGAGTACTAATGTAATGTACCAGAGTTCGTTTGTGGATGAAGCATGTGTAATGCTCGTTACAAGTGTTAGGATCATATACTGGATTTCGTGGATTGTCACGACGTCATTCATGCACAACTGACAATTGCCACATGTAAACTCAATGTAAACTCATGTTCATGCTCGTTTGAAACTACAACACACATTCGCGGCTTCGGATCTGCGCTGAATTGTCAAGGATACATGCTTTATTATCACTCTAAGTGCCACAATGTAAAAAGACGAAGAAACTCAAAACCGAGACAAAATACTGATGGTTAACATGTGTGCCACAGGCTGTACCGCGACTATTCAAAGTGTGAAGCGCCCAAGAATTTCAATTTACCTAGACACTATTTAGCAAATTCACGCATTGTATCTTTGCTGTCCTTCAGGGTTGTCGTGAGTGATAACGATAACCAGTGTCATTCATGTGTTCTCGAATCACGATAAAATTGCAACAATAATACATGACACATGAAATGGAATGACTATCGCGAAACAACGAAATTACAACGAAATTAGAGTGTCTCCAAAAAGTATGAACGGAAAGGTAACAGCCTTGCAGTTCCCGCTGGAGTAAGTGTCGTCACAGATAGCCTTGGATGCGAGTATGAAAGCGGATATGAAAAGACGGTAGTAAGTGTCATCACAGATAACCTTGGATGCGAGTATGAAAGCGGATACGGAAAGACGGTAGTAAGTGTCGTCACAGATAACCTTGGACGCGAGTATGAAAGCAGATACAGAAAGACGGTGAGTGGAGTAGGTAAGTGTCGTCACAGATGACCTTGGATGCGAGTATGAAAGCGGATATGAAAAGACGGTGAGCGAAGAATGCGGAGGGAATAATGTAAGTTGGGAGGCTCACCTTGCTGGAGTAAGTGTCGTCACAGATGACCTTGGATGTGAGCATGAAAGCGGATACGAAAAGACGGTGAGCGAAGAATGCGGGGAAGAATGTAAGTTGGGCAAGGCTCACCTTGCTGGTGAGTAGAGTAAGTGTCGTCACAGATGACCTTGGATGCGAGCATGAAAGCGGATACGAAAAGACGGTGAGTGAAGAATGCGGAGGGAAGAATTGGGTAAGGCTCACCTTGCTGGTGAGTGGAGTAAGTGTCGTCACAGATGACCTTGGATGTGAGCATGAAAGGAATAATGTAAGTTGGGAGGCTCACCTTGCTGGAGTAAGTGTCGTCACAGATGACCTTGGATGTGAGCATGAAAGCGGATACGAAAAGACGGTGAGCGAAGAATGCGGGGAAGAATGTAGTTGGGTAAGGCTCACCTTGCTGGTGAGTAGACTAAGTGTCGTCACAGATGACCTTGGATGCGAGCATGAAAGTGGATATGGAGAAAGTCCGCCTTGAGTCACTGGAGTAGGATGAGAGGAAGGTTAGTATGGAGGAATGAAGTTTAGTAAAGGATGGGTAACGAACCAAGTGCAAAACCTCAAAGCCTGCTTGTGGCTGTAAACGGGTCTGAGTATTGTTGTAGGCTGAGTAGTCTCAGGTTTGGGAGGGATGAGACTTGGGAGGGTTAACCAGTGACGCGCGATGTTGAACATTGAACGTGGTGGGGTGCAACATGTGATATCACATAATTGATTGCTACCGTAAATGAAGGCGGAAGCATAGTATTTGTAATTGAAGCGCAGGTATAGTGCTAAAAATAGTATCAACTGAACACGCCTCGCTGTCAGCACATGTTGAAAGTCAAGTTTCCACCAACTTGAGATTCTCTTCTCTTCCGCCATCTCATGAGTATTATTCGTACCTAGTGCTCACTCAATATGTCTAAGGAGTCGAGGAACAGCGCTTCTACATTAGTTCAACGTGGCATGTTTCTCAGCCACTGGCCGTGGCCGCAGCGCTATGGACTACATCAAGTTGGTCACCAGTATGCTTGTGAACGCCTCTTTTTTTGCTTACCTGCTGACTTACCAATAGAAATTTATACTGTGCCTCCACCCTGTTAATCACACAAGTCCATACTCAGACAGCAGTATGTCACATGTGCCACTGGCGCCCATCTAATGTCATGCTCACTTTTTCTTTCAACAAACATTATAGCCCACAACGGGGTACTTGCTATGCAAGTGCCTTGTATGCCTCCACCAAAACGATGCTCAATTCAAAGACCTTTGTACGTTGCCTCTGCATACCAGAGAGAACGTCCTCTCCTCATCTGTGCACGTGACGATCATGATAGACTGCAGGTAAATTATTTATTTTACGAATTTCTGAAAGATTGACATGTTTTTGAAAGGGGCATCATGCCTTTGTTTACCGTTATTCTGGCTTGTAGGTAGTTCAATTATTTAATGAATTTCTGAAAATTGACATGTTTTGAAAACCACGTCGCGTCCTCGTTTACTTCCATCTACTGGCAGGTGCTCAATTTAATCTCTTCACGATGTATGATTTCGACTTTTCTGGTTGCGGATTTTCAGAAGATTCAATGCAGAATGGTGCTCAGCATCAGTCAGGTCAAGATGGACGCGTTTTTTTTCTTTCATTTTCTCATTTTTTGCACTCCAGAGTTGACAATGTCGGGAGACTTCGGATCACAATACTCTCAGCGTCAGTCAGGTAAGATGGACACATTTTTTTCTTGTTGTCTGCTCGAGAGTTAACGATGGCAGGAGACTTCGGAACAGGACACTCTCAATACCAGACTTGGGATGGGTCGTCCCAAACTCCTGCTCCTTTCTCTTTCACATTCCCTCCACTCAACATCAACTGGGATGATCCAACTCTGTACGCTCGACTACCTCCCCTCAACAATTTCTTAGAAGCCGCCGACAATCCTGGACAACGCCACACTGAAAACGATATCAGCCAACCGGAGAGTCTAGTACAGGTCGAGGGTCACATGACCCAAGACAGTCAACCCGCCGACGGTCCTGCACAATGCCACGCTAACAGTCAACCTCCGGAAAGTCTCGCACAACGGCACACTGAACATGTTCAAGGTAACACTAACACACAGGACGCTCTAGTCGGTGCAGCAACGGGCCTCGCATCCGATGCCAACAATTCGTCTTGGGCAGCAAGAAATCCCAACAGGCCCATCATTGAACCACGTGTCCCACTCAATCCTGCACAGAAAGCACGTGCAAACGCTCAACGAGCATCTCGCAAAATCTCCTCCCTGCAACGCAAAGAATCCGAGGAGGCACTGCACAGTTCGATTCGGCAGCTTCTGGCGGAGCAGGCACAGAGGATGAACGAGATTGCTCTGGAGCATGGCGTCTCTGTGGAGAAGGTGAAGAAGCTGATGGGAGGCACTAAGCACTATACAGCGAGTCGAAGTGCACAACTGGAGAATGCGCTTATGCACGCCAAAGCCGAGGAAGTAAATAGAGGTAATGTGTTACATCTATTTGAACATTGGACTGGCGCCTCACAAGCACACCAGATCTACCGCGGGGCGCCAAATATACTCCTGGAGAGATCCGTCAGATGGTGAAGGACGATAGGAACATGCAAGATCTGACAGAAGAGGAAAAAAAGGAGCTCGTTGACAAGCTCAATGAGCATCGAGCCCTGCGCAACATGAGCGTGCGTGCCACAAATACGGCGGCTATGCGTGATGTTCAGTCGACTTTAGACACCATCTTTAAAATGGTAAGTTGTATTCACTCCGAATGATTCTACCACTGACTGCATAGATATAGCTTGACGGTCTTGCTGTAAGAACCGGGATATATGCTTGCCTATTCGCCTCTCGTGGTCACGTTTACGACACCGCACAGGCCACATGGTTTGGGACCGACAACATTATGGATTTCTGGGAGGACGTGCTGCAAGTGGAGGCCGATGAAATCACACGGAAGCTGGAGCAATGGGCATGCATGATAGGTCGAAGTACGTTATATTTCTTATCCTATGTTCTTTCTTGGTATGTAGGCTGATTTTTACATCACATTAGACATTGACGAACGCGAAACAGTGCAGAACATGCAGCGCGTCTGTACTCGCCTCCTCAACTCAGGACTTAGTACGTTTTTTCTTATCCTACTGAAACCGATACTGACTTCTACTGTTTAGGGACTATAGCCAAGAGACGCGACATCCGTATCAACTACGCAAATTTCGATACCGCGATAAAGGAGAAGTTATCGATCGATATAAAGGGCTGGCCCGAAGGCGTTGTTTTCCAATCCCCCACCAGTGTGAACGATCTCCATGCTCTTCTCAAGCTTCGAGGTGCGCTGAAGGATGGCTCCTGCCACTGGTTCCGCATGACTCCCCGTCAGCGTGACGAGTTCCATGCTCTACTGGATGCACGCCATAAGAGGGGAGAAAAGGTTGGCAAACAACGCAAGAAGCGTGCTGACGCCGGGGTGCCTCGCAAACGGAAGGGGAAGGAGAATGCCCCTCCTAGAAAGCGGGCGCGAGCACCGGGGTCATCGGCACAGGCTCCAAAGAGCGCCGAATTTATTGACTCGTCCGAGGAGGAGGAGAGCAGCGAGGACGAAGTTTAACTTGAGGTAGTTAGCTTTTGCAATGTTTTGAGCTCAAAAACTCCGTTATTCTACCTAAAGCCCTTTGAAATTACATGTATATACCTCTAGCTACATGTCTATCAAAGTCTCCCCCAAATCCATGCTCTCCTTGGTGAGATACATGAGCTCGCTGTCGTGCACAGCGAGCACGAAGGTTTGTGTGACGACGTGGCCTATTTAGGACAGCCGCCGGTGTTAATAATAGCCGTAGTTCCAAATATGGCACCCAGGCACTCGGGGAGGGATATAGCCGAGGCCCTCATAGGTACCTACCCTACCCAGCACCTTCTACAGTTCTAAAGACCCTCCTTTATCGACCAATTATTCATTTGGGCGGGGAGAGGCAAAAACATATCGACTTAGATACGCCATCACACCCAGCTGTCACATCTAATTAGATCAGGTACGTGGGAACAACAGGTGCTCCAGCCTGAGGTGTCGGAATTGCTGGAATTTAAGTAGGAATCGGCAGTGTACGTGTTTGAGTTTGAGTTAGCGGTGCCTAAATAGGCGGGACTGATGCCCAAAGAAGACCGTGGAACACTAGATTGGCGGTCGATATGGGTTTACATATTTCCACCATCCAGGCACTATACTGGCCTTATTGGCCCACATGACAAGACAATGGACACCTATGCATCCAAACATCAAAGACTTCTACAGTCCTGCGGACAAGAACAGCCCTCAATTATATCCATCATCAATGTCTCTGGTCGTGATAGAGGATCCAAATTATATGTAGCGCCAAAAGGTAACAAGGTACATTTTCTGGCATATTCACTGCATTGTACTCCACTCACTAGATTCAGGACTCTTGTGAACAACCTCAGGTCAACCCGTCTAGTTATCGTACAGCTATGACCTATTCCAAAAATGCACCACCACACCCTTATGTGATTCCGCCTCGATTTCAGAAGCAGTATGCAGCACCGTGAGTCAGGCTGTTACCCCTCTTTGAAAGTGCCTTTATTCACATTGGCATCCAATCGAGTGCTTCACATCCGCAACCTCCCACTGAATCTCATCTTCACATCGATCAGGTACGATTCAAGTATTCCTTTGTATGAACGAACTAATCGGTCCTTATTAAGCATAAATCGCAAACACTACCAACTCCCACAGAACCAATGTCTCATCATGACACTCAACCGCTGGGAGTCAAACTGGGTAGCCATATGCAAACACTGAAAACACCATCTGAACCACCCAAGCGACCCCCGGGTTTGCATTCGCCTGCTGGTCGAGGTGTCGCATTACCTGTGCCATCGATTAACGTCAGCCTTCCTCCACCTTCCGAGGCAAAGGTAGCAATCAATCTCTTTAGGCTGACCGGACAGTTGATTTAGTTATTGATATTACAGAAATGGGCTCGTAAAGAACGGTCATCGGGACCTGAGTTCTCAGTCGCAGAACTCGAAGCTGTAACAATTGAACCAGAAACCCCCGAACCTTCGATCTCATCAATGTCTTCAAGTAGCGTCAAGCTACCGTCCGTTCGGGGCAGATTACGATCGTCGACCCCGAAACCTTCAATGGGAGACTCGACTGCTCCAACACCATCAAAGTTGGTTACGGTGGGCAGCGGTTTATCTCTAGTTCTGACAGTTGTATTGATCTGCTCGGCCAGCAGGATACGAAAATTTCGTCAACTTCGGGTAAAGATGAGATGTGTAGGAAATGGTTCGTTGGTATCTGTCCCCGCGGCAGGTGGTGCCATTATGCCCATACAATAATACCAACCAATCTCACCTGCAACCTTTGGCTGAATGGGGGGTGCAATCGGCCGCAGTGTCCTTTCGCCCACAAGCATCAGGTAAGTTTGACACCGTCACGATTTGAACGTAATGATGACCTACTCTCAGAGTTCCGACGATCCTGTCAGTAATCAGCTATCTGCTCAAAACGACGATCCTCAAGATGTTGCGCAAGTTGCCGATGGTCCCGTTAAAGATCAACCTCCCGTTCGAAATGGCAACGTTCATAAACGAATACCGAGTAATCGCACTTGCCACCGTTGGCTTCGTGGGGAGTGTAGTCGGTCGTCGTGTCTTTTCATGCACGAGCATCAGGCAAGTCCGAAACACTATGATTTGAGCGTGATGATGACCTACGGCTCAGAGTTCCGATAGTTCCGTCAGGAATCAACCACCTGTTCAAAACAGCGATCCTCGAGACTTCGAAATATGACCTCCACTGCAAGCCGACTGGAACCAAATCTAAGAGCACTTCGAGTGAGACTTCACACGAATCCCACCTATTCAGTCCTTTTTTAAAAAAAAATACATTTATTGTCATTGTAGGCTGGCCTACGTCCGTGCAGTTGCTTGTAGTGTGGAAGATGATAATGATTAATGATTACTGACCCACGCAATACCAAGTGCGCATCCTGGAGAGGACGATTGGGCGCCTGCTAGGATGGTGGGTTGATTTGCCCTCGGTTTTGGGATTGAGTATGCATATTCTTCCGAACGCCTCTTCAGTTGAGTGACCTGGCACCATCTTTCCAACTCAACAATGTGATCGCCGTGTTAGCTATCCATGACTTACACCTATGTCTATGGCCATGAAACTCGTAGCTCGTGCGCATCTGTGTATCATTCAGACGGATTATGTGTGTTGTATATTTCTTATACAGTCACTCAACATGATAATTCAAGAGCTCGTCCACTTTCTCATCATCGCCTAGGTGTGATCATTCTATTTCGTCCGATTGAGAATCGAAAGGCAAGATCATTTGATCAGCTGAGCGGTGGGGCTTGGAGTGGTGACATGGTGTATTTTGAAACCCGGTACGCAATCTTGCCAGGGTCTCCACGTATGATCTTGGGTTGGCGACACGGTGCCAATTTGCTCCCCGCTCTCCACCCAGGCTTGTCCTTTTACATTCTTGCAACGAGTCAGAAACTCGGGGAGTTCAGGCAGATCTAGTAATCCGAAAAATCGAGTCAGTAGTCGTGAGAGTTTCATGGTGTACGCTTGAATACCGAGACAATAGGCAGATCGCTTCTGCGGAGTCACGGAATATCACGATTCTGCACAGTCAGTGTAATGTGATTCTCGGTTGGTACGACTTAGCGCGGTGTATATATGCCATGACCTGGATAGTCACGTAGCATACTGAGTCATTGATGTGCCGCAGACACGCGTTGTCAACGCTAGCGGCTATGGTGATGAGGTGTTAAGCGCCACGGTCCGCGAAACACTCATCAAGCCGTGCTCATCGGTTTTCGGACCATCTGGCAGTTGGCTAAAAAAAGGAGCCAATGACCATTTGCTTACTTGTCCGTGAGATCTCGTAGACCAGTAAAAAGTCGAGCGTTCAAAGTGTGGGATTGAAGAGCAAGCGAGCGGGAAATGCCGTCTGAATCGGCGTCAAGTCGGCTGATCACTATTAGCTCTTGAATAAGGACCATCATCACCTACATCCAGTCTTACTCTCGAGTCTCGATAAAGGCTGGTCGAATATCATATTAGAGGACGCCGTCTTGGTATCTCACATTGCAAATACCGCACACTTGTCCGGCACCGATTAGAAGGAGTCCTTTCGATCCCAACTGCTTCTCAAATCGATGGACGGGTTTTGGAATCGCAGCAGGTCAGTGCAGGCAGAGATGAGAGCGATGCCAAGGATTTACATGCTGTGGCACTCTGCGCATTTGCTCCTGACTCTTATGATACTTCCCACTGTTCTCGCAAATGGCAAGGGCACCTGCAGTTTCCAAGGGAGAGGACAGGTCGCATCAATCCTCGCACTTTCAACCTTTTGGGTCCAATCTAGGTGCACCTTAACATCTAGAGGGCACCACAGCAAGGGCTGCATTGCAGGATTGTGCGATAAAGTCGGCACTGGCTGTCAACTGTGTTGTAGCCGTGGTGCCGGTGTTGGGTTTCCCCGAGATCGGCTACAAGTTATAAGCGATCAGCGCTAGCCTAGGACTGTTCCGATCAGTTAGGTAGAGTGAAGAAAAACTTGGAGCGCCGCAACGACTCGATCGTATCCCGGTGGACGGTCCGTTATGACCGAATTGAGCCTGATTTGCTTCCGTTGGTGAATTCGCTTCCAAGTTTCCAAGTCGAGCTCATCGTCCTTTGATGTTGCCATATCCTAGTAATTGTAATAAGTAGTAGGCGCTTCCAATAGTACTGGTAGATAACTCGTGCTTGAGGATTCTTAAAAGAGATCCGGGTGGCATATGCATGCTGTGTAAATTTGAAACCTTGTTCCGAGTCGTGCATCTTAAGCCACCGCGTCACAGTCTCTGCCGCAGGCTCGCCAGTGCTAGTGCTCGTTTGACCTCCGTGTTGGCAAACATCTTACGGTGTTGTCCTCGTTCCATCGGATAAAATTAGTGATACCCAGTACAATTTGCGTTATAAGTTCATTCTTCATTGTATCGCCGGCGACTACTGCAACTACTACTTGTCATAGTCGACCTCAAGCTGTAGAAACCAGCCAAGATCACTCCCTCTTTGCGATACCCTTCTGCCTTTCTAATTCAAGTGTCCGTCACAAGTGTGTGTATAGATCTGGTACGCTTCTTCGTCCTTGTAACTGAAATCTGAACTTACTACTATCTACCAAAGGCCCGTCATGGCTCAACCAGGAGGACACTGGCACCCCAATCCACAACTCATGCAGCAACAACCCATGCCACAGGGTTGGCAAGGCACCTGGCCCCCACCAGCTGGCGTCGCTCTTCCTCCAAACTTTCCTGGTCCACCACCCATGCCGCCTGGCGCCAACACTCACCCACATTGGAAAGCTGGCTTTTGGCAGTATAACCCTGCCTACAATATGAATGGTGCAGGTCCAGGTGTTCACTGGGCACCCGGCATGGGGTGGGCTCAGAACGTCCCTGCTAACTTTAATCCTTACAAGCGCGTCCCCCGTCCTGCAAGCCCCAGCTACTGGAGGACACAGCTCACCGACAATGGTCTTGGTTTGGAAAATATGGTCCCTGCAAGGTGCGTGCGTGATTTGGCCTCGAGAGATGATCCAGCTTGAAGGACACTGTAGAACAGATCGTGATCGAGAATCTACAAGAGATGTACAAGGCGATACCGCACCACAAACTCCGTGGATATGGAATCCTCCGAGTCTGTTGTCAACGGAGGGAACAGACCGTGCTACCCCGACGAGAGACTTCAACAATCGTCGGAGCTCGCAAGATAGTATTCGGAGTAATTTGACCCCCACCAGTTATGGGCCATCACAAAGAGGTTCGCAGGACAGCCATAACACTACAAGCACAAGCACACCTGTGCGAGACTATTTTTACAGTCATCCGTCTTCGAGACATGGTTCCGTAGACAGCCTCGGGTCCCGCTCACAGGGAGGCTTGAGCCAACATTCCATCTCTTCAGCAACCCCGCCACCACCATCGTCCCACGGTCGTATAAATTCAATTTATTCAAGTCGGTCATCATCGACCGGACCACAATACGTGCCCCCTTTTCCAGCACCGCCATCTTCATCTTCATCGACGGTCATGTCGTCATCTGCAACCCGCGGACAACAACCTCTTCAGGCACCCGTGTTCACGAGAGAGCCAGAGTCATTTATGACTAGGCCAGACTTTCAAACGACATCTTCATCCAATGCCGTGCGGACCCCTACACGCTATCCAGCGACACGTAGACATACCGATGAGGCTCTCGACCATCTCTCACGCTCCTTTTCAGCGCCTCAACCGAGTGCGAGCACCGCTTCCCGTGGCCTTTCAGTGCCGGAACCCCTTTCGCGACATCATTCACTCCCAACCACGACATCACCGTCCTCTATGGGTTCGCTGTCCACGTTTACGGAGGATATGAGTAGTGTACTGAGCCCCCTCATTAACTCTGTACAAAGATCTGTTGCTCCTCATTCATTGTCACGGAGTAGGACAGAGCCTGTAATTCCGCAGGCCCATTTATCGACCATTCCAGAGTCCATGTCGTCGGCTAGCCATGAGAGCTCAGAAGACTTCTTTCATCCTCTATCTGCACCTCCAGATTCAGACGAGGAATCGCCAGAATCCTCACCTTTGCGTAATCGTGTCCGTACGCGAGAGATCGAACGTGAACGGGAGAGACGCAGGGAAAGGAGCCGATCGTACGAAAGAGCGAACCATCTGACGCCATACAACAATAGCAATACTTCGCGGTCCTCGAATCCTCTCCCACCGCCGCCGATGGAGCGCCCTAACCCAGTTGCGTCTGCACCGCCTCCTCAGTCCCCAGAGCCTGCGCACTATACGCGACGCATACGCAAGGGGTTCTGGAACCGACGCGGGGACTACCTCACGGCGAATTCGTATGTCGTGTATGCACCAGAGAATAGGGCGTATCCTCCAGAGTTGCAGCATTATCCCACCGAGACGGAAGGATATAGAGATCAGTATGGTGTCTTTGTGCCGTATTTGGCGGAGAGGCCAGAGTTACCTGCGAGTTTGCCGTATCATGGACGGCCTCCAGCGCAGCCGTATGATAGCGTGAGTTGTTGTGCATTTTTCTTCATCGATAACGTGGCTGATGGGACTTAGTTTGTTGTCTACAGTTATCATTGAGGATGGGAGTACCAGAGCATACAACAGATCTATTACATTGTATAAATAGAATCATAAATGCCACAGACAGGACAGAACCCTACAAAGGATATTGACACAAGTACAACTCATAATACACAGATGGTGAAACAAACGGAAAGCGACGCAAGCCTTGAGAAGAGGCATAAAATAAGATGAAAAAGAACGTATCAACCAATGGGTGATCACAGAAATTCTACCCCAATGCCACCATGCTTTTCTCGCATGTGTTCATAGATACCATCTCCCTTCGGGAACGTTGCCAAACATTCCCAGCAGATGTGGGTTTGGCATCTGATGCAAGTCATATGGTTGCAACCTTCGCTCCGTTCTATTGGAGTCCTGCAACTAGGGCAGTTTTTGACATCATGGGTAGCTGCCCATTCATGGTACAGCTTGTCCTCTGCCTTGTCCCGCTCGTCACAGGTGAGCCCATCATGAGCCTCCGTATGGCAACCAGAACAGATGCGAACCAAACAAGATGGGCATTGGAGAACAACGCCGCCAGAAGTTGCACGATATACCTGAGAGCAGTCTGGTGTTGGGCAGTGGTGGAACTCGTCCGCCCGCGCGTGAACGTATGACCAAAATGACGCTTCACACAGGGCAGCGAAATCATCACCGGAAAGGATCTCTTTGGCGAGGCCGGTAGAGATGCGCTCCGTACACGAGGCGTCAGCGCCGAGGCAGGTGAGAGGGAATGTCTTGTTTTCGACTGCGGACACAAGGTAACTCTCGAGGCAAGACGTGCACCAAGTATGTCCGCAGGTGAGAATGGCTGGGACTGATGCTTCAGTGAAGCAAACAGGACAGACAGATTCGGGGGATGGTGTGGAGCTGTCTGCATAGCGGCTTTGTACCTTCTCAACTGCTTCACAGGCGATACGGTAAGCCTGCTCGTTACCTCGAACGATCAGATTGCGCTGATTCGAGATGGACTGGACGTAGCAGTTTTCAGGACCAAGGGTTTTCTGGAGGGTCACAAGGTCTGGGCCCATAAATGGACCAACTACCCTGCCTGATAGAGGAATGCGCCACCATTTTCGCGCCTGTAATTCTTGGAACCGCGTCATGATATCTTTTCGAGCAAGCTGACGCTGTTCAATTGGGCCCAAAAGTAAGATTTTGCCCATCCGAGTTCGTAAACCAATTCCAGTGTATCGGCTCTCTAGCTCACGAAGGAATAAGTAACCGGATGGTTGGGAAAAGAATCTGTCCCATATGGGTTTCCTCTGGAGAGTCACGACTTCACCATTTTGAAGTTGTTCGAATTCTGCTTTGGCAATCCCAAGATTGCTCACGTTTTCGGCTGATATCCTAATATGAACAGGCCCATTAGGCGATGTCAGGCGGTCAACAAGAGTCACGTCATGGATGAACCTTGTCCGCCACGTCCACCGAAGGCGAGCAATGTCTTCTTGCAGCATCTTGAACTTGCCCAGCGGCAATGAGAAGTGGAGTGACTGCACGTGCCGAGCGGATATGTAAGTTTTTCCTCCAATTGCACGAGGATGTTGGCCATCTAGATGATCCCTGGCATTACTGGCGTCTGCGTGGGTCTCAAAGGTTGCCCAAACGAGAACGGTACCGTTCCAGATAGGAAGAACAAGATCGAAATTGGACACATTGCCGCATGACTGCAATATCCGAAGTACTGCATGGCGAGCGTTCTCGAGGGACTCGTAATTGGGGCGTTCGAGTAAGATAGACTCTGCGTTGCCGAACTGCTCCAAATCCTTTCTCTCTGCATCGGGAGGAAGATGAGAAAACATGACGTTGTAAACACCAACTGCGGGCAATCCTTCGTACAAGGCGGCTGTGAGAACATTGTCCCTCATCACCAATCCAGTGGCGGCTGCAATCGCAGCCTTGGCCTCATTGAGGGTTGCGTACCCTGCGTACCCGACGCGCTGGGGCGCACTCCAGGTAATACGGACAGCGGTGTCTTTGAGCACTGTGGTACGACATGCGGTAGTGTTCAAAGTCAGCTTCGCAGTGAGTCTCCTCCCCTGGATTTGGCGTCCATGAAGGGCGACCGAAGCCTCCATAGCTTGCGCTGCGGTGGAAAACTGCACTTTGACGGTCAACCGCTTGACATCCTTTCCGTCCGGAATACATAAATCATCGACTTGATATGCTTTCAAAAGGGAACGGAGTTGGGATTCCTTGACATCCGGTGACACGTCTCCAAGGTGTACCCACCGTGTTTCAAATCCAGTAGTCACATCCTGTACATCGAAACCACTACGGAGTTTCACTGTGATATGATCTGCGATTGTCACGGGTATGACAAGATCCTCATTTCGACGTGTGGTAGGGGGTGGCAGGCTGGGTGGTGGGTGTCGTGATGGGGAGTTGCCAGACGCTGGTGCGCCATCGGCACAAGCATTCCGAACTGGTGATGGAGCATTCGTTTGCGATACGTTCTGATACCATATGTTAGGAAGTGATGTGTGTTACCAAACTTAAAGTACTCACATTGTTGAGATGTTCGTGCAGATAACGGCATACGAGACGCCGGCAGCGACCTTGCAACCAGTCATGACAGACTTTCTTCGGTTGATGACCATCGGGCTTCACGGGATGAGCGCCAGAAATGAGACAGAGGAGGAATGTACATACGTTGCTGGATGTCTTGTGACTCGTGTTTTCTAGTGTGGTATTAGTCGAAGCCGCCTGAGAATGTTGTTCTGACCCACGGGATTTTGTTCCCGAGGGTGGAGCTTGTGTCATGGAGCACTGAACACTGCTGGTCGTGTCAGAAGATGGAGGTCGAGTTGAGTCTGGGGGTATCGGGATGAGTTTGCTACATTCGGCTAGCTATGCTAAGGTAAGCAGATAAAATACCTATTGTGCCTCGAGTGCTGCCATTTCGAACAGGTGCTTGACTCTTAACAGAACCTTGAGGAACTTTACCGCCCTCTCGAGTTTTGCCGTTTGGTTGATCGTTAACGGGACGGTCGGGAACTTCCGTACAAAGGTTATTATTTCGAACAGGTAGTTGATCTTTAACGGGACCAGCGGGAACTTGCACGCTGTCTCGAGCGTTGCCGGTTTGAACAGGCGGTTTGGATTTAACATGACAGTCGGGAACTTGCACGCTGTCTCGAACGTTGCCATTTCGAACAGGAGGCTGACCTTTAACGGGACTGTCGGCAACTTGCACGACATCTCGAGGATCGCCGTTTCGAACAGATAGTTGAGTTCGCGATGTGTTCTGATACCATATGTTAGAAAGTGATGTATATTACCAAACTCAAAGCACTCACATCGTTGGGACGTTCGTGCGAAAAAGGGCAAGGGTGACGCTGGCAGTGACCTTGCAACCACTTATGACAAACTTGCTTCGGTTGGTGACCATCGGGCTTCACGGGATGAGCGCCAGAAATGAGACAGAGAAGGAATGCACATACGTTGCTGGATGCCTTGTGTCCCGTGTTTTCTAGTGTGGTCTTAGTCGAAGCCGCCTGAGACTGTCGCTCTGACCCACGGGATTTTGTTCCCGAGGGTGGGACTTGTGTCATGGAGCACTGAGCACTGTTGGTTGTGTCAGAAGATGGACGTCGAGTTGAGTCTGGGGGTATTGGGATGAGTTTGCTACATTCGACCAGCCATGCTAAGGTAAGCAGATAAAATACCTTGATCTATTGTGCCTCGAGGGCCACCGTTTCGAGCAGGTGCTTGACTCTTAACAGAACCTTCAGGAACTTTACCGCCCTCTCGAGGTTTGCCATTTCGTTGGTCGTTAACGGGACGGTCGGAAACTTCCATGCAAAGGTTATTATTTCGAACAGGTAGTTGATCTTTAATAGGACCAGCGGGAACCCGAGTGTTACCGGTTTGAACAGGCGGTGTATATTTAACAAGATGGTCGGGAACTTGCACGCTGTCTCGAACGTTGCCATTTCGAACGGGAGGTTGATCTTTAACGGGACCATCGGCAACTTGCGCAACATCTTGAGGATCGTCGTTTTGAGCAGATAGTTGATTACTGACAGGACCGTCGGAACTCTGAGAGTAGGTCATCATTACGTTCAAATCGTGACGGTATCAAACTTACTTGATGCTTGTGAGCGAAAGGACACTGCCGCCGTTTGCACTCCCCATTCAGCCAAAGCTTGCAGGTGAGATTGGTGGGTATTATTGTATGGGCATAATAGCACCACCTGCCGCGGTCACAGAAACCAAAAAACCATTTCCTACACATCTCATCCTTACCCGAAGTTGACGAACTTTTTGTATCCTGCTAGCCGAGCAGATCAATACAACTGTCAGAACTAGAGATAAACCGCTGCCCACCGTAACCAACTTTGATGATGTTGGAGCAGTCGAGTCTCCCATTGAAGGTTTCGGGCTCGACGATCGCAATCTGTCCCGAACGGACGGTAGCTTGACGCTACTTGAAGAAATAGATGAGATCGAAGGTTCGTGGGTTTCTGGTTTAATTGTTACAGCTTCGAGTTCTGCGACTGAGAACTCAGGTCCCGATGACCGTTCTTTACGAGCCCATTTCTGTAATATCAATAACTAAATCAACCGTCCGGTCAGCCTAAAGAGATTGATTGCTACCTTTGCCTCGGAAGGTGGAGGAAGGCTGACGTTAATCGATGGTACAGGTAATGCGACACCTCGACCAGCAGGCGACTGCAAACCCGGGGGTCGCTTGGGTGGTTCAGATGGTGTTTTCAGTGTTTGCATATGGTTACCCAGTTTGACTCCCAGCGGTTGAGTGTCATGATGAGACATTGGTTCTGTGGGAGTTGGTAGTGTTTGTGGTTTATGCTTAATAAGGACCGATTAGTACGTTCATACAAAGGAGTACTTGAATCGTACCTGATCGATGTGAAGATGAGGTTCAGTGGGAGGTTGCGGGTGTGGAGCACTTGATTGGATGCCAATGTGAATACCCTCGGCGAACAGCGCAGCCTTTATATCTAAAATCTAACGCCCATGAAAAACTGTGGCTCTTAGGCACGTGTAATGTGGACCCACAGATGCAGGTGACTGTGACTTCTGCTGAGACGACAATGGCGAGTCAACAATGGAAGAATTGGTGAGGGATATTCGTCCGCATGTGGAAGATACAGGAATACATGGCTGCTTGGGAGAAATTGAATAGTCAAGGCTTGGATTTGGCTTACCCGTGCTATGGCACACAAATAAAAACACTTTCAAAGAGGGGTAACAGCCTGACTCACGGTGCTGCATACAGCTTCTGAAATCGAGGCGGAATCACAGGAGGGTGTGGTTGAGCATTTTTGGAATGGGGCATAGCTGTACGATAACTAGATGGGCCGACCTGAGGTTGTCCACAAGAGTCCTGAATCTAGTGAGTGGAATATAATGTAATGAATATGCCAGAAGATGTACCTTGTTACCTTTTGGCGCTACATATAATTTGGATCCTCTATCACGACCAGAGACATTGATGATGGATGTAATTGAGGGCTGTAGAAGTCTTTGATGTTTGGATGCATAGGTGTCCATTGTCTTGTCATGTGGGCCAATATGGCCAGTATGGTGCCTGGATGGTGGAAATATATGGGACTCCCTAGGGACACCGTGTGCAAGCATGACAGCTCACAACATACGACAAAGGCTGAAAGTTGGTAGAAGTTAGACGCTAGAAGCAGGATAGACCCGGTTAGCGTTCCGGATATCAATGACAAATACTATTGGGGCAGAGGGGTACGATAAATAATTATATTTATTTTTCATACGCTTATCAGAATCATTGGCGGACTTCGGCTTCGCCGATCGGGCGTATCACGCGAACGACCAGCATATGTGACTCGTTGGGACTACTGTCGAGCAAAATAAGAATAGCTTAACATAACAAACATGAAATTGAATTGATTGGGCGACATCAACGAGCATCCACGAAAGTTCACACCCTTGATGCGTTTCCCGCAGCATCCTTCAAGGCCTTAGGGATGTATGGAAACCATTGTGCTTTCTGAATTAACGCAAACAGTATACAGAAACATAAAGTGGTAAGAGAGAATTGTAACAATGTTTAATAAGGATCGGTTCGACGACAGATCCTATCGGGTATGCGAGATATGCGAGGTCCAGTAAGTCGCCGAATGATCCGTGGGTCCAGACAGTCATTCCGTTGCAGACGCCTAACATTCGAGACAGGTGACACATTCGTCTCCAGGTGAGAGTCGAGACGCCATGAACTTTCTTGCGGTTGTACCTGTTTTGAACCACGGAACTTGAGTGACAGTTGACTTCTGATGCTGGAAACTGCGACACTAGTCTGCGGTAGTCACATCAGAAAAATAAAAACAACAGTTTCAAGCCTCGAGTTACCATGAGAAGTGACAGTGCCACTTCCAGAAGACGCCAGAGGAATACCAAGAGACTGGTTACAGCTTGAAAAGTCTTGAGGCCAAGCAATGACGCTAACGTAGTATGTCAGAAAAAAGAGCACAATTAATAGCAACACAAACTGGGTTCGACAAAACGCAGAAGCCACTGCAGGTTAATTAGCCAAGTTTCGTGTTTTGACTTGCGCTGAAAGGTGTCAATGAGGGCAAGGGCCGTCTGATTGATTGTTTCAAGTTCACGGTGAGTCACTTCCGTGAGCTGGGAAATCCTGTTGTCAAGAAGTGAAACAGACTCTGCAACCTCTCGCTGGATCTCTTGTACATGCAATACTTGGGAAAGAGAGGTCTCCAAAGAGAATGCAAGCCCTGTGATCACACTCTGCAGGTCGTAAAAGGACTAGATTGCAGATGATGTCAACCTGCGACCAAAATGGAAAAAAAAACCAGTCACATTTTGCATAGCAAAGAAAGTCGCGTCAAGCGCGGACCATTTTTGCTGAACTTGATCCTGGGGGTTCAATCAGAAGAATGCTGAGGAAAGTATTCAGACGACCGCACCGCGACTGCCCGAGATTCAAGGCTCTGCTCTGACATCAATGATGCGATTGCTTCAATTTCAGCGGTCAAACGCGATTCGACGAGTGATAGTAGCGACGACAAGGATTTTGAATGCTGTGTATTCCTTCAGGAACACTTCGAACGCCCAGAGAATGAGAACAATACGCTTAATGTCAGGTCATCAATCCTCCGATCAACCTGGGAATGTCAGCTTTCATCGATACGCTGTAGATAGGTTACCTTGTCCAATGAATGAATATGATCATCGAAACTGCGCTGGTTGATAAGTGACAGGGTAGTTTCCATCTTTGTGAACAGCTGCAAGGGCTTCTTCAATAACTGTATCTAAGAGATCAGAAGGTCACCTACTGATTGCGCATTTTGAATTATGGAAGTAGATGTCACATCTGCGACGTCGCGTATATTACCGCTAGTCGATTTCAACACGCTGATAAGATCACGCAGGTCCTGTGAGAAGAAATCAGCTGGTCAGTCGTGCTTATTGGGGAATTTCATTAACTGTAGATGATCGCTCCCAATTCTGGTGTGCAGCTGTGAATCCCCTTTGCTGTTCGAGAAAAAATCGAATCAGAGCAAGTTTCTCCATCGTTATGTTTCTATAGATATCCTTTGCAGTATCTAAGGGGTGAAACGTGAGATCGACAGCTACCATTTATGCTGGAACGCACCGATTTCCATCCATCGACGAAACGCGAAGCACAGCTGGGCTGATCCCAACTATTAGCAGAACAGCCAAGAAATGACCCAGCCTCACGGATTTCTCGCAGGTACCCAGAGTAGCTAGACCAAAATTGAGCGCTCCGAGAGAGTGCGCTATGTATCAATGAGCGTTCGCCTAAAGCATGTCAACAGTGACGTACTCGACACAATCACCTACTGCATGGTGTGGAATGTGTGATCCGACATTGTTGCTAAATGGAGAACATTCGAGAGGTGGCGTATGGTGGCGGGCTGTAGCAAGTTCACAGAGGGTGAGCCTGATAGCGACTAAAAATATCAGGAAGGTCTCAAATCGTGCACACGAGACCGAGAAACCTTGTATGCGTTCATCCTCGCTCATGTGAGATACCTCGCAACGACTTTGCGCATGCCTTGCGGCGTCTTGGAAGCAATCATTTTTACGCATATATCCATCGAATGCACCTGCAAATCATAAGACTGCTATCCCCTATTGAATGCAAAAGATCGCGATCACCGATGCCAGTGTGTTTGGAAATCAGGTCGATCTCTTCATGGGATAGCCCAGCTAGTGAATAGAGCGTTATATATACAATAATACAAGAGACACAAAAACTACCGTGCATCTGAGATGAAAAACCTTGAGTATCATGCTTAGCAGAGCGATCCGGAGATTGACGCGACCATGACCAGGCGATACAGCACCTGATGAGGAATGTGAATGCCATGAGCCTGGAAGCCTTTGCCATTGGGATACTGGTATATAATTTTATGCAGGTTACAAAAACGTTGCACTAGGAATCGGACAAGAATGATATTGCAGTCGGCTCAGAGTGCTTAGTCAGCGGAGCACGGACCAGCAGACAAACCATCAATATTTAATATTCAATGATCGATGACCTGCCAGCTGCAGATCTGCGCATGACATCTAATCCAAATCTATCCCCGGAGTCACCTGAGCGTCCTACTCTCGACAAAAGGGAGCACAGGGCCCCTACCAGTGCCAAGTACTGATGCTCATGTCTTAGGTTGGTGACGATGAATTCCGTACATGTTATCGCTGGGCCAGAGTTGCAAAATGGTAGAGAGTCACAAAACACATCACAGGCCTCTCACCGGAGGTTGAGGATGTGTGGTCACTAGCACTGGTGGCATGTACGCATTCCTCCGATGAGATGGTCGTCGATTCCGATAGTAAATATAAATAAATTTACATTATGTAATATTGCTTCCATATTTATGCCTCGCGGAGTTCCATAATTAAAACTCGGTGCTACCGAATCGTTGTGCACGAGGCAAGATATAGTGTGTACACTGCATGCACGCATTGTCCGCACTGGAAAACTACTAAATGGCTGGCTGTGGGCTCGTGCGATGATCTCGGTGAAACTCGATCGAATTTGTAGGCTGTACAGTTGGAGATTTTTAAATTTATGAAAAGCCTATATCCGCAATATTAATGCTGAATCTTGCTAACCCGATCTGAGTCCAGATAGAAACGACTGGTGCACAGGCCATCACAATGATCATGCACATGAGTATGTATAACGTTGACGATCATCAAGTCGCAGCGCAATGCAGTTATTATAGTTCTTTGCAGACTACTCTCCGCGTGGTGATTCTGATGGACGCATTCCCTTACACCCATATCGGCTTACTTGAGTCTTGGTTCATTCTTGGCTCCGCCTGTTCTTATACTACTCGATGGTTCGTCAGCTCATGTGTTTTCAGGGGTTTTTCTTGCAAAGTTTGCCTGCTGTTTGGCTTGCATCCTCGATGAAGGACAATGTCCTCTTTGCAATGAGCCCAGTGATGTGGAGCAATATCCTCGTTATTGTCATGCCCACTGCTATATATCATCTTGCATTTTTTGATCACTAACCGAGATGGTTCTAATATAACGAGGAAATTCAAGAACACAATTTATCAGCCCTCTTGAATAATGTCCTAGCTGAGTATGTTTGTTGTCTTTCTGTTTTGCGAGGAAGACCGAAAGGACTGTGTGCGTACGTGCAGCTTTCACTTTCAAGAATAACGTTCTCGATGGTGTGATGCTTGATAACGCAGGGATCATTGAAGATTCTTCTGACTCGACTACAATGAATGTGCCAATTGTTTTACAATTTTATCGGAGAATTGTGTTCCCCGTTTTGCACTAGCGAATAACTGAACTTCTGAAATATTTCGAAGATTTTACTGGCCAGAGTTCACAAGAAAATCTACGCGATATACAGTACCACCGCCCGTGTCAACACGCTCATTCCAGTCGTCAAATGCGTTGCAGCCAAAAGTCTTTGACGGTAATATTTGCGCTCATGATATGAATATCGTGTACAATTATCTGCGAGTCTTATCTTAGTGTCTTCATGCGGAGTCGGGGACTGGCACAGCCAAGAGCCGCTACGATTCTAGTATGTACCTTCTATATTTCTAACATATGTATTGTATGTATTGTTTTGTGCGTTGACACGGCAATCATAGCCACTCCACAGTCTAAAAATGAAATGAACCTTAACTCTGGTGAGACGAAGCGACAGGACTTACAGCAGGAGGCTTGGAAGATATATCATAAGTGACACGATTGATCCCACTCACTTCGTTTGTGATGCGGGACGATATCCGACGCAAGACCTCGGGAGGGAATGCATACCTGCAAAATCAAGTTGGTATTGAACAGGATCAAAAGTAAGATAAAGCCCACCAGTCCGCAGTCATGAAGTCTTCCGACGTCACCGCTCTCAGAGCAATTACCTGCGAAATACGTTGAGACAGCGAACAAGAAAGAATACTGTCCTCCAAACCTGTTCGTATGTGCGCTTGTCACCCATCACGCCAACAGCCTTCACAGGAAGTAAGATCGCCATAGCCTGGCTGATTTGATTGTAGAGGTTCGCCTTGCGAATCTCTTCGATGTAGATATGATCCGCTTGTTGCAGGATTCTCACTTGTTCGCGTGTGACAGGACCCAAAATCCGAATAGCCAGACCAGGACCTGGGAAAGGATGACGTTGAACCAGAGGTGCTGGTATCGACAGGAGCCTCCCAAGCGCACGAACTTCATCTACGCAAAACGGTGAGTACAATCGGTATTATAGGATTCCGTTAACCAGACCTTTGAAGAGTTCGCGTAGGGGTTCGATTAGCTTCAATTTCATGTCCTTGAGGAGCCCACCGACATTGTGATGGGTTTTTATGGTCGCACTAGGGCCCTTAAAGCTGATGCTCTCGATAACATCTGGGTATAGGGTTCCTTGCAATAGCCATTCGATTTTGCCCTTTGCTCCATTCTCTTCCTTCTCGGAAGCTTCCTCAATCTTCGCTGCTTCTGTCTCGAAGACGTTGATGAAAGTATTCCCGATAATCTTGCGTTTCTGCTCCGGATCCTCGACACCATCAAGTCGGGAGAGGAAGAGCTCAGAAGCATCCACTACGGTCAGGTTGACCCCCAGATCTTTATTCAACATATCGTTGACTTGTTGTGCTTCGTTTAGACGAAGCACGCCGTTGTCCACCATGATGGCGTGAAACCTGATACGCGAGTAAGACATAAGTTATGAAAATGACATGGAGGCACACCTGTCGCCGATTGCCTCGTGCATTAACTTGGCTGCAACGGTACTGTCGACACCTCCGCTGACCGCACCAATCACACGGCCTTTCTGGCCACATATCTCGCGGATGCGGGCGATTTCCTTGCCAATAAATTCCTCCTGCAATCACATTGAGTATGACAATAATGCAACACAGCAATTGACTCACCATTGTCCAATTCGCTTGGCATTGGCATATGTTCAACACAAATCGACCGATGAGCTGCCTTCCTTGAGGGGAATGTGTTACCTCTGGATGGAACTGAATGCCATAGAAAGGTTTGGAGTTATGTGCAATGGCGGCATAGGGAGCGGTGCTCGTCCGTCCAATGACATGGAAGTCAGGAGGTATGAGAGACAGTTGATCGCCGTGCGACATCCAAACCTTATCAAAGGTCAACTTAGCTTATGACAAACAAAACAAAAAATGCACCTGCATCTGATCGCCGAGTCCTTCAAACAGGGCATCGACAGAGTTTCCCGATTCGTTGAACCTGCTAATCTGAACCTCTGCAAGCCCGTATTCGCGATGATCGCATTTTGCTACATGTCCCTTGTAATTCCAGCAGATCTCCTGGATCTCGTGTGAGTTGGTGTACATCGAGATATTTGAGAGAACTGGACCTGGAGGCCATAGCAGATACCAAGGATAGGGACGCCCAGAGTGTAAATACCGGGGTCAGCGTGAGGTGCGTCGTTATCGTATACAGAGTACGGAGATCCAGAGAGGATGATCCCTGAAGTTTGTGTCAGAAACGCGTTTCCCGCTGCGCCACATAAGCGAACCTTTAGGCTTGAACTTGAGATCTGCTAGCTTCGATGTACACGGCATCAGCTCTGCGTATACGTTCAACTCGCGGCATCTCCTTGTTATGAGGTGACTGTACTAAACCAGCACTCATGGTCAATACATGAGGCGATTTGAGTTAGAATATGATATATCCCGAACCTGCGAACCGAAGTCAAGAATAAGGATGGTATCGAACTGATCATGTATTTCGGCCATGTTTTATGATTGAAAGTTGAGGAAGAGATCTTTCATCAGTGAACGACTAATCGGTTGCTATTTTTAGATACAGTGAAACTGTAATCCGAAAATTTGAGCTCGCTACCTTTACATAAGTATCCTATTTAGGTCAAGAGACATTACGTCTGCACCGCTTCGACAAATTAGGATGCAAAAGTACCGTGTTAATAACTGCATTGCATCTGATGGGAAGTGATAGGGAACCTCCCGAGCACCGTGATGGCCCATACAATTGAAACGAGAAAATGTTTTACCGTCGGCGGCCTTTTGATTAAAGATTCAATCCAGGTTCAAAATTCCCTCAGAGGCGTGCTTCGATTACTATATTCAAGGTCCCTGATCAAACTTAATGAAGCTTTGAAGGGTCACATTGATGGAAGGCGTGGACTGAACTGCTGGTAACTAACATGAAGTTTAGAATCAACATAAGGCTTACTAGCCTAAGACTCTTACATACCTTTTGGTCTAAGTTATAACTTGAATCGTGCAGGTATGGCTCTGTCCGGATCCAGAACACACCTATGATAGTAGGCGCGCATGGTCTCTTGACGACATACTAATTTACCATACACGGGTCGAGTGCTAACGGGCTCGCAGACTCTGAGTTTAGGCACGAGCTAGCTGCTAGTAACACTTAACAGCACTTACGGCTGATGAATTACTCGTCAATTTTAATAGTGAGTCCATGTAAATACATAATTATAAGTTGTCTATGGGTACAACGTTTGATAATATAAAAACATAATTAAGTTGTTTGAGTGTCAGTGACAAACCAGCAATTGTAGCCAAGACTAAAAGGTGAGACGCAAGAATATGGAATACAGTATGCAATCTGAAAGAGAAGTCGATGCGGGAAGATGCACATAACATAAATATTCACAATGCCCAAGGCTTACCGACGATCGTCACCTCTTTTCCTAGAGTTAGAGGCACCCGAGAGCACCTTCTGCTCCCAAAAGGTGCTTCCCTCTCCGTCTTCCCAATCCCCCGTTACCGGATTTCTTTCAAAGTCACCATCCCTGTATCCATATCGCTCCTGCAGTAATTTGAGGAGAGGGTTACGGAGGGCAGGGTCCATACGTACGGCCTCTCCAGGATGGTAGCTGCCAACATCATGACGAGACAAACTTTCTTCAAAAAGCGCTTCTTCATATGTGCAACCACAGTTTAAATAACCGGGAGGAGCCATACGGGGTGGGTGTATTCGACGCTCTCGACGCGAATCGTGCCAGGAGCATAACGCATTTCCAGCGCGATTCAACGAACAGAACAGCCGTATGCGAGCTTCTGTCCGAGCTTTCCAGGCTGCCTGCACGGCCAGAGGAGTGGGCAGAGTACTAGATGCAGGGGTAGCTGTACTCGTGGACGACCCTGGGTGTCTAATTGAAGCGTTAGCGATGCTGCGGCCCGCTAATTCTGCTTCAAGCTCCTTGATACGCTGACGGCCTTTTTCATTTTCTAGCTCAAGGTCTTTCACCTTCTTTCGAAGGTGTTTGTTTTCTTCTTCCATGGCGTCCTGTGAAGGGTGGCGAGACCGATCATATGACATCCGAGATCCTGGGCGGCCCAGCATAACGGCGGGAGAGTTTTGAGAAGCACGGTCTTGTTGAAATGATATTTGATTTGGGTAGGTTTGCGCAAATGGCGGGGACCTTGGTGTGGCGGATGGATGGTTAAGGTGTGGTGTATCAAGACCCATGGTAGGAGTGGTATTGTAGGGGACAGTGGAATGAATATTGGACATATTGTGAGCACCAGGCACCCAAGATGTCGGTGTATTTGAGTAAGGAGGTCTGGTTACAGCATTCCATAAGTGTGGGGGAATGTTCATGTCCCCGACGGCGCCAGACAGGCTTGATGTCGGAGCCAAGCTGGAACCAGACGCTTGTGGGCCTATATCCATGTTTCCATGAGACTGGAAGGGCAAGAAGTACATTATGTGAGCATGACAGCGAGGCTGGAGAAAGGTGACTCACTTGGATAAAAGGGCTTGGCAGTGTGTGAGGCGGTGACTGCATGACGCGTTGCCCATTGTCCACAGACCTTCGCCCAGGGGAATCCGATTGAGAGTAAAGCATCCGACTAGGCGTTCCCCTCGAAGAAAAAGGATGGGTCATGGTCGTGCGTCGATCAGACACTTTGCGAGAATCCCTCTTTGAGTGAGCCTGTCGAAGGCTTGAGGATTGAAAGTGCGTTCGTCTCGAGGGAGAATCAGTAGAGGAATAAAGCCGAAGGGCAACGGGTGAGGACGACACAGTGCGACGTCGAGTATTTGAGAAAGTGCGGGTAGAGTTTGAGGGGGAACGTTGGTTCAGTGACGTATTTTCTATAGCCTCGCACTTAATATCCACGGAATGGTCACCCTGGATGCCTTCGAACTGATTAAATGTATGGAACATATCTACAAGGCCTAGGCAGTGTTAATCACGCGACCTTTCGCTGGCAAGGAGAAGATTGGATGACTAGAGCCTCAGCAAGTCAAGCAACGGACAGAGCCTCCAGAACAAGGGGATGGTTGAAGACCTTAGGATGAGTGTCGCGACAGAATTGTTAGTAGTTGCGAAGCAATGTCTGATACAACCGCAAACTCACAGCATAACACGTCTCGACGATTCAATCACAACACCTGCGACGGGCTGTACGGGAGCATTGATCATACCTCCGAAGACTACCATTGCTAGGCTAAGCGCTCTATTATCAAAACATTTTTTGATCGCCAGCTATAAACGCCGGACTTTAGCTGGAGGTTCACGGCATGCGATCATCGATGAATTGCAGTGGCACTGCCCGCCATAGGTCGGGAGTCCTGCATTGTGCTAGTGGATGGTAGCCAAGTTTGAAGTACAACTTATTTATATGCGTGGACACTGGAATTAGTCAGTGGCAATCGTAATTGCTTGCTGGGAAAGTGGTACGAAACTAGTATCCTGATTCCTGAAAATTGAAAGCCCAGTCAACACAACTGGGACGCACGTAGTACGTACCCACGAATGCTATGTGACTTGAATTTATGTACTTAACGTTCGACAGTGCGGACATCAGGGCCAAGCTTTCCTGGGCGACCGGCACAATACAACATATTCAGCTGTGCCTGTGTCGTGCAGATCATGGGACTGCTCATCGCACACGGCAGGTTACCCTTAATCGACGCCGATCTTCGGATATCGGGTTGATGTCTGGAACAATTGAATGGCACCTAATGGCACGCGCTTGTCCTCCAACTGCAATTTACACAACAATATATAAAGAACAACATAAATTGATAGGAACTTGGGGAAGGGAATTATTATTACTGCCAACAATGCCACAAGAAGCACTACAGGCAGTGCTAATGTTGCACGCAGTAACTGTAATACCCATGCGCTTACATGCTGTAACCATCATAGCCAGTTTGTCAGAGTGTAGCCAAAAGTGAACAGAAACAATGATAGACAATTGGATACACACCAGGAGCTGAAACATGGCGAATATTGATGACCTCAAGTATCCATAGAAGCAAAGAAGAGGCCGGCTGCTCACAGTCAATCAATTATAGCCACGGCTAAGATCCATATGATACTGAATGCAAAAATCCAACTCATTCGGAGAGCTGCAGTCCCGAAGGACTAAGCACTCAGCGACATGTGCCAGAAATGAATCGCAAAGGTGAGTCTTGGGGGACCACATGGGGGTGGGAACTTGAACAAAAACCCCATAGGTTAGGTCTTGCCTGGTTTCAAGAGCCTGAAATTGATCAACCACTCGATCCAGCTACGGCTTCAGTGTCGTATCGACGTATATCTCGCCAGTGTTTACCCTTGGGAAGAAGGGCACTGTATTGGACTGAATAGATGGTCACGGTACATTGTCCTAATGACAAACCTAGACTCGTCCGGCATTTCAATCTCTCCTGTCTTGAGGTCGATCTTGATAAGTTTCGTGATTTCCACGGCAGGACGGTTAGGACATCTGGAAATAGTATAGCCATGTCAAAATAATGTCAACTTCCTGGGGTGTAGTGTTCACACGAACATCCTAAAGATACGAGGGATAGGGAAGCATCGAGGCTGAACTTCTCCACTAGGAAGCTCTTCTGGTTCACATGTATATTGCACTTGAAGAACACATGTCGTTAGTTATTCAAGAACGTATCGGTAGAACATTTATGATACCTATTTCCAATAGTCGACACTTCTTTCTCTGAGTCTCCATCACATCGTCGGATTGTTCAGGGAAGGTCATGCCCATACAATGTGAGAGAAGATTTGAAGGACGTCAGATAGGGTGGGACCAGATGTATGTCTGTCGACGGCTCGCTAGTCACGAGTCGAGGGTGGGACTCTTGTCGCGATAAACTCCCACACGCCTTATATGGAAACTTCTTGATAAGCGCACGTGGCTTTCTAAGATAAAAGTCGCAGCAATCAGTTGCTCATCTGGTTTCACTCATTTTCTTTCTCCCATCATCGATCATCTCCTCAGAAATATTTCAACATGGTCTTCAAAGTAGCAGGTATGATGATCATTTGTGTGTCAACTTTGTCGATCCGAACGAGTATTCCCTGTAGATGTCTCTCTCGCAGCGTTCGGTCGCAAGGAGATTGAGATTGCTGAGGTATGAGTTTCGCCTTTTCGCGATCGATCGTCGACCGATCCCATATCTTTTAGAATGAAATGCCAGGATTGATGTTCGTCAGGGAAAAGGTACTTTGTGCGAGCTCGCAAACGAGTCCCTTTTTTGATTTCCTTGCTTTAGTACGGACCCTCTAAGCCTCTTTCTGGCGCTCGTGTTGCTGGATGCTTGCACATGTAAGTTCGAACGACGATTGATCGTTGCGGAAGTCCTCACGGTCTGCAGGACCATTCAAACCGCCGTTTTGATCGAGACATTGACTACTCTCGGCGCTGAAGTCACCTGGTCATCTTGCGTAGGTGCCTATCGTTATCTGATCATCGCGAGATACTCACTTCCGGTGGTAGAATATCTTCTCGACCCAGGACCATGCTGCCGCTGCGTGAGTATATCTTACTCCATAATATCAGCATTCTAATCATGACTTTATAGCATCGCTGCAACTGGAGTCCCTGTCTTCGCTTGGAAGGGAGAAACTGAGGAGGAGTACCAATGGTGTATTGAACAGAGTCTTACTGCCTTCCCTGGTGGCAAGTCATTGAACATGATTCTTGACGACGGTGGTGATCTTACCACCCTTGTCCACGAAAAATTCCCCCAATACCTGAAGGGTAAGTATTTTTATCCATGTTGTAACGCACCGCTGACTTGGCCGGAATAAAGACATCAAAGGTGTTTCTGAGGAGACTACTACGGGTGTCCACCACCTGTACAAGGCTTTCCGTGAGGGCAGGTTGAAGGTCCCAGCCATCAACGTCAACGACTCCGTCACGAAGTCCAAGTTCGACAACTACTACGGATGCCGGGAATCTCTTGTTGATGGTATCAAGCGTGCCACTGATGTCATGCTTGCCGGCAAGGTTGCCGTTGTTGCTGGTTACGGTGATGTCGGAAAGGGAGTGAGTAGTAATATTTTCGCTTTCCCCCGGCTGTCGTTGATGGTTGATCATGTAGTGTGCTGAATCACTGCGTTCATACGGCGCGCGTGTTATCGTTACGGAAATCGACCCCATCAACGCCCTGCAAGCTGCGATGGCTGGTTACGAGGTGACGACCATGGACGATGCCGCTCCGCGTTCAAATGTCTTTGTTACCACCACTGGTAACCGTGATATCATCACTGGCAAGCACTTCTTGGTTATGCCCGAGGATGCTATTGTTTGCAAGTGCGTACAGTATCCATTACTTTGGTGATGAGAACTCACTCTTTGATAGCATCGGTCACTTCGATGTTGAAATCGATGTTGCATGGTTGAAGGCCAACGCCAAGCAGGCTGTCAATGTAAAGCCTCAGGTTGACCGCTTCACAATGCCTTCCGGTCGTCACATCATCCTCCTCGCTGAGGGTCGTCTCGTAAACTTGGGGTTGGTTGATTTTAAGTTCAATTTCTATCCCGTAATTAACCTATGATGAATTACCAGTTGTGCCACCGGCCACCCGTCCTTCGTCATGTCCTGTTCCTTCGCGAACCAGGTGTTGGCCCAGATTGCTCTCTGGACCACCCCAGAGAAATTCCCCCTCGGCGTTCACATGCTGCCCAAGGAGCTGGACGAGGAGGTTGCTCGTGCTCACCTTGCTCAGCTCAACGTCAAGTTGACTGAGCTCAGCACCGAGCAGTCTGAGTATCTTGACATCCCTGTCCAAGGTCCATACAAAGCTTCGCACTACAGGTTAGACAACTGCGCTCTGTCGTCTCACATTGACCAACCCCTTCAATAGGTACTGAAAGTATCGATCACTGCATGACGGCCTCAACGTGCCCTCGCTAAATAAGAGGAGACGGGATCTTCAACGTCCTTGTAGGTTGGATGTTAATTATGGAAGAGTCTCAACGCTCTTTGTCGAGGTTGACAAAAAGGCTGGCTTCTTGCGGGGCCATTGTTGGGGAATTCCTATACTTAAAAGACTTGGCTTCTTGTAGTGCGCTGTGGAGTCGGGACAGTGCAAGCCATGCGGGCCTCAACGCGCCCTATCTATAGTGTAGTCCTATCTATGCAATCGAGATTGAGATGAGGATGTTGATTTACGCAGATATTGGCCAAGCGATTGTATCAGATTATTATGCCGCATTGATGCGATAGCTCGACTCAGATGCTGCGCACCAATTTCGAGCGTCAGACAAGCGCGTTGGACAAGATCCTCCGCAGGACCAAACATTGCCTTCTGGCTCTGCAGCGAGACTTTCAGAAATTGCTTGGATGCCTATCTGGCAATATGCTTCTCACTTCAAGCACCCTGAGTTTTGGCCATCGCAGCACTTTTAATTTGGTCACAATACTCAGCAATGAAATCGCAATCATTGAGCTCCGAAGGCGCGATTCCAAAATCCAAATGATTTGACACATTGCTCACCTACAGTACTAGTGTGGGAGGGTGCAAGAGACATGCATAATCCTAGAAACACCTTCGACGTGTAGAGCTATTTTTCAGAAAATCTAGCAAAGAATGCATCGAAAACCATGAATTTGGCGCAAAGCCTTGGGGATTGCGCTGGTATCAAATATAAACAAGTCGTGATCTGTTTTTGTCACGCCTGAGAGTCGCGAACGACGAGCTCCTTGATGCGTCCCTCAGCAAGATCGTACATCCATCCGTGCACAGTAACTTTCTTCGCATGGGGATCTGCCCAGGCAGTGGTGATAGGTTCCGACTTGCAGATATTGTCGACCTGCTTGATGATATTGGCTTCGACGACCTTGTTCAGCGCTTCATTCGCAGAGCACGCGGAAAGATCGAGAGATCGAACGAGTGCGGTGAGGGGGCTTAACCAGCGCGTGAGTGGGGTGGATGCGCTGGGGTTAGTGGCTGCGACTTTGGCTGCTTCCATGCAAGCCATGGCACCTCCGCAGTTGGTGTGACCGACGAGAACGACTGTTGGAGGCATATACTCGTTAGAGAGAGGATCGGCCTCATCATAAGAGGAGTAAGAAACTCGCCGTGTTCAACGCCAACATCTTTGATAGCGAATGAGAGGACTGAGAGGGCGCTGTCATCATGGAGGTGGAATTGGCTGCAGGGACGGGATGAGTATAACACGGATTTTGATGAATTTTTTTTCGTACGTACTTTGCAACGTTTCTGTGCACAAAGATATCACCAGGTTTAGATGCTGTGATGATCGATTCCGGTACTCGTGAGTCAGAGCAGCCAATCCAAAGGATCTGAAATGAAATTTGAAAACGTGGCTAAAAACAGAGCGATGGGCATACCTTGGGATTCTGGCAGGTGGCTGACCGAGAAAAAAAGTCGGGTGTGTCCTTTACTACGCTTTGTGCCCACTCCTCGTTGGCGTTGAGCAAGGTTTGAATGGGTCTGTGGGACATATTGCGAAGGGGTGGGAAGCGTAGTGAAGGTAAGACGAATAAGGATCGAAAAATGGTTGGGCCACGGATGTAGGTGGCCCTAAGCATTGTTTTATATCTTGCAGCACGGTGAGTGTTGGTGAGTACAGATTAGCTCAAGTATTACTATGAATGGTAGGAAGAAGGGCATGGTCTCGCGCGATCGAGTGGGAGCTCATGTGAGCGTCATTCTAATCGCTAGCATAACGGTATATATCCATTTTAGTCACCTTTGTTCCTCGTTGAAATAAGTATTTGGTGTGTTTCAGCAGCATTTAATTAGAATACCTCTAGATATATATTATAAAATTCTGAGTATCTCGCACCTTGTCAAAACTCATAAATGCTTTTAAAACTGCAGACCGATAGATTCTAATGCATAGTGGAGGTGTCTCAAGCAAAATCACGGAGTTTGAAAGGCCAAATCCGACTCGGACATGCAGCTACTAGACTTTTTCGACATCATGCTCGCTAGCAGTGCTGCCCTCTCACGGAACCATCAGTACAGCCATCTTACCTTTTGTTAAAAGAGGGAGAGCGACCGAGGTCACCGCTAGGTGAGACACTGGCCCCTACCTGCAGAGTATCGATGACAGTAAGCTTTATTTGATAATGATGCATCCATGCAGGTATGTAACGCCGATTGGTTTGCGCTCAGACTCCATGGGAGTATGATTTGAAATCCCCGAACGAAGATCTTTCCTCACCAAGAAATCAGTGTAAGCTTGCAATGCCTCGTGCCTTGGAATGACTGCGCAAGTTGGTTATCGGATCATGAATGTGGCCCCTCAAATGCCTTGTACTCGTCAGATGGGCCTCCGGATCACGCGCTCAAACACCACTGGTGACTAATTACAGTGTGGACTAATTACGTCGGTTCCAAACCTGACGTACATATTCGCACTAGTCCTCTGCAGTTTTCTACTGAAAATCAGTTGTCCTTATAGGTCTAGGTCTGTACCATGATGACATCTTTCGTCAATCGTTCCCTGTTGCTTGTGTCACAGCGATACAAATGATACGCAACCTGGGGTTATCCGTTATCCGCCAAGGCTATCTGCTGATTAGGGCAGAGCCAAACTTTGCTTCACATACCCACTCTACACGAATTCATTGTCAAGTTTGACATGTCGACACCCTGCTGACTTTCTCCACTGTGATTCACTTTTGCTTATTATTTTGCTCGTCAACTTTCCGTCAGCTTTATATTCTTTCATTGTCTATTCCATGCTCAAATACGCAATCTCCGTGAACTATGCACTTCAAAGGTTGGACAATCCCCGCCTGTATAACCCCCAAGGCTGCTCAGGCCCATCGGAGTGTTTTTGTAGTGCGTTTGCTTCGCGACGTCCTGTCTTCTAAATGGCTCCTTGCGCCGAACATAGCAAATTACCTGAGAGACCCAGGTAATTAACAGCTGGGTATTTGATATGTCAAGCGAGATCGATCCCTGCCGGCCATCTAGCCTCTATCATTAAGACACGCTCAATGACGTGGATCAGACTCGTGTGCACCACGGATATGAAGCTCACGACCGTGCAGATCTGCGTTTACTATATCTCATACGAGCTTTCGGTGGAAGTGCCGATGGCAACTAAATGTACTTGTGTGATCGGATCGACTCTGGATACCATGCCCGGCAGCCTGGGTGAAAGTGGGTCACCCCGCAAACATCCGTTTGAAACCCGAATGGTTCATGCACTCCCGCCATTCGTAGGCAGTAGTAAGAGGACCACGAGGCAACGGTTATCCTAACCTCATTACATCGAAGAAGCTACTTGGGCATTTTTGGAAGCACTGTATGAGTGAAGCGTGTATGCGCGGGGGTGGTTATTCGCCAAGAATGAATAGTTTTTCGTGCTAGTGGCATTGCTTCTACGGGCCGTTCCTCTCTGGTAAGGATTGCCTTGTGCGCAGTATATTTATCCTGATGAAGTTCCAAAGGCGATTACAATAATAGAGAAGTCATCACAAAGATTGCCCACCACTACCTGGAACGTTCATGATACGACTGGGACGTAAAGCTTAAAGATCCGACCCGACGTTTGCGAATTCGCCTATGCGTGGAATAGGGACGGTGACCATGGGCGTAATACAATTGCAAGATAGAATAGGTATCAGCTGTCCAAGATACGGCAGCGATGGTCATGAGGTGGATATCGCCCCTGAGGAGGTCATGAGGAACATTAATATTATCAGTTTATCAACTGGATAAGAAGCCTATGTAAAAGATCGTGATCGTGATTGATGGATGAATCAGATGCCTTTAATGCTTAGGCCTATTAGGCTCGATCGTACTCGGGTCGAGGCTCGGTCGTAGCCGACGCCATTCAACGGAAAGTGCCGATATGGGTGTAGGGGCCATTGTCAAATTATTATGTAGACGAGCGCGTGCTTGGACCCCTTCATCGCCTCCCCCTACTATCTTCCATATCCCTACTTTACATCAAACACGCCCAACCTGTTTTAGCCCCCATCTGTTACCGGTAAAGCATCTCTCAGACCATCGACTTCTCCAACCAGTCAATTAGTTAACTGTTAACCATCGATTTCGCGTCAAGTCACTTCAGGCACGTTTGCAAGCAGGCAGATGGTTTCGTCAGCGCCTGCACCATTGATTAAACCTCCATTTTCTTACGCTGAAAGTGTAAAAAAGACTCCTCGCTCTCCTAACGCTGTTCGGAACCCTCTTGGAGACTTCCCAACCGTCTCTGGCGCGTCTGGGCTATCTTCATCTTCAAGTTCTTCGCCACCTTCGAACGCTACATCCCAATTATCCAAATTGCTCAGTTTTGTCGAAGCGACAAGCGGATCTCAGGCCGGTGCTTCTGATTTTCCAGAACTCCCTACCGAGATATCTTCGCAGCATACCGTCAAGGACCACAACGGATCAACGAACCATGTGCATTCGAATGCCAACAACGTGCCAAAGGCGGTGCCTGCTGTGAATGTATGGACCGAACGTTTGAAAGAGCAGATGGCCCATGCACATCTGCATGTCCACCAACCTCAGAGGCAACCTCGCGCAATAGTCACATCTTCTGTCGGAGCGCCTTTAGTCCCTCCCAGGCTAAGGCCCATTGTCATGGGTACTTCTCCGCATCCAGTTGATGTCCCCAATACTGTGTCATCGACTTCCACACCTCGTTCGAGTCCATCGCAGACGATTTCTCTTGATGGAGACCATGATGACCATGATCCTTTTATCGTGCGCATGCCTTCACACCTTTCTCGACACTCGTCCTCCAAGTCTATCCATCTAGTTAATGACAATGATGTTTCTAATTGGCAAGAGGCCGCAAAATCTCCATCTGTTGACCTTGGAGGAAATGATGGTGGCGACAAGTCCCGAAGATCGGAAAATCACGCGGGCGCACATAATTCCTCCAATTCAGTTGATCTATCCAGAAAGAGTACGTTATTTGCCTTGTCGACTCTCTGCCTTCGCCTTTCTTAAGCATCCTACTCTTACGATTCTTTACAATGGTTTTTCGATATATCTAGACCGTACTGACTGAATGATGGTGCTCGTCACATTTATGTTCGGCAGATAGCATCGATTCTACCCGACATCAAAGTGATTCAAGACCAACATCAGCTCAAATGTCTCGGCTGAACAGCAGAAACGTATTTGAGGGGAACTCTACAGGTTCCCACTCGGTGCCCTATTCCCGAGTAGAAAGTCGAGCTGAGAGTTCCTCTTCGAGTCCTCGGCTATCAATCCGAGGAAGGCGGCTACCGGATGACGATTTCACTGTAGTGTACGACCTTCGTCACGAGGCTCCAAAGGTTCCCTACAATCCACCGCGCATGAGTTCAAGGGTCCCAGAGAGAACTGCATACCACCATCACACTTTTTCTCACCCTCCCGACATTGCATCGCATTATTTCAGATCTCCGCCCATACCACCCACTATTGACGCACCATTGCATTCTGCACGGCTGTCGCCGCTACTTTCGGGCATTCGACACCCGTACTACGCAAATCCCGTTTCAGGACACACCTCTCCTACGTACGCGGGCTCGCGCCCTCCCTCTGGAGCTGGTACTCCGCCATACCCAGTATATCCTCCATACACAGCGACATGTGGATACTGTCATTCGCGCATTCCGTGGGACGGGTTCGTTCCTCCAATCCACCCTCGCCCTGTTCCGGGCTTTTCTACCCCGTTACTGCAGGACGAGTACATTGTGCCTCCACTGATGCATCTGTCATTCTTCAATCCACCCTTTCCAGGCACAACGGAGCCATTACCAAAGACCCGTTTAACGCAGAGCGAGCGTTCGTGTGAGAGCTCGCATGACTCACATTTGCCTCCTGTTATTATTTCACGAAATATGGTCTTTGGGAGTATCGACGCGACTCATGATCACGTCCATCAGACGCCGGACGAAAAGGAGCCTGCGAGGAAGGAGGGCGAGAAATCCATTGGACGAATGGCGGAACACTTCTCTGGCTTTTACATCGGCATTCCACCTGGCGAACCGGTGCCACCCCGTCAAGGAAATAAAAAACATCCGAACAAGAGCCTTTCGAAGCCTCCTACGAGTCCCGTAGCGGAAGCTACAGATAATGCGAAGGCCATCGATGATGCACCCCAGGAAGGGTGTAAGACGGCTGACGAGCAACCGAATACTGCTGTCGGGGAAGATGTTTCAGCACCTAGTAAGAAGTGGGTGTTTGGAACGACAGCGTTTGTCAGGCTGAACGGGGCTAGTCCACTGGAGGATTCACAGAGCACGTCATCTGAGCACCTACCTCCACCCGCTGAACCTGCGCAACCAGTCGCTCCTCTACCTGACCAACATCCGCCTGCTGCGACATCCGTGGCGCAGCCATCCAAGAATGAGAAACCTGTTACGCCGCCGAGTAGTAAAAGACAGAATGGATCTTCAATGATGAAGTCTGTGGACGATTCTGCGTTGAGCGACGTCTGGGAAGTAAAGGACTACGGATATGGATTCGGCGACGTGAGTGGCACAGATAATGCCACTAATGTCATTCGCCGCGCCAAAGAAGTTCGGGAGAGGCAACGACAACTCGAGTGGCAGAGAGAGCAAGCACAAATACAGCTGCAGAAGGAACAGGAGCTACAGCTTGAAGTACAAGATATCCATACTCAGCACACGTGGCAGGAGGCATTTGAAGGGCGGGAACTGTGGGACCAAGTCAAAGAGTTTGGACGTGGGCGACCCCGTCGAGGCTCTTGGGCTGGTTCGTATGGGCCGCACGAACGGGGCGCTTACGGGGGTCGAAGAGCTCGAGGATTTGGTGGTCGCTACCAAGGGCGACATGCTGGCCGTGGGGGCTACCACCACCAGCAACGGTCCTCCATATCTTCTGTCACGCCGCCTCCACAGTTCAATCCTTTGCCGCTACCTATGAACGGTTACGTCCAGATTCCATCTTATACACCTCCCGAGTACGAATTATATCCCGTTCCCGTTCCAGTGACTATACCTGTAAACGGCGTGCCTCCCATCCCTTTGCCACAGTCGGCATTGCCGCTCCCTCTGGATCCAACACGGTCGTGTCTTCTTGGCCAGTTGGAGTATTATCTGAGCTCTGAGAACATGGCACAGGACTTCTTCCTTCGGCAGCGGGTGAGTTCGATAATTGATGGGAATCTCATATTTCTAACAAGTATTGCCATGTTACGCAGATGGATGATCAGGGATGGATACCCATTTCACTGATCGCTTCGTTCAACAGAGTGAAAAAGCTTACCACAGAGGTCGATCTCGTGCGCGATGTACTCAGCCTGTCCAGCTTGCTTGAGGTCAAGGGTGAATATGTTCGAATGGCCAGGGAGCAGTGGAAGCCGTTCGTCTTGCCCAATGCTTCAAGGAGCATTGTGTGCCATCCTATCGAACCTGAGGGAATAGAGCCTCAGGACGATCAGGTCGCTTATGCTCAGGTTCAGGAGGGTGAGATAGAAGAAGAAGGTGATACATTTGGGGAGGATGACGACGACGAAGACATCGTCTTTGTCATTGGCGAAGAAGCAGAAGGCTCATGGGCGCCAGAACGACGACCAGCAGCATCGGAAAGCACTTGATCGCTGGTATTGCGTTCAGTGACTCTTCAAAAAAGCATCCTCGAACGAAGTTGATGACCTTACTCGTGTGCACATTTCAGTGTGTTCGTGGACAGGTGATCCTATTGATTTTACCTCTTTGTTATGTTCTTTATGTGGTTAGTTTGTGTCCTCGTATTCTCCATCGCTAACAATTTGCTTCATATGCATGCTTACACAGTAGTAATGTTTTCTTCATGGCAGTATCATCCTCGCATATCATATTATCGTTCAATCGTCCTTCACATTTCCCTAGCTGGCTTTCATACAATGTTGTTCGTTTTCCTGCAGTTATCGTTCTAGTACACGAGCTATCCCGTCTATAAACTAAGTGATCATTGGGCTCTCCGGATAGGGCAGAAATTGCATAACTCATCCCTCGTTCTCTCGTTGACTCAACGAACGCTGTCCCGTTTAAATTTGTGGTGCAAAGAGCATATGATCAGGATTCTGGCCTCAGGAACATCACTCCGGCAACTTTCGGTTCGTCTAATTATAAGCCGCAGGGGTCATGCAGAGTCTGGGGTCCTCAAGGCCTCACGTTCGCTGCGGCTGCGCCCCACACGTACATATAAGCCCCAGCTTCTTGCCAACCGCATCAACATAACTTCTTGCTTGCGCGCCACTATGGTCAAAGCTTCTGACGTCCTTTTGATTCTGGTTCGTACAATGTTTGCTTAACATACACAAGGAATTAAATCACTGAACAGGTTGCTATCATCTTTCCGCCGGCTGCTGCTGCTTTTATCACCGGCTGCAGCTGTGACTTGCTCATCAACATATGTTTGACCATGTAAGCTTCCCATGGTCAATGCGGTAACCATGACACAGACTGATCATCTGCATAGCTTGGGATATTTCCCCGGACATATTGTGCGCCGGTTACCTATCTCCTTGAAGAGACAGACGCTGACTCCTTATCATAGCATGCCTTTTGGCTCATCTACAAGAAGATGCAAGCTGAAGAGAAATATGGTTACGGGGGGTTCCATTGTACGTATATTGTTTACCATCCTGTGCACTGCGGCTGAGACTATGATGTAACAGACACCGGCAACGGGCATTACCAGGCTCTCAATCAAGGTTTTGCTCCTCCTGTGAACTATGGCACGGCAGGACCTTAGGTGATTTGTCACTCCGATGATATCCAGCACATTTGGACTGTAATATGCCACTCCAGTTGTAGAATTTTGTAACTAGGCTTTTGTTCATTATTGCCCATACCTTATGAGCTTTGTTGCTATCATCATTCTTTCAAAGTCTTGAAGACTCATGGATTTATCTGGGGAAGTGGAGAACACCTCCAGCATTGCAATAATCTGAAGGGCGATTCTGTCGACAAGGGACGCCGATAGAGAATTCGAATGCTTACTTCCTCTGTCTTTATCTTCTCCTTAAGCAGATTAGCAACGCGCGTAACGTCCTTGATCATGATTTTCTGACGGTCCAGCTCAGCATCAGGCACATCAGGGAAGAACCTTGCGAAGTCCTCCCGACATTCAGCCTTTTGTTTCGCGCTCAATTGACCAGCATCAAGCTCCGCGTCGGTGGGCAACGACTTGGATGCCTTTTGGGGTTTGCGCGATCTAGAAACAGCGGCTGGCTCATCTTGATATTCCTCATCAGATGCATCTGGTTCACTCATGTCCCCATCGACGGACATGTGATATTCATCACTTTCCGGGCCACTATCTTCCTCCTGGTCACTGCGTGCTGCTGTTTCGGAATGAGCAGCAGAAGGCCCGCCATCGTCACTCCCTTCCCCGTCTTCTCCCTCTAGGAGGGCAGCACACACTGATCGCCAGTCCTTCCGGCTGACTTCGCTCGATCCCTCCAAGCTTGCTCCCCAACCTGACGCAGCATTTCGAAATACAGAAAGAACTTCTTCGTCATCCGGAGGAAGTCCAAGAAGTTGAAGTGCAGCTGGGATAGATGAAAGTGATATGGAGATGGGGTCCGGAGATGGAGACTGAGTGCGGTCTTCGTATTCATCAAGTAGAAAACCGCCAGCGTCCTCTATCAAGAATCCTCCTGGTGATACATCTTCTACAGCGGCGAATCCACTGGACTGAGCTGCGTCAAGCTTACGCTTCTTTCGAGGCGGGTTTGATGATCTTGAGGTGTTTCTAGTAGCTCTGTCGAATGCATCATCTATCCGTCGACGCAGACGAGTAGATAGAGCAACGAAGGTATCATCCATGATTTCTTCAGGTATGGAGGAAGAAATAATTGTGTCACGTGGACATCGACGCGTTCCTGAGTTGTAAATAGCGTGGCTGTCTTCTTTCGAACTAGGTTAGTACTACCACCTACTCGGATCCTAGGAGCTGCAAATTCAGGAATTTGCCCCAGCTTGGCACGGGTATCTCCAGAACATTTGAAGGTTCCCTGGGACCTAGTATCGCGCCTTGGCAAAACAGACAAGTCATCCAAAATAGTTATCTGATACATGTGAAACTTGATTACAATCTTGACATGGTATATAAACCCCTCAGGCGGACACCATGCTATCAGTCCCACTTCCCTGACTCTGAGCCATGATGCCCCAGCTAGAAGAACACTTGGGTAAATTTGATGTCGAGGTCGCAGAAAAATTCGACCCCACCTCTTACTACGAGCAGGCTGCCGGTCGTTTGGTGATTGATCCTCAGTATGTGGCCCAATCGCAGTCTTAGCTTGTCAAGGACTGACCTCACACCTTCCTTTAACTCTAGGTTGGCTAAGGTCGAGTTTGGCGAGGCACTGGCTTCGATGCTTAAACTGAGCCCCGACGGCTCTACGATTCTCTGGCCCCAACCTGCCAACGATCCGAATGACCCACAGAATGTGAGAATATGGCTGGCATGTTGCTCTGAGGTGACCTAACTCTTGAGGTAGTGGAGTGATCGGCGTAAAGCACTGCACCTTCTTGTTATTACTCTGGCAGCCAGCATACCAGACTTTGATTCGGGAATTGGTGCGTTCACGTTACGATGTTTGTTGTAGTATCTGACAACATCGCTAGGGATTGCTTCAATCTTTGGATTGGCACAGACATATCACACAACAACAGGTGTTATCAATAACCTCACGTCCAAGTGTGTAGCCTGACATTCTTTAGCGAGGGGAAATATTAACAATAGCCAATAGTTGGAGCATTTTCCTGTTAGGTTAATTCGGCTGTTCGAGAGATGAAATCTCACAGGTTGACTGATTCTTCTTCCCACAAGGGTGGGGTGGGATCTTTTGGGTCATACTCATGCGACGTTACGGTCGCCTTCCTGTGCTATTTTGGACACAGGCACGTATCTTGTGAGATGATTTTATAGCGCTGGAATCCTTAAGTCTGTGCTTAGATTTTTGCCCTTGCCTTCCTCGTTGGCGCTACATTTTCGCCGGACCTAGCAACCTTCACAGGTAAAATTTCATGTGCAGTGAACAAATTCGATGCCGACATTTTTCATTTGAAAGCAATGCGCTGTTTGACAGCATTTTTTGGGTATGCTCCTATCTAAGTTTCTCAATTAGCGACGATGATACTTACGGATAAGTAGGACATGTCCTCAGGTCACGGTACGCCCTACATGCCCTCATCCATGATATCGTCGTTTGAACTTGATTCAAGGGCCTGTATGTTATCACTGACATATTCCCATTCCATCTCCAAGCTAAAAAATTGAATATTTGGACTCTTGGATTCATCATGCATGTTTTCAATGAGTTCATCGGCATTTGACTGCACTCACGACTTAGTACAGATCCCCATTCTTATCGCCATTTGTTTTTGGCTTTCTTGTAGCACGTACGAGGCAAGTCTACCCTTCCCCTCGAGATAAACAGCTACTGATGTGCGTGCAGCTGGCGATGGGCCTATGGGATTGGATCGCTGTACAGCGCCGTCATTGTACTCCTAATTGGTCTGTTTTTGGAAGAGACGTAAGTTTATGTTTCATAACACATCTTGTATAATGCTACCTCATGATTAGGATGTATGACCGCCATATGGATCACAACCCACAACGAATATTGCCAGGCATACAATATAGACTCGAGACCCTGATTGGCATCACAGGGTACAAGATGGCCAAGTATCGGTCACACTGGTCAGAGGTTGTATGGGCATGTTTGAACGTTGTATGGAGACCTCAGTTTATCTTGGTTGTATGTTTTGAAGTGAGTTTGCAAATAAAGCAATTGGCAATGTCTCAACCTTAATGGTATTCACTCAAGGCCTTTGTTTTTGGATTCGCAGTTGGCATCAATGTGAGCTGCTATTTGTTGCTTAAGCAATCTTTGATACTTAAGGACGCTAGGTGACGAATGTCGTTTTTATGGGCTCCCCTCCTCCAGTCGGTTTTGGATTCAGCCAATTTGGGGTTGCTGGTGCCTATGCGACTCCGATCGTGAGCCTCACTGTTACCAGCAGACGCTAGTGTGTTCACGACGTACTAGCTAGCGGTGATTCTAGGAGAGTTGGGCGGGCGATTTCTCAATGAGCGAATTATGAACTTCACTGTCCGGAAGAATAAAGGTATATTTGAGGCCGAGAGTCGATTATGGTTGGTGCAGAATGTTGGTTATCACCTAGCAGCTACTGATAGGATATGCATATGATATTGCAGGGCATGTTATGCAGCAATGCCACTATTCATCTGCGGCTTCTTGACACTGGGAGCTGGTATTCAGCATTTGAACAAAGCTGCATTTATCATAGGGTGGGGGATAGCAGAAATAGCAGTCATGATGAATACAGTTGCCGTCTGTGAGCCGCACTATCAATTGCGATTATTGGTTTAGTTGTTAATTCGTTTCAGACGCATATTGCAGTGATTGTTTCCCGCGGCATCAGGGAGAAATTAGTGCTTTGCTCAACCTGGCGCGCGTGCTCGGTGGTAGGCATTCGCAATGCTTCTCTACGTTTGCCCACACATCATGACTATTCACAGGCTTCAGCGTAGCATACTTCCAAGTCCCATGGGCGACAAAATCTGGTGGAATTCAGACATTTGGTGTTGAAGCAGCGTATGTACACGCCAGAGCAGCTCAGAACAGATTCTAACCAGTTCTAACCACATGACAGGATTGTCATAGGATTGTTTTTAATTGCTGTGCCAACGGTGCAACTGAGAGGGAGATATTTCCGAGTGCGTGACAATATTATTATTATCTGATGTTGCCCTCTAACTTCCCGCTGGCATTTTAGAAGCACTTCGCTTTGTAAGTAATTTCATGAGGCAAGTGCAAGGGTTGTATTCTGCGAAGACGTTTGCACCAGTCGCGTTAGGTTTCTTACCGCTTGGGAGCATTAGAAACAAGACTGTAAGAAACAATTACACGGAAACACAATTTCTCCATAATAGAGGAAGAGATGTCAGACAACACAAGGAGCGAATTAAACTATGCTGGGAAATAAACACTGAATTGCGAGGTCACAAAATAGTCTAACTTCCAAAAAAATCAGTCCTATGCTGGATCACAGCGGGTACTCCAACTATGCGTGTAAAAGGTCCCGTATGAAGTTGTAGCATCACTGTTCAGAAAAAGGATAGTAGTGTTCATACCACGAACGCAGCGAAACACAGAACACAAGTGATGAATACGCTGTATTGCACGCTTGCGCCCAAAGCGGCTCCAGATGCGGTCGCGCTTGGACCGGTCGTGCTGTGTGAGCCGGAAGTGTTGCCACTCGATCCGCTGGAGCTCGAAGAGGATGATGACGATGGTGGGGCAGCTGCCGCGAGGTTGCTCACAGTAGCCCATGTTGCAGCGATGTTCGTACTCGTGTTACCCTCAAGGTAAGGGAGGTAAGACACGGTGCCATTGCTTGTGAGCTGCACGAGAGCTGTGACACCAGCAAAGTATGTCGCTTTGGAATCCTTGGTGGTGGGCGCCGCTAGTGCCTGAGTGGTGTTTGTCTGAAGATTGATTAGTAGTGAGAATGAGTGAGTCAAAATGAGGGACCGTACCTCAACATTAACAACGTACGTCGCAGAGGAATCTGCGGGAATGAATGCGAACTCTTGCTGGACCTATCAACTACATGAGAATGTATTTCAAGTAGAAAAAAGTATAGGACTTACTGTGTTGTCCGCCTGGAAGAATGAGGCAACATGGCCGTAAGTGGTAGGGAATGCGCTCCCATCTGGGAGCGGGTAGGCTTGAGACTGCGGTTGGAAGTAGGAGTCTGGTGCCACTATCAGTGTCTCTCCCCATGATGATAAGCGTATAGTACGCACAATGAATGACGAAGATATCTGCGCTCCCAGCAGGGACGTTGGGGACGTCTAGGAAGTGAATGTGATTTTGCGCAAGAGCCATGACTGGAACGTAATCCGAAGGGTACGGCACTTGTTCATCGTTAGTCCAGCTTAATGGTGTACTATTGGCCGCATTAAGTAAACCCATGTCTAGGGAGAAGAGATTTCCCTGTGACAACGCATCTGTGGTGGCATGTCAACAAGACACGTTACATAGTAACGGCACAAACTTACAGAAGACGTTCGTGTCATGGTCCAGAATAGCGCCGAAAGACGTGTAGTCGAAAGAACCAGCATTGACCGCTTGCATGGACCATGATTTTGCAGCCGCATCGTAGATGTAAAGAGAGGAAGGATTCTTGGAATCGGCATTGATGGCATAGATCGCGTTGGCATACTATCAATGGGAAATTAGCCCGCCTTCAAAAGCTATAATTGTGCATGCTCAGACTTGCCTGCGAGAGGTAGCATGTAGTGTTAGCTGCATCAAATGGCCTGTGTGGGTAAAATGTAAGAGTGATGTATGGATGCCAAAAATTACTGACGGTCGGTTGGATGCTGTGATGTCTGTGGCTGCAGTGCCTGCATAAACAGAATGTCAGGCCTCTAATTCTCATAATGACAAGAAACTGACTGCTGGACCATGTGTCTTGGGTGCCCGCGTTCCAGTCTTTGCCGTTGAGGTTGAAAGCAAGGAGGTTCCAATTGGCATCAAAAGCGACGCATGGAGAAGCTCGGACTGTTGCCGAAGATATGAAAAAAAGAGAGACGAGGGTCGGTAAGAACATAGTCAAGTATGATGACGGAAGAGAAGTTGAAGAGATGAATTTGAAGAGTTCGTGTGCTGGACTTACTCCTACCTCAGTACGTAATATCATTAGGTAAGTCAATTTACTGCATACACCAAAACATAACATTGTAGACGCCCGCAGGTACATACTTGGATGTATGTACAACAAAGGAACCAGTAGCATATACGTCTAACTCTAAATGATTCTTCTGGTTCTGAAATCGAGAAGCTGTCAAGTGCCAATTATAAGGCAAAACGTGCCTAATATTTGATGTACAGATTCAATGCTGTAACACAAACGAAAAGAACCACACTTACTCGGAAGTAGCTTCCCTTCAGTTGTGTCATAGGAACGGCGATGAAAAACATGCCAATCACAAGCCTATAAAAACCGTCAGACTCTTCGAGTGGGTCAAGCGATATCACTTGCGCTGTTTCAACACCAAACACCATCAATGCTCCAGATTTTGTAGCCCATGGGACTTGGAAATATGCGACTGCGAAACCTAGGCTACAATTGTGAACGTTGGACAAATCATGCGTCGTTGTAACTCACCGCCCACTGATCTTGCAAAGTTTAAGAGGGCACTGACTTCACCCTAGAGGGGAAGAACGTGTTACTGAAATGCAAATGAGTAATATTGCGTCACTCACTGCCCTGCGAGGGAAGCAGTCATTACAATATGCGTCTAATAATATTCCTTGAGTTTTCCCACGACACTCAAAGAATTGGATCCGAGACTTACACACTGCAACAGTGTTGAGGGTGATTGCAACAAATGCAATGCCCCAGCCCATGATGAGAGCGGTTTCGTTGAGATTTTGTATCCCAGCGCCCAGCGTCAAAAAGCCACAGATATAAAGCGGCATGGCTAAGTAACAGGTCCTACACAAATTCTCAGCTCTAACCTTAGACCATCAGTTGAGTTTGCATACCACAAGCGGCTCTCGGCCTCAAAGAAACCACCATTTTTGCGAATATGCAGATCCATAATGAATTCATTGACGTAACGTCCAATGAACTCGCCAAGAAGGACGGCGACCTAAAAATTCCATGCTGAGAACAGTAATCATGCATAATTCATAGATGGAAAAAACTTGCAATTGGAGTCGCATACGCCCCAGCCACGGCATATTGGCTGAAGCCAAATCCGACGGGAGGAGAAGATCCCATGAAGACAACATTTGTCGTCTACAAAATTCGATAAGTTTATTACTGTAGGTCGAAACGGAAATGCCCACGTTCACACCAATCGAGAACCCGAAAACCAATGCCTTTTGAAAAGGTCAGCAAATGTACTACGTATGGTCAGCAATGCAATGCGTCTCACCTCAAAGAGAACTACAAAGAAAAACTGAGGACGCCAAGCGACATCCAAAGATGCCACTAGAACTTCCGGCCATCGCGGTGTGTATTTTGCCATCTTGTACCCAGTGACACCTATCAAAGTTTCAAATCGATATCGCAGTCCCGTAGAAATTTGCAGTGGCTTCAATGCCAGGTGACGATCATACATACTGGTTCAGCAAAAGTCAACGCCACTATCATAAGAAACGGTATATCAGAACGTACGTTTCTTCCATAAAAAACGCAATGAGAAATAATACGATGGCGCTGTAAATAGATCCGATAGCATATGCCCATCTCCAGCTATCCAACTATTGATGAATATTCTGAATCAAGGACAGTATATGTAAGACGTACCTCGCACGCGCTACAAGAAAGCCAAATACAAACGGTGATAGGAAAGGCGATCTATGAGATAGTGAGAAATGTTTCTCCCAATAAAAGGATTCATTCTGACATAACAAAACCTGAGGTCCAGATGTTCAGCTTCCGTGCTTGAAGATGGAAGGGGAAGATATCCGTCACGACATAAAGACCCTTGGAAGTTGGTGAATGACAAAGCTATCACGAGAATTGCTACTAATCATACTGTCACCTGGGGACACGTTCTAAGACCGTAGTCAGTTTAACGCAGTCATGAAAAAAAATGACGACCTGCCCAAAGAATGCAGTCAGGCAACGCATCCCTTCATCAAAAGTTAACATTGTCCAATGAATACCAAATTAATGTGTAAATACCTGCAAAGGTGGCTAGATTCGGTGCCAGTGTGGCAGCAACCAAGAATGCAAGCGCAAAAAGCTGCGCTCCAGTTTTCAGGGTTCATATCGGCCAAATCACTAGAAATATATACCTGACTCCAGAAGAGTACTGGCAACCGACCATATCGTCTCATGAGCATGACCCAGAAGATGCCTCCCCAACCTGGACTACAGATGAGAAGAGGTTATTCTCATGTAATGGTGTGATCTCACCCAGAAGGAAGATGCTCCAGCTTCAGGGAATTGTCATTGAATGTAAGTAACGATTGATGCATCACGCACTTTGACGTCAAATCGTTGATGACACCCGAGGTCGTGTCATAAGTTTGAGCGAGGCCAAATATCGACGCGATTCCTGCAAATAAAAGTATTTCATAATGACACTACTATGGATAATGAGCGAGGGCGAAATACATACCAATTCCAGAGTCGAAGTCAGGTACCACTGCAGACATTGTAATGATGATCAAGTGCACAGTCTTGCGGAAATCGGTCCACTACGAATGAATAGCTTAGTGTTAGTAAAAGGGACACGATAGCGAGAAATGACGAGCATTTTGCGGGTCGTTCGGGTCGTCAGCGGGTTGAGGCCAGAGAACCTTCAACCCATCGGGGCTAAGCTTGAGCCTAGAGGCCATTACCTCCCCAAACTCGACCTTCGCCTGTCTAGTGAGTTACGAATGAGTAACGATGGACTCGGGATAAGTAGGAGCAACAACCACATACTCGGGGTCAACTACTAAACGGCCAGTAGCCTGCTCGTAATAAGCGACAAAATCTACCTCATCGGTAACATCGACTTTGATTGAGTCATCTGCCTTCGTTTCTGATTGCAGCTGCTGGGATCTAACGTCCTCTAGAGCCATTGGTAGTGGAGGTGAGAGTTGGGAAGCGAATATCGTCACTCGGTACCCATTATCAATTCAAAGCGCAGTGCTTACGATGACAACGTATCTCTTTTAATTTCTGAGGAGCGCGGATTGTGAGGCCTTGAGGCTCAAGCGCTCAAGGCCTCCGAGTCACATGCACAATCTGCCAATCTAGAGTTAAAATCGTCGTTCAAGCATCGTTTTAAGATCCCTGTTTAGTATAGTCTCCGAGTCGAACGAGCTGTATCATACTATGTCGGAAATTCCCTAAAAAATTGTCGGAACTTTTTTTACGGCATTTCAATCCATTACAATGGCCTAACGACACGGGCCTATCGCTAAAGCTCGCTAACTTCCGGCTAGAGTTCAACAAAACTCGGGTAAGGCCTGCAAGAACAGCCACCAGAACATGCAGCACACTCAGCATCGTAGCGAACTTGGAAAATTATGCCTGCTGCTCGACCACGACCTCCTCGTCGTTCTGCACGACTCAAAGCGCTGCAGACACCCTTTCGAAAAGACAGAATCTCCATGGACCAAATGTCAGGGCCTGTCACCTGTGGAAGGGGTGGCAAGTCTTGAGGTTCGCGAAGTACTACCGGCCCAGATCAGCCCAAGTTTCAGATACAATGGCTATCTGCTCCCTTCCGCACCCAGAAGGTCGTTGACTACCTCCGTGACCACTCAGCTGATTGTCGGATATTATTCCCCTCTGAAGTAAAACAATCACACCCTGATGATGGCCGCCCCTCGGCCAAAGATAAAGTCTCAATCTGCGCTATCATTGCCAAGCATGTCTTTGAGGACGATGGTGACTATACAGACCACTATGCAAATGCACCGGATAAATTCCGAGACTCTACAAACAATCACATCCAGGCATAAGTTTGTCTGATAGTCCTCCCCCTATGTACTAACATCTATTTAAAGTCTCAAAAAAAATATCGTGAATGCCACGATTGATTGCATGCCACTGGTGCTGGTGTTGTGCTGCAGGACGAACACGCTGCCCAGAATTTACGTGGTATGTATCCCTTTCATATTTAAGATAGTCTAACTGACAAATTTCACAGTGCAGGTACTCAAAGAATTTCCGTGGTACGACAATCTTGCTATCATTTTGAGGGGGAATCCGGCATTGTCCTCTCGAACGGTTTCATCACGCCCGGGAACGGACCACGCCGCCAATTTTTTTTCAATCTCACATTCAGCTGGGAGCTCATACTCTAACGGCTCGAATTCTGGAAGCGCTCAGTATGGCTATGCCCCTGGCACTCATCCTCAGCCTAATCTTGCCAGTGCTAATAATCCTTCTGGCACTCATCCTCCTGGCGCTCATCCTTCTTCCGGCACTCATCCTCCTCCCGGCGCTCATCCTCCTCCCGGCACTTATCCTCCTCCCGGCACTTATCCTCCTCCCAGTAGTCACTATGGATTCAGTCACGCCCCTCAGCCCTATCAGATGGGCTACTGCGAGGAGCATGCCCAGCGCCCCCAGTATCATACTCAATCTCACAGCACGCCTCCCCCCTCTGACTCTCCTCTTGACGAGGATGAGGACATCAACATGCTAGATTATTCTACCCTTCCCAATGATGGGGAGGGGACAGATTTTTCGTTTGGTGACCTACCACCATGCAATCACCCTGTGATGCCTGATTACTGGGACGAACCTAATGTCATCATCCTGGATAGTCCACCTAAGTCTAGGCCTGCAAGATCGAAGCGACCACCTCCTCCATCGTCCCCATCGCTGTCCCTGTCCCCGTCCCCATCCCCCTCTATCACTCCCCCGCCAAAATCAGACTTCATTCTACCGCTGAAATCGCAAACTTCCCACCATGACAGTTGCAGTTCCTTTGCGCTCGCTGATCCAAAGAAACGTCCGGGCATGGCATCACCCAAGCCTATCTCTCGCCGCTCTTCAGGGTCGTCCTCGCAGTCTAGACTGTCATCGTCATCGGCGCCTGCAGCGCCGACATCTAAAGCTGTGTCCTCCATGGGCAAACACAAGCAGACGAAGAAGGCACGGTCCAATATTCAGAGCCAAGTTGATATGATCAAGGATGAGATCGGGAATGCGCAGTCGGATAGGATTACGAGGGAGGAGCTGAAGAACAAGTGATACATGCTGAAGTATAATCTTGCGCGCCAGGTAAGTGAGCACAGATTTCTCAAGACTGAACGTGCCGACGAATGTGTGAAAGCTGCTGCTGCCCATCAATGTTCTTTGGAGGCAAAGGCCTCCGAGATCCGCCTCCGCGAGGCAGAGGCCAAGATGCATGATGCATTGGCACATGCACATGCTGAGGAGGCAACAACGCTCTGCCTCAAGATTGAACTTGCTCAGCTTACTAATCCTTCTGGGTCTTGAGGGTGTGCTATCCTGCTGTTCATACTGCTCATATGTTACACATGTTACTTTCTGTTACATTGATCTTTGTGTATACTAGCTTGCCAATAGAATCTGCAACTATTCCTACTCTCCTCTCCTTTGTGCCCCTGAGTGAGGACTGTCCAATAACAAATCTTTCAACATCTCTCTATGAATGTGACCAGGTGTCCCTTCATACAACCTATCACCCACCTGCCCATTCCCATCTGGTCCTTCATCTTCACCATGAGCAATATTATTGTCCTCCTGACAAGCCCATTTCACTGAGCCCCTGTTCCCTGTAAGATTGTGCTTTTCTTCAAAATGGATTATCATGTTGTGAAGTATCAAATAACACTGAATCCAATGGACAGCTGCCTGCAGGTCCTCTGCTGAATTGATATTCTGTTGAAGATCTCGAAGAGATTGGAACCGCCCTTTCAATGCAGCAAATGCATGTTCAACACGGACACGGACCTAAATAAAATTAAAATGAAGAAAAATCAGGAGAAAAAAATACAAACTTTGGAAAGATAATAATTGAAGGTCCTCTGATTTGCTGTTAGCCATCCATTGCGGGGCTTCTTGAAAGGGGGAATACACCAGGTGTTCAGTGGGTAAGCACTGTCTGCCCAGACCCAGTGATCAGCTGGCAGAAGTGTGTCGTGCTCTTGATAGATACGAGTGGATTTAAATGCATATGCATCATGGACACTTCCAGGGTGACCAAGAGCATAATCAACTATAAGAAGATTATGGGGCATAATGACTGCCTTGAATTTTTTTAAATTTCTTAACCATAAAAAATAAAAACCAATAAACTCACTTGACAACCAAGGGAATACTTAGATTTCCTATCATAAAAAGCCTCATGGAAAAAGCCTGGAGTTGCATACAGATCAACTGTGGTCCCATCAACAGCTAGGATCCCATTCTTCCACTCAGGGCAAGTGGTAGCCTTTGCACTATACTGCCGAGCAAGCTCAAAATCCTTTGAGTCATGGGGAGGGAAGACCATGAAGGCATTGTGCTGGTCAAGCAGTGCAACCATTACACGATTAGTACAGTTAACCACAGAGCCAACACTAACGCCTGCCCATTGAGACACATCCACTAGAGAGATGGAATTGCCATAGTGGCCAGCATGGTTGAGAAAAATTGCAAGTTGAATAGCAACAGGAAGCTGGGGGTTGTTTGAGTTGTTGTGAAAAATAGGATGGTTAGAGATTAGATCGAGGATGTTGTCAAAGATTTCTGGGTCCACACGTAATTTATGACGAAATAAAAGAGGGCGATGTTCTCCAAAATGAACAAGAAGGTGGAGCTGCGGGGCCCTTGGGAGAGGTTCCTTGGGCCTGTGGAGTACACGAGCCCTTAAAACTTCATCCTGGAGAGTTGAAATAGCATCTTGGAGGCGGTTGTAGTGGGCAAGAACATAGCTGTCGGAATCAGATGAGTCATCAGAAAAGTCAGATGAGTCGTCAGATAAGCCAGAGAGGACTGGAGAAAGAGGCGAGGGAGGGGTAATCATGACATTTAAGAAAATATCAAGCTCTGAGTCATGGGTAAGATCAAAAGATTCAAAACTTGAGATAGAGTCCATAGAGTCATCATCTTCCATGACTTGCTGATATCTTGCCCTGGCTACCACAAGGGCAGTCTGGTCAATATCATTCAGCATCTGTGCACGGTTGGATTGACGAGGCATGATGGGGATCAAGGGTATCAAAACCCCTATCTGGTGTGCATATGTGACGTAGATTTCAGTGGAGTTTAAAATTTCGGAATAGTCCGATGTTTCATCTCACGTCGTAAGTTGGCGTCGTTCTCGATCTCACCTCACACCTCAGCACCCAGCACTTAGAACACAGGCCTCAGGCCCATCATGGTCATCACCTTATCAGATGTCATGCATGCAAGGTAAGTGATTTTGTGCTTTTCTCGAGCTCACTAACTTTTGCTCTTATCTAGTTCTATTTTAGTCTTATCAGATGCAGACCCACCTGACCAGCAGCACCTCATTTTTGCTGGCAAGTCGAAGACCGATCATGTTGGAGGTGGAGTCTTCTGACACCACTGACAAGTCCCTCCTCCTCCCCCCGGCCGCTTGACTGTTGTGTCTCCCATCTCTGTGGAGGGACACAGATCTTCGTCAAGTCCCTCCTCCTCCTCCTCCTCCCCCCGGCCACTTAACTGTCGTGTCTCCCGTCTCTGCGGAGGGACGCAGATCTCCATCAAGTCCCTCCTCCTCACATCTCCTTGCTGGTCTTTTTTGCGAGAAGGAGATACTAATTTTGATGTTTGGTCTTGATGCTGCTGGTAAGACTATCCTGTATAAGCTCAAATTGTAACTACCATCGTATTCAATGTTGAAACTGTCAAATATAAGAACATTTCTTTATGATACTTGTGCAAGTTTCCCCATCGCATGCTTCGCAAATCCTAAGTGTCGTTTGAAAGTCCGACGTTGTGCCGATGTGCGCCGAGGATTATGGTGCCGTGTTTCTGTAAGCTCTACCCGAGCTTTAGCGGGCCTTAGCAAGCTTTACCGAAAATCCTAAAACTACTCTGAGTACCCTTAATAGTGGGACTCAGGGTTATGGAAAGCCTACACATCGGCGGTTTCGGAATTTTCACGCAAGCAAGATTTGAATCAAAATGGGATTGATGTATGAGGGATTTTTACTTTGAATTTAGATTTCGGCTCAACAGGAAATTTTGATGAATGGAAAAATGGCAGTGCAAAGTGACACATTTTGACAAACATTTTAAGTCCTCGAGAATATTTCAGGTTTTTCAGCCAAGAAAATGACAATACAAATATGGAAATGTTGTGAAAAAAGATAAATAGAAACTTTTCGACGCAAAAAAATGGAATGCAAAATATTATATAATGTCAAGCATTTCCCATGGCAGTTTAATCTCAAATTTTTCCTATGGCGAAATGTGATAGGAAAATGAGAAGTTTTATGCATGAGAAAATGACATGGGCGCTGGTCGTGCATCCAGCGGGCATTCTTCGCGCATTCAGAAGGCATTCGTCGGGCATTGGGTGACTTTCCGTAGGCCAAATAATGTAAAATAGAATATGACGGACCTTGAAACATATCTGCCAAAGATAATCTTTACAGAAAACCAAACTGTAACACACTTTGAATAAAATAATCAGAGTTTTCTCAGCACCCCAATGGAGGATCTCCTACTACACTATGCTCTGACAAACGATACAGAGGAGGTGGCCTTTCTCGATGACAAAGAAGATGCGAAAATGTTAGCAGCCGCTGTGATTGCTGGAGTCGAGCTTGCTCGACTCCATCATATTGAGACTCATAACTATGGACAACTTTACCTTTGTCATGCCCAACTCCTCCCAGATCCACATCACAATACACCATGGCAAGCATTGTACCAGAGTCAAAACAATCATGCTTTCATTACAACTATGGGCATCGACGTTCAAACATTTGGACTAATCCTTACATTCGGTTTTGCCAGTCAATGGTACAACAAGCCTATCCCACATACTGATGTCAATTCACATGGTATTCCGCGCCTGAATCAGCATTCACTCAATGCTGCTGGAGCCCTTGGGCTCATACTCCATTATCTAAACTCTACTATGCACGAGACCAGCCTGCAACAGATCTTTGCGCTGATTCCAGCCACTGTTTCTCGCTACCTCACTTCAGGACTTCCCATGCTGCTACAGACTCTTCATTCTATGGCTGATGCCACCATTCGATGGCTACAGGGCCCTGAGTTTGAGTGTTGTAGTGCTCTTGTGGTCGCATGTCACCTGCAACTGCAAGGTGCTTTTGGAAGTATCGATGGGCTCAAACTCCCCGTCCAGACTTCTGAGGATGTTGACATTGAGAATGCCACCTACAACGGGTGGCTTTCCGAACACTTTGTTAGTTCAGTCATAGCATTTTCTGCTGAAGGTGCATTTTCTCATCTTTCTCCGACCATTCATACTCAATTGTCGAAAGGTGTCATGATCGCAGCAAGGACCAATGCCCCTGGAAGCTGGCACGATTCTTGTCTTGCATCTCACATTTATACTCAGCTTCAAGTCAGCACACCTCCCAATTATTACCTTGTCGCAGATACTGCCTTCCCTCATGGTTTGACATCCATTGACAGTGTCATATCCCGCATTCTGGACCAACATCCGACGACGTTCCCATGCCTCATCTGGACCTCCGGACCTCCTGTGCATGTCTCCAGACCCAATCCTCTATCCGTCCGGATCCCTGTACTCCTGCATCTGATATCTGGATGCCAGATCTGATATCCACATCTCTGGATCTCCGGATCTGACCTATCTGTCATGTCCGAACCCAAACCTTAAATCAGCGCCCATCCCCTTATGGTAATCACCTGTCTCCGGACTTCCGAACATCCGGATCCGACCCACGTCTATCTTCCGGATCCGACCCGCGTCTATCTTCCGTGCCTTATCCCTTTGTATGTTCCTTCTTGAGTTAGACTTCCTCATTTTCCGTACCTCGTTTCATTTCTGGCTTTATTTTCCTATGTCTTCATCTCCGTCTTCATTTACTATTTTCCGATAGACTAGTGTTTGACTTTTCTACATCTTCCGTCCACAGCCTCGCATAGCTTCGGACTGCGCTGACTGACTCTCCGTTAAGTCCTCTGTAGTATATAAACTCTGTAGAATCTTTGTACTTCCTCAGTCTGAATATCATACACATATTAGTCCTCGCACTAGTCTTCACACTAAGTCCTCGTAACAGTTCTAGTCCTCTGACTTAGTCATTATCCATCTCAGGCCTAGGGAGGAATTCCCTAGGCCGGAGCTCCGCTCCTCCGCTCCTCTGATCCTCTGATCCACCATTCCTCCAAGTTTCCGGAAGTTCCTCCGGAACTTTCCCGCAGTCCTCCGGACCTATTCTGCTTCGGACTTTGTCCTTGCAGCCTTTCCTCTGTTTTCTTCTACTCAGGACTTGTCCTGAGTAGCCATTACACATATCCCTGTCAGGATGAAACTCCATTGTAATTTCCAGAAGTTCCTCCGGAACTTTCCCGCACTCATCCGGAAGTTTCTCGCACTCATCCGGAAAGTCCTTCCGAAGTTTCCCACGCTTTCCCAGAAGTCCTTCGGACTTCACTGGACTTTCTCTGGACTTCATTCTGAAGTTAAGGGCACATACTCAGGTAAGGGGCGCAGCGCACGAGCTGAAGCCAAGCCCCTTGGAATCAGTCCTACCCTTTGTGCATGGTCTTAACAGACGGGCGCATTCGTGCGCCTCTGAAACATGGCCAAGTTTTACATGGCTCAGCTGCTGAAATCGAGGAGCATATGATATTTAACCGAGAACTACTATCTTACCGTCAAACAGCAGAATGGGGCATGCGAGCCATCCAAGGGGCCTTTGGAAGGCTATGCATCCCACTCGACATCTCCAACCAAGAAGCTCGCAGTGACCTTATCGAAATATGTCTTCGGCTGCACAACCTGCATGCCATATGTGTCGGTATCAACCAGATATGAACTGTGTATATGAAGCATTGGCAGGCTACTGAGGATGATCTGGATGTGTGGCAAGACTTCGAAAACATGTTGTTTTCAGAGCAGAGGAAGAAGGATTGAGTCTCGTGCTTCCATGTCACATTAGAATACCAGTAGATACAACTTGTAATACTTGTAATGAACATGTCAGTGCGTTCAGAGTCGTGCGTCAGATGAGGGATGCTATGTCGATGTTGATGCAGGAGATGATGATGGACGAGAGGATAGGAAAAAGACGTCCGAGACAAACCGAGCGCTGCGTCAGATGAGGAATGCAATGTTGATGTTGATGCAGGAGATGAGACAGATGAGACGGAATGAGGACAGACAGCATGGTACATTGGTACCCTAAGCACAACAGAAAACTACATAAGTACCATAGCACGATCAAACCTCTTGTGACCCTTCCTTTTACATTGGTACCCTAGTAAATACAACAAGAAACTAGGTAAGTACCATAGCACGATCAAACCTCTTGTGACCCTTCCCTTTGAACGGCCTTGTAAGGCTCATCAGCTAAGTCCTCGAAGTATGGACAATCAGCATACTTGAGACATTTGGAAGGGCCACACCTTTGAAGGCGAGGCGGCTTGGGTGCCTCAGATGCAGTGCTTTCACCCTCGTCAGTAATCCACTTCATGGATCCCCCACCCTCTGGGAACCACTCCTGATGCAGGTTCTTCCGTTTCGGCATCTGAATATGGTGACGGCGTGTGGATCCATTCATCTCCATCATTTCGATGCGAAGCTCTGCCCGGTCTCATTCATGTTTGACATCGTACATGCAATTGTGCAAGTCGAAGAGTTGACCGTGCATAGTTTCTAGTGTGGCTTGTGAATCATGCAGCTGCTGGCCTTGGGTGAGCAGTTGCGTGGTAGCAAGGCTGCATTTGGCCCGTTCTTCATCATGGTCGCGCTGGGCAGCTGGGTCAAAAGCACTGGAAAGGCGAGTGAGAAGATCAGTGGCTGCAGCTCCTCGAGCATTGTGATGTGGAATAGGCGCATCTGTGCGAGCAGTAGAGCGTGCAATAGCTGTGTGTTGAATTGGGGGGGAGGCACGATATGGCTCATCCTGGTCTGATGCGATGGAGTGATTGTCGTCATCAATGTCATCGTCGTCATTCTCAAGAGTATTGTAGTCCGAGTCGTTCAGGTCATGTGTTCTGGCATGCTCATTGATAAGATGGTTGATGTGATGGGCACATGTAACTTGTGGAGGGCAAACACCATCTCCAGTCAGCTTTGTGGTCTTCACCAACTGCAGGTATGTGAGTAGTCTATCAGTAATAGACAATTCAAAGCTTACCTGTTTGTACTTCGTCTTGAGTGAACTAATTTTGTGTGAAGGCCGGTGGTTCACCTTAGCCCATTGGCAGTACTTGAGGTGAATGGTCTTCCACCCACGTTGACCAAGAGGGAGCTTGTCTTGGACCATGTCGAGGAGAGAATTGACATCTAGATTAGAGTAGTTGTTAGAGCCTTGAGGACGGCCTCGTCTCACTCGCACATCATCATCGTCATCTCCATTCTCTCGGGAACACTTGTTTGCGATAGTGGATGGGATGTTTTCCTTTCCCTTGCCTTTGCCCCTTGGGGCTTTGGCTTTGCGCTGTGAACCTGCCGTTTTGGCTGCAGGAATGTGGCCACGCGCCTCTGCAATAGTCACGGCGTCTGTCAAGTCCAGATTGCCGGAGTCAGGTAGGGGGAGGAGGACAGGATCGATGACATCGTTACTCGGCACCTGGCGCATACCAATACGAGAACTAGACAGTGGAGGAGACATGAACTTGGCTGGACTGAGTGCGTAAGTACCAGACTCTGTGTGAAAAGACCATTGAGATGTAAGAGCCTGTAAGAACTTGAGTATTCGAGACTATGGAAGTGAACAGAGTGAACATACATTGCAAATTCCTGGATGAGGGACCCAAGTGCCGATGCTATTGTGTGCATAGGCGTTGCCGGCATCATTGTAGCACAGTTCTGGGTAAGATAGGCTGGTGCCGGGGGGTATCATAGATTGGGGAGAGGGGATGTCAGACATAGCGTTGTTGTTGTAGTTTTTGAATAAAAAGGATACTTACTTGGTGGTCCTGTGACCCATGCTTTTATATGTCTCCAAAATCCCTGCCAGCAGGTGTAAGGGTGAGCCTGGAAGTTGGTAGAAAGTAGTCAGAATAACGTTAGTACACATACTGAATCAAAGTGTTTAACAAAACATAACTTTACCGGAGTTCAAAGGATGGATGGTGTTCATTAGTTGACTTACATGGGGAGAGTAAAGACGGCATTGCACGACTTGTAACCTGTGCGGTTGCAGTCATATGTGACTGCACTGTCTCCTGCTGTTAATCTTAAAAATTCAGTGTAAAAACTTCACAAAGGAGCTTAAGAATTGGGCCGTAGTGGTTCCTGTATATTGCAAGATGGTGGAATGAGGCAACAACTATCACTATGGAGAAAATGCATGAGATGGGGACCTCAGATGTAGATTACTAAGCGATGAGTAAGCAGATAGCAAGGGCGTTAGTGGCCTAAAACGAAATAATCCGTCAATTATAATCTGTAAGGGGGGCCCCCCCCCTTACAGATTTAGAGTTTGTAAGAGGGTGAAGAAAATAATGCGCGGGAAAGTCGTCCTAAATGAACAGTGGCATCGCGGCAGGGTTTCCTTAAATGGTATTTTTTATTCTATTCTATTCTAAACCGCATTATTTAAGTCTACAGAAAGTCACCCATTTGGTATATTACTTTGTAAGGTAATAAATAACACAATGGTACAGTAGTGCAGTGGTGGTACAGTAGTATTCGTCGGACATTCAGTATATCACTTGGTAAACGATAAACGATCTTTAATTGGCTGACTACGCTAAGGGTGATAGTACATAGTATTACATAATCATGCGTGACTGCTCTACAAGGCAAATCTGATCAAAACACAAACTGATTAACGTTGATGGAGTGATTGTAATATCTACGGTGTTCTTCTTGAGGTAGCACTTAGCTATATCGCAGATAGAACCGCGATGGCTTCCGTCCAGAATAATACACTGTTGGTTCTTTTTGCACAGGGGGGCTGGACTCAGATCTGTGGCAGGTATATGATAATGCTGAATTACAGCGCCTGTGCCATTCGATGAGCAGAACACTGCAACATAGCCTTCAGGGGCGGGTCCATTCTGACCGAGGAAGGGGTCAGGACAGGCTGTCAACACAAATCGATTGTGTAGCCTGCCTCCCATGAAGGAGGGCGAGACTTTCAGCATTGCGTGATAAGTAGTGAATTTAGGGGAGAATTCTTTGTTCATTAACCAAGCTAGTGGGCCTATAATCAAATCAATGGTAATGCTCTGACGGTTCTACGGAAGGACTCACCCTCTTTAGGTTCTTCCGTTCTAGTGTCAAGCATGTCATTGATATCAACAGCCCAGGGGTCGGGTTCAGCAGTCTTTGAGGAATTGACGCTAGACAAAGGGTTAGCAGCCATGTTAAGATCCTCAGGGTTAGCAGTCCACGAGGTCCACGTGGAAGATGGCATGCTAGGATCAATGATGGAAGCTGATGAGCTTGAGGAAACCTTTTCAGGAGGGGGAGTAACACTTCAAGGTTGCGCTACCAGGTACGATCTTTGCCGCATCTCGCAGAAAGATATCATATCGGCTCCTTCGAGCATAATACCATTCAACCTCATCCCGTACCTAAATACCCTATGAAATTAATTCACTGCAAATATATGCATGTCGCTTACCTGGTAACAATGTCTTTGAGTTCCATCTTGGTGCGCTGCTGCCCATGCAAGGCAAGGATGCAATCCTTGGAGTTGAAACTATACAATGTAGCTTGGTAGCCCTTATGGTCACCTCCAACAATAAAAACTTCTTGCCCGATGTCCTTTTTAAAAGAATCCAAGCTGGTGTTGTGTATTTTGATGATGAATCTGATGGGAACATTCACCTGTCAGAAGTCAGACATGCATAGATGGGCCGAGGAGAACGAGTACTAACTAGTGAGCGGTCAATCTCAGAAAGTATAGTCAAATGAGCGCTTAGAAAGTCGACACTTCACACGACCCCTTTCATTGGGTGCTCTGGCCCACGGGCGACTCTCACAACATCTCCGGGCTTGACATCATAACCCCTGTCTTTCGTATACCGCAGTGTTTGGAGGTTGGGGATCCGCCGAACAGCCGCAATGGGAACTGGGATACTTAATGATCCATCTTGAAACCATAGATCGTTTGATGCCTTGGGAAACCAGCGTACGATACCAGATTTCCCTATGTGCTGTCCCACAAGTACTTCTATGTGATCCCCTATTTGGATGGATTCAATATCGGGGGGAGGCTCAAAAAGTTGCTGCATTGGCAGCCATCCTTGCATCGTGTGACTCAGAGGGTGGCGGTCTAGGTAGTACTTCAAAACTTCCACCTATACCCGTGTGTTAGATAATTTTGCAATGTTCAACTGAAAAGAGACACTCACCTCTTCCTTTGAGACGGCTTGACAAAGACGAAATACATCATCTACCATTTCAATGATGTGCCCTTCCACACCTAAATATGGGCCTGCTACCACTCGAACTGTGTCGCTGACCTGGAACATACGTTCTATGTCCTCTATTCAGACATCAATCTCCTTTCAGTGGCCACTTAAGATCAATTCTAGTGTGACAGAACCAGTAGGAAGGTCAGTCGAGATGACCTGTCTGATTTTTGGGCCAAGGTCTCCTTTAACAACCCTGGCCCAATCGCCCACGCGCAAGAACTGCATGGAAAATGCAACCACGGTTGCCTTGAGGAAGGATTGGTTCCACCCCGATGTAGAAACAACAATACTGAGAGGAACAAATGATGCTCCTGACTGTATCTGTAAATGTTGTGAGGTCGCGCGTTGCTGTTAAGACCATGCACAAAGGGTAGGACTGATTCCAAGGGGCTTGGCTTCAGCTCGTGCGCTGCGCCCCTTACCCGAGTATGTGCCCTTAACTTCAGAATGAAGTCCAGAGAAAGTCCAGTGAAGTCCGAAGGACTTCCGGAGGAGCGTGGGAAAGTTCGGAAGGACTTTCCGGACGAGTGCGAGAAACTTCCGGATGAGTGCGGGAAAGTTCCGGAGGAACTTCTGGAAATTACAATGGAGTTTCATCCTGACAGGGATATGTGTAATGGCTACTCAGGACAAGTCCTGAGTAGAAGGAAACAGAGGAAAGGCTGCAAGGACAAAGTCCGAAGCAGAATAGGTCCGGAGGACCGCGGGAAAGTTCCGGAGGAACTTCCGGAAACTTGGAGGATTGGAGGAATGGTGGATCGGAGGGTCGGAGGAGCGGAGGAGCGGAGGAGTGGAGCTTCGGCCTAGGGAATTCCTCCCTAGGCCTGAGATGGATAATGACTAAGTCAGAGGACTAGAACTGTTACGAGGACTTAGTGTGAAGACTAGTGCGAGGACTAATATGTGTATGATATTCAGACTGAGGAAGTACAAAGATTCTACAGAGTTTATATACTACAGAGGACTTAACGGAGAGTCAGTCAGCGCAGTCCGAAGCTATGCGAGGCTGTGGACGGAGGATGTAGAAAAGTCAAACACTAGTCTATCGGAAAATAGTAAATGAAGACGGAGATGAAGACATAGGAAAATAAAGCCAGAAATGAAACGAGGTACGGAAAATGAGGAAGTCTAACTCAAGAAGGAACATACAAAGGGATAAGGCACGGAAGATAGACGCGGGTCGGATCCGGAAGATAGACGTGGGTCGGATCCGGATGTTCGGAAGTCCGGAGACAGGTGATTACCATAAGGGGATGGGCGCTGATTTAAGGTTTGGGTTCGGACATGACAGATAGGTCAGATCCGGAGATCCAGAGATGTGGATATCAGATCTGGCATCCAGATATCAGATGCAGGAGTACAGGGATCCGGACGGATAGAGGATTGGGTCTGGAGACATGCACAGGAGGTCCGGAGGTCCGGATGAGGCGTGGGAATGTCGTCGGATGTTGGTCCGGAATGCGGGATATGACAGTTGTCTAGTCTGCTATACTTGAGACAACAAGTGCGTTTGACCCTAAAGGGGAAGCGAGTGCAGCAAGGATCTAGTAGTGCACGCCAAAGGCGCTACTGGTTGGCTGATGCGAAGCGCGAGAAAGCGCGCAGGTGCGCGCGAGGCGCGGGAAAGCGAAGGTACGCGCGAGGCGCGGGAAGTGCGCGTGCGTGTGAGCGGAAACAAGTGAGAGTAAGTGTGAGTTTGCTTAAGTGGTGATATGATGCAAGACAAGAGATGTGAGTGCGAGGTGCCAAGGAATAGATTGCAACTATATTCTGCTAGGTAGTAGATGGGTAAGTGGGAGGTAGAGTCTAAGTTGGAAAGTTCCTAATAGTATGTAATGCTGGCGCTTATATATGGCGCCTAAGCACTGTCATGCGGAGCCGAAGCGCTACCGAGTAAGGTATGTAAAGCTATATGTAAGTAAGGGTCCAAAATAAAGGTGGAACGATACACAGATAAGAGAAATGGAAACATACACACTAGAGAGCTTGGTGGACAGTGGATGGATGCTTCTGGAAGGCTGGTGCTATAGGGCGATCAAGCGCGGGAAAGCGCGCGCGCATATACATCGTAAAGCGTGGGAATGGTGCGCGCATTGCGCGGGAAAGCTGCGCCTCATATAGGGATAGCTGCAGATAGCACACAGAATGGTGCTGCAAGTTCGTGCAATGAACTCCCTAGTGAAAAGTGCCATATCACACCATGAGAGGCATGAGTCTCTACACCGATTGCAAGTGGAGTTGTATGTCGTCAGCATGGGGGCAGACAACACGTTCTAGGTGATCACGGTGAATATTCTTCAGTAGGAGGCCCATATAGTATCTCTCCCCTTTGTACTGGCATCCTACAACTTCCTCACCACGCTTGATATCGGAGACTGCATCCCTGGTCGAGGAGCGACCGAGATCCCCGAGGCATAGGATAGGGGAACTCCCATGGGGGAACTAGGACCACAATGAAATCGTTTGGCGAGTCAGAATCGAGTACTTGGGCTATGTCACCCTTGTACTTATCATGTTTAAACCTCACCCACGCTGGGTGAGGGAATTTTCTGCTCGACTGCTCAACTGCTCCATGCTCTTCATCCGAAATACAGACATTGTTTGATGGCGAGGTAAAGTGAGGAACAAAGAGATTCGGCGATGGTTTTAGGGCTGTCCACCACTATGTACAGCTGGCCTGCTAGCCAAGCTGACACCACAACACAGAAGTTCTCCTTCCGGAGATGTTGAGCAATGTAGTCTGTGACATTGCCTGTGATTGATTAGTGATAGTAGATGATAAATTATGGTGTTAGAAGAACTTACATTGGACATGGAGAAGATACATTCTCCCATCTTGTGATTGAGCTGAAGCCGAAGTGATCAAACCAGATATTGAGGAGGGAAGAGACTGCTGTTGATTTTGTGATGAGTTGTTCTGTGTGTCCTCGAATTTATTTGCGAGGTGATCAATGACTGCAGCAAACCTAGCAGCCGATGAAGATCCTGGCAAGTGCATCACCTTGCATGACTCGGAGGGGCCGTTGTTGTTGTTCCCCTCCTCCTCCTCCTCTTCATCGTCATCTTTTGCATCTAGATCGAGGTAGGGGTTTTTCAACTTCGGTTGCTGTTTAGCGTTTAGCAGATATACATACAATTGTATCAAAATATTTTACTTACTTTGAGTGGTCTACATGAAGGTTGAACAGGCGACAGAGACAATCGCCTGTCCATAGTAGGAGATTTGTGCGCACGGGAAGCCGGAAGTATATGCTTCGCCTTTACAATGCAAAGGTTGTCCAAGGCAGCCTTGTCATCCCTGTCACCAGAGAACAGCGCATCTCAAGATTCCTTCCAATCGTCTTCATAGTATTGATTACCAAGATACGATAGAAAGGTCTCCTCCATCTGTGGGTACGTCATGTCGGTGGTAAGGAATTCTTCCAAAATTCTCCATGCACGCTCATCTGCTAGGGGTGCTATCTGAATCCCTGTGATACATGTGAATAATGGATGGACATTATTATATTACTACTCACCTTCATCGATTCTGATGCGTTTCGCAGTAGGTGTGTCGTCATTCAATGTAGCCGCAGCGCATTTGGACATTATTCCTGTATATCTACACATTTAGTTATAGGCAACATTATACTAAACTTAAGATGTCACATACTGTATTTGATACTACGTCTACGCTAAGTCTACTCAAAGTCTATTGAAAAAATAGCTATGTCGTATCGAGGTGGTGGTAGCGGAAAGAAGCTATCAAGGCGCGAGAGGTCAGTATTTGTAGTGAATGACTTAATGTGGACTGGCTTACAGTGATTGCGGAAATTTTGCAAATTCGCGGATGTTAGGACACAACATTCTATTGTCCCGTGCTGACATATACGGGAGCGCACTGGGTGCGCGAGTGAATGTAATGATTGGCCAATGCCCACTACATAATTACAAGTACTATACTATCATACATGTATTCATATGTAAAAGTAGTTGGAAAAGTCACAATCTTGGCAAGAACGCCATGATATAGAGAATGACTTCACAATTAAAACTCAGCAGGTTATGTAAACATCTCAGTGACACATGGGCGCTCAATGGGCGCTTCGGTAACATCTCCGGCGGAGTTTAATTATGTAGTCGTCCACTATATAATACCTGTACCTATGTTTAGTTATCTTTCTTTCAGACATGTACATGCGCGCAACAGCTAGTATACTTTACAGAGTTTGGTATAACTTATGTTTTGGAAAAATTCTATATTCTCTTACGTTGAGAGAACAAAAGTCATTTAATTTTAAGTGACCTCTGCATGCTGAAAAGTCGAACCCAGCATCTTGCCTGCTCAAATCAATTGGTAATTTGCGCCTGCGTGCATAACTTAACTTCTTGATTTCCTGTATTGAAAATATCTATCACAGTGACTCCGTACTAAGTACCAAGAAAAATCATGGCCTGTGACTCCTCGTCATGCCCCATCTCAATCCTCAATATTCCGGTCTTTCCTTGCCCAGTACGTATCCTATCTTCATTTGAATTTCCTGCCATGTCCCCTCGGTGTTTAATATACTGCTCCACCCAGACACGGATGTCATCATTTGTGGGCTCGTGTGGTCAAGCCAAGTTTCACCAGATATTTCCCAGAGATTCTAATGAGATTGGTGTGTTCATTTTAACGAACTGCATCATCAGGGTAAGTCAGTACATTGTGGCCCATCGTGAAATATGATGTATGACATGGCTAACATATGCAATCAGAACCATTGTGATAACCAACTGTACAATTCCTCGCACAAAGTTTTTGAGTGCCCTCCCAAATGGACGTGGTGTCTCAAGATTGTTCCGTTGGCGACTCCAGACAGAGATTATCAGCTCTGTATCATCCTGAGACATTGCCCCAACAATTATACTGTGGTAAGTTCCGTCATAGGTCTTGCAGTCTGTCAGGCACTTAAATAACCAGGAATGAAAATGCCGCACAGTAACCACCTGCACTCTTGTCTTATTGGCATGCCTTGACACTTGTTTGAGGTTTCCCTCATTTTTGTCGAAAACATATACGACACCTGTGTCACTGCCACCCACTACTATGTCAGTCTTTTCACCAAACACTACTTGTTTCAAAAATGTTTTGACAGGGTTAGTATTATAGGTTGTGATGCATACTGCATCGTCCAGTTGGTGCAAGCTAAATCCATTAGTGACATTGTCGATGAGAAATAGTGTTTGAGTGATGTCCACAGAAGCATGCCCGCTTTGATTAAATGGTAAGAATGCTGATCTTTTGCGATGAAATCCCTCACATTAGGGGTCCAGCATTGTTTGTAGCGATAATAGCTCCATCTGTACCCCAAAGCGCATGACTACAAGGTATGTCAGAATCATCCGTGAGGATCGTGTATTGACATACACCTCTCCGTCATACATTCCGAAGACTAACAAATCTCGACTTGCAGTGTGATTGAAGTTTATCGTGCACGGGATCGTGGTAGAGAGCTTGATGCTGAAGATCAGAATTAACGGTCCTTTGAAGTCAAATGACCAAACTTGAACATGTTTGTCCCATGTCCCAGTAGCAATACGAGTATCATCCCCAGCGTGGTCATAGGTAAGACACGTGATCTCTTTACCTGTGCCAATTCTTCTTGACACTTTGGCATTAAAGTCCTCCATACCTTCGCCCTGTTGTTGCCAAATACCGATGAATCCTAATCTTGTGCCATAGCATAATGTCTCATGTGTTGCATCTTGGCGGGTGATCCAGCATACACATGTCATGGAATTGGCTGGATTTCGAAGGGCTACATTTTGACGTGGGGATGGGAGCTGAAGTTGCTGTTTGAGGTCCCAGATTCTCGTGCCATCCGAGCCTACTTTCTAGTAAGTCGATCCTATGGCACTGTCACACATACAACTTACCACCGCTTGCCAACAGACTGCCATTCCTTGAGACTGCCAAACAATTGATTGTGTTCTTGTGTCCGACGAGACGCCCTTCAAGGCGATATTCCTTGCAATTTTTGGTGGGTAGGAAAAACATAGGCTTACGATGTAGGGTCAGTCTCACTTGTCTTTGAGGCCTTAATAGTAATCATGCATACAATTAGATAGTCGGATGACATGTCATATAATAACGAAACACTTGGCGACAACACAACAACAATAGGTGATATGTGACGACATCTCCCTGGTAACTTTGTTCCCTAGCGGGTACTAGTCTCCCGGGTTCTTGCAATCAATCCATCATTAAATCCTAGCTCTAACTGTCTAACTGTGTACTGATCAGTCTGTGATCATGGTTCATAGATCTGCACCTGTCCCTGCATTTTACCAGGCAGATGATCCTCCGCAGCCAATTCCATTATTGACATATCACACAGAGATTCTTTATCTGACACCATCGTTCGTCTTGATCTCTCCACAAGAAGAGATAGCATTTTCTACTCATACACTCCGGGGACGTATCCATGCTCCATCGTGCATCCTCACAACCATGTCGTTTCGTGTAACCCCATCCATCCCCTCTCGCACTCCTACTCCCAAACTTACCAAGTCGGTCTCTTTTTTGGCAGACCAGAATGGCAAGCCAGAAAAGATGTCCATGTATTTTTCCATCTTATCATCGGATTCGAATGGATCCAGAATCCTCAAACCGGAGGGTGAAGCAGGACACCGAGGTTGTGGAGGATATAACTTAGAAAAGGCACTCAAATGGGATCCTAGTCACTTCAAGAAGTTCAAGGTGGGTTCTTTTTCCATGATCTGGTATTGTATTCATTCCGACATTAGGATTATGTTCACCGATCGATCGACAATCATTGCAATACTAGCAAGAGCAAGACAAACCAAACACCTACAGCATTGCACTCTGTTGAGAAAGAGGTGCATCTTCAGTGTCTTCACTTGTTTCTATCTAACTTGGTATTGAGGCTGTCACTCACTTTCCAGAATTGCATGACTATATGGGGTGTTGGCCAGTGGGAGATCTAGTCCATATGCAACTAAAAAATATCTCCGCTAAGGAGCGACAAAAACTTGCGAAGAAAAAATAGTTAGAAGCAAACTTAGCATTAGTCTGATGGAACACTGATTTAATCGACCGAATGAGTTTGAACTTCGTGCCTCTACTTATGAATTAACAAGGTAGTAACACTGAGAACCTCCGTGATACCGGATATGAGGTCTATCTGTTGTTATCTCTGTTTGGTTGGATCCATCATTCAGGTAAGTGTGATTTTCAGATAAATTACGCTAGTGTCAAACAAGTCTTGCAGGATGTACCGCCTGATGGCTTTTCTTTCCTCGCATCCTGACGAAGACCCAACCGGTTTCACTAGTGAGTCATACCCGCTTCAGGAGCTTCACCCCGCGCACACATATCCACCTGCACCCCAGCCTGCTACTAGCTCTACAACGATCCACGCTCACCCATTCGAGCCTACTTTATTCAATGAGGACTCCGCAATGGCAGCGTATAACCCTTGGGGGGCTAGCTGACGGATGAGAGAGGAGGAGGATCAGCGTGTCAGCCTTTTGATACCTTTTTCGTATCTTAGCTCACATATATTTAGCCTGCTAAAGTTCTTCTGAAGGAAATCGATTTGTCATCCGGACTGCACAGTGATTTATGTGAGCTATGTTATAGCCACCACGAGCTTTTTCTCCGAAAGCGCTATGTGCAGGTAAGGCATCAGATTTGCATAAAAATGACCATGTCTCACTCGCCTCCAGATCGGTGCTCACTCACGCGAATCCGAGATGCAATCTGTCATTGGGCAGTATCGCGAAAAGAATGCAGATCTTGAGTGCGAGAAAGTTCAGGCCCTTACCTCATTAGAACAGCAGCACTGCAAGGAAGTAACAGCAATCCAGGTGGGTGTTAAGACCATGCACAAAGGGTAGGACTGATTCCGAGGGGCTTGGCTTCAGCTCGTGCGCTGCGCCCCTTACCCGAGTATGTGCCCTTAATTTCAGAATGATGTCTGGAGGAAGTCCGAAGATGTCCGAAGGACATCCGAAGCACGGGAAACTTCGGACGGACGTTCTGGACGAGTGCAAGTAACTTCTGGATGAGTGCGGGAAAGTTCTGGAGGAACTTCCGGAAATTACAACGAGGTTTCATCCTGATACAGATACATGTAATGGCTACTCAGGACACGTCCTGAGTAGAAGCAAACAGAGGAAAGGCTGCAAGGACAAAGTCCGAAGCAGAATAGGTCCGGAGGACCGCGGGAAAGTTTCGGACAAACATCCGGAAACTTCGGAGGATCGGATGAGCGGATAAGCGGATGAGCGGATAAGCGGATGAGCGGATAAGCGGATGAGCGGATAAGCGGATGAGCAGATAAGCGGATGAGCGGATAAGTGGAAGCTCTGGCCTAGGGAATTTCTCCCTAGGCCCGAGATGGATATTGACTAAGGCGGAAGACTAGAACCGATAGGAGGACTTAGAGTGAGATCTAGTGCGAGGACTAATATGATATTCAGACTGAGGAACTACAGGACATATACAAGAGTTTATATACTAAGGAAATAACGGAAAGATCAGTAAGCAAGCATCCGAGGCTATGTATGAAGCATACGCAAAGTTATCAAGCGCAAGTCGGAAATGAAGCATAGGTTAACAGATCAGTAAGCATACCGGTAGTAAGTATAACCGAGATACCGAGGACAAGGAATACCGAATAGAGGAATAGGCTGTGTTAACGTTATATGCACAGGAATTGAATTAGGAAGCTTATCGTATATCGGATCGGATCGGACCGGACCGGACGTCCAGATGAGACGCGTGGATTGAGGTATGGAGGTAAAGGTATGTGGATGTGGATGTGCAGGGGTGCAGGGATCCGGATGGATAGAGGACTGGAGACATGGATAGGGTGTCCGAAGGTCCGGATGAGGCGTGGGAATATTGTCGGATGTAGGTCCGGAATACGGGATATGACAGTGGGACATTTTTATTGCATGTTGGACTGTTGTGACTTTCATTGGCAGGACCGGATGACACTTGATTTTGAAGAGGCACAACATGCCGCTGTAGGAATACAACACAGTGGGGCTATATGAAGATGGCTCCAAACTGATATCTTTATGTTGTGGTCATCCAACACCTAGTCTGCTATACTTGTGGAACAAGTGTGTTCGACCCAGGGGTCTGCGGTCTGGGAATAGTTTTGGGGGTAAGTGAGTGATGTGGGGTCAATAGTCCGAGCGCAGGAAACAATGTCCGATGCAAAAGCGTCGGGTCCGATGTTTTTGGGGTTTCGGGTTATCAGGTTCGGGTTCGGGGTATTGGAAACTAATAGTAACGCTATAGCGAGCGTCGGAAGAGCGAGTGGTATGCGCAATAATAATGGGCAGTGAAGGAACGATGATATTCGCAATGTCAACTAAGAACTACGAAATATCAGGTTTGACCCCTAAGCGTCGGAGAACAGCTCTCCTCTACTTGGATGATGGTAATGCTATGGGGAGTCCAATATTTATGTAGATACATAGAAGTCTGGAACCATATAGGTGAAAGTAGTAGCGCAATATCTTCGGGTCTGATGTCCTATGTAATAAGACATGAGGTGCTGCGGACATGTAATAATGTGGTCTACAATGTTAGCAATGGGAAAACAAGTAACTGCGCACCTAGTGGGGCTAGCAAAATGACACAGGACATAGGTAGGACGAGTGCGCACGATATCTGATAGTCCGATGCGAAGTCTGATAGTGCAATGTGCAATGTGCAAAGTCTGATGTCTGATGTTTTTGGGTTTGGTGTGTATTGAGTCGGATATGATAGGGAATGATTCAGGTAATGATTAGCATTCAACATGCATCGGAAATTAGACCTCTATGAGGCCACAGAGATGTCGGTCTCTACACCGCACACGTGGAATGAAGTATGTTATTGTTAGTTATATGATCATTCACCTCTACAGTATGCATTTCTATGTCTTTTATGTGTCTTATTGTGCCTTCATACTCATAGCATTATTCCTGACACTTTACTTACTATTTACATGACTTCCTGACCTCCCTAGGACGTCCCTAGGTCGAGTTATTACTTACCCTTTGATTGTGGCTTGTCTGTTTACATTTGTTTACCATACGTCGCCCATATCCCAGAGTCCAGTGCTCCCTGCCTCTTTGGCAACTTACTCTGGACTCTAGGTACTGTACAACTTTACTACACCATTCAATAGATTGGCAACTTACTCTGGACTCTAGTCTGATCTCTTCTGGCCTCTCAGTAGCCTCTAGAAGCGGCCCACTTCACTCCCATCTTAACATTCAGATACGCAGAACTGTTCGTTGTTCACATTCAACGTCAAGCCGGATGTATGTGTATACGCCGACAGAACATCTCGTGGCTGCGATATTTCCAAATTCGAATTGAACATTGAATTCAAATGGAATGATGCACACAACACATTCAGCAAACATTCTGGGATTGATAAGCCCATTGTCTCTCAGACCGACAAGGGCTTTGACACAACGAGCTATGCTGGCGCTCAGCTCGGTGCTCAATATCGCACTCACGCATTCTCTGTATTGATCATCTGTAATTGCGCTCGCATTCTCAGATGGGATAGGGAGGGAGTTATCATTACAGGCTCCTTCGATTACAACGACAAGCCATACTTAGCTGACTTTTTTTATCGTTACGCACAAGCATCGCCTGAAATGCGTGGTGTCAATACATCTGTGATGCCTGCCAGCGCCGAGGATGCTGACCTTGCAAGGACGGTGTTAGGCCTTCCAACTACCACACGCATGTTCAAAGTTGCAGTCCCTGAGGATCCTGACGTCAAGGACTCTAGCCAGCTGACGTTGATTATCCCCCAGCCTGTTGCCAGAGGTTTTCCGCCTGTTGGCCGTTGGACTCACACGTGCCCTGCATTTGACATCCTCAATAAGAAGATCGTGATGTTCAAAGACTCTTGGCGGTGTCGATAAAGGATGTCCTACCTGAAGGTGAGACCTATAAATTATTAACATCACACAAAGTTCACAATATCACAAGATGCATTGCATTTCACGATGTAATCCACCCTATCCCTCAGCAAAACACTCAAACTGTCAAGTTTGGAAGCACTGAATGGGCGTGTCCCAACAAGGCTGTCACTCCGCACACTCTTCACTGCCTCGCCCTTGATATCGTGGGTGAGAAATTGAATGACTTTCAGAGTTCCCAACAACTTGTGCAATCTATCCGTGACACATTACTCGGTGTGTGTCTTTGAACCTTGCATATTACCTGATGAACATATTCACATTATGCCCACATCACTCACTTACCCCCAAAACTATTCCCAGACCGCAGACCCCTGGGTTGAACACACTTGTTCCACAAGTATAGCAGACTAGGTGTTGGATGACCACAACATAAAGATATCAGTTTGGAGCCATCTTCATATAGCCCCACTCTGTGTTATATTCCTACACCAGACGCAATTCATAACACAGGTATTGGATGCTGATCCATTGGTGGGGTCTGGAGGATGCGCAAAATCGAGCTGGCTCATTGCGAGAGCATATTTTCCACAAGATATATTTGTCGACTGCAAACCACTTGACAACGTTATCCTTGAACTTGCTCAGTTCTTCTCACATAGGTACTCCATACTCCCCCCTGAAGAGCAGGAGGAACTTGCGCAACCCCGGATCACATTCAAGCACCTTTTTACCAAAGAGCCTGTATGGACGGCGGGACATCAGAAAATGATAGATTTCGTGCAAAACATAATGTCGAAGCTGCCTGCTTACAAGAAGGAGGTGGGTATGCGAGTCCTGCACTCACATGACTCTGTCATCAAGATTTACAACAAGTATCTTGAGGCACCCGGCTGGCCTGTTCAAGATGCAGCCGTGCTGCAAAAACTGCATCCAAGCGACAAGAAAACTGGACGTCGCATGTACATGAAGTCCCTATGCCTCTTGCAGGACATGACGCCAGTGCGGGTACAAGTCACACCAACTGGAAAGAAACATAGGCTAGATCCTGAGGATAACAATGAGATCCTCAGTTCAATAGCTGGCCTGGGTGATCTTGCGTCCTTAGCCTAACGATATTCTAGTGTTACTTTACGAGCTATATTCATTTATGATACTTCGTGCATGTCATTATTTCATATACATTGTACAGACAAAGGATGATTCGAGTACCTAATCACAGCTTGTATCTCTTCTTAGGCCGGATGTGTTGCAGAGGCTACTGCCTCACATCTCCATTTTTAGCATGAACTCGATGGCGCGCAATGGCACGGACAGGCTCTGCTCTTCAGAACACAAGGTTTTGCAAAAGTTATCCCCAATATGTCCAAACGATCATATCTCCCACCCATTACATTGGCCACATGCACAAGCTTGTTTGCAGTCTTGATCTTTTAAAACTCTTTTGACGCAGCCGTTCGTTCTCAATACTTATTCCTTTATAGGCCCAAAATTTCTTCATTCAAGCCCATGCATCACGTTCTATCTATATCTCTCATTATGCACCCGCCCAGCAGTGCAAAGAGAGCATGCCCGCTATCGTGGGATTAGTCGATTACATAATTTCACATATGATACATTAGGCGTGCCTTTCACATCATTTGTCTCTTTTCCTGACTATGTACACACATTTGAGCAATGTTTGAGTTCGTTTATAACTGGTATATTTCATTTGCTTTTATATTAATTGCATTAGGATGGATAGTTGTACTTGTACTGTAGTAGTTGTAGTTACCAGATTTAATAAATAACAAGTGACATAGAGTTGGTACAGGGATGTACATCAGGCTATCCTGATAAAAACCCGAGCTAGTATGCTCGGGTCCAACCAAGGCTTCGCCATCTGCAGTAATTGTAAGCACTTCCTTAGTTCAAACAAAGATTGTAATTTATGCCTGTTCAGCAACATTTCAGACTTGATTATTTGCAGACTTCATCTGGCGCAGACTACCATTCGTAAGTCCCCAGTGACTGCCCATGAATTTTCAGTGCTAATTAACTACTTCCAGTTGTAATTGCCTGAGTTTCTCCCAGGTGAGCGCCCAGCTAGCAGGCGCTGTGCAGCTTCAACTGAAATGGACGTCTTCTACCTACAAGGGTCTCCAGGGTGAACATTGTACTTCAGCAAGGATACCAATGCCTTTTTAATTCTATAAAGTTCACTCTTTTTTCCAGTACGTAGTCCCTGTTAACACTCACCACTAGGGCTGTTCACCATACCGTATACGGCGTACGGCCGTACCGTATACGGTGTGCCGCCGTATGAAGCTAAAACATAACCGTCTATTACGGATGAAAAAAAATATGCTGACGGTACGGTACGGTGTGCTTTACGGCCGTATACGGTACATACGGTACATTAAACGAGGTCTTGGACTGCAGCACGAGCCAAACGAAGCTTTGCCTTCAGCAACATTAGCATCCTGATTGTCTCAGGCTTGAGGCTTGCACGCCGCATAGAGACTGTGTCCCGACCCCCAGAAAAAATATGTTCAACGGCAACAGCAGACCCTGCAAATAGCGCGAAGACAATAATTAGATACTATGAATGTTTTAGATAGGCTATACACTCACCAGGGATTGCAAGAACATCACGCGCGAGACGAGAAAGGTTGGGAAATTGTGCACGACGACCTGCCCACCACTGAATGGGGTCACAAGTATCGAAATCCTCCTGCGGGAGCTTCAAGTAGTGCTCGAATTCATCTATCGTCACATTCGATCGCTTCTTGTACCTTGCTGTGAAGTTGACCTTCGTCGGAGACTGGCGCCCAGTGTTCTCTGGGCCTGCTTCAGTGGGAGATGACGAAGGGATTGATTGTGCCACCCTTGTAGCATACTCCTTCTTATAAAGAGCATGCAGATTGCTCTTCTGCGTCTCGATATGCATTTGTGCGGTGATATCATCTCCACAGTCGCTGTGGAGCCCATTGTACGAGATGCGGGGGTCAAGAACTTATGGAATAGTTGATTAGCTAGCCAAACAAACTCGCAATGAAAGGTAACATACTTGAAGCCCAGACGTAGAAAGGCGACTTGTCAATCTTGAAGTAATAATCACTGAGCTTACGATGAGCACTTGTTAGCGCAGACCGCAGCTTCACTGGAGCTGAATCCAGAAGTTCTGCCAAGTCATCTCGAATCGACTCCTGGAGTCCACGGAATATTGCGTGTGCGGTAGATAGCATGGGACGCTTTGTCGTGGACATTTGTGTGGTAGCAGAGCGAAAGGCCTTCAACCATTTCGTGTGAGTTCGTCGTCGGTAGGTGGGGTCCCACGGGACTTCAAGAGCAGATATAGTCGATACATTGGTGGAAAATGAGTCTTCAGATGACCGATCAAACCTGAAACTAGTAAGAAACAAGACATGCCGTCAAAATGTAACATACCATTCAAACTGCTTTTCATCGCACGCGTGATGGTAAGGACCTTGCGGTTGCCCAAATAGCATTTGTAGTGTTTGTCGCCAACGTCGCCTGCTTGTCCGTCGGAATTCATCTCCACAAGCTCGTAGAAATAATAGATTGGATTGCGCTTGCTGGCCTGCTAATGATTTGGAGTGACCCGAGTTAGAATAGCTATAAACAACAGGAAAGAACTCACCTTCGATAGTCGGGGAAGAGCTGAGCTCGTCGATGGCTGTAAGCTACCACTGTCCTCGTCATCTACTTCCTCCACGCGAGCACGCTTGGATGCCTGGGAGTCGCTGGTGGCAGGCAAAGGTCGGTTGGCCTTGCGCTTCGTTTTCTGTCGGAGTTGGCGTGTGTCGTTTCCCCCTCGTTGTGGTACAGTTTTCGTAGGCAGCATTGCAGCAAGCTACATAATTAGTAAGACCAGTGAAGAGAAACACGAGAAATAACTTACCTCCACATTTGTTATCTCCTGGACATCACTGTTAGAGCCTAATGACTCTGACTCCGAGCTAGAGTCAGAGTCATCCCCTGTGAAATCACCGTCATCGGCATCTGAAGGGTCAACTGGGAGAGATGGAAAAAAGTTGTCATTGTTGATAATGCCAGCGCTCTTCTTGGGTAAACGACGAGATCGGCGATGGCGACGCAGAGGCTGATCATCACCTTCACGTTCAGCCTGAATTAGGGCGTTCATGCGGTCAGGATTCTTGGGACGTTTTCCACAGCCAAGAACCACCTGAAAAGCTTGATCCTCGGCGAGTGCACATGTGTCTGGAGCGTCAGATGACATCGAGTAAAAATACGGGAACTGGGAGGGGGGAAAGCAAGCAATGGGAGGAAAGGAACAGCGCCAGGAGATATCTTGACCGGTATCATGGTTCCTCCTGGATCGGGGCAAAGTAATCAAAGAATATATGATCTGGACATGACATAGAACATGTTAGAGTGGGGTTGATTAGAGATTATAGTAGAAAACATACCACTGGCAGTACTTTGAGGATCTCCATAGTGTGAGGATCAGGTCCGGAATTGACTTGTTGCGAAATAAGACATGCGGCTACTGCATGTATAAGTCTGAAACTTACACCGTAATACGGCCGTATACGACCGTACAAATACGGCAAAATACGGGGCCTTTATACCCGTACCCCGTCCCGTCAACTCAAGGTTGAAACAACCAACGGTACGGGTACGGTGACCGTATTACGGCCCCGTAAAGTCCCGTCGTACGGCGTACGGTGAACAGCCCTACTCACCACATTCCCATCCTCTCAAGAGGCAAGATCAATGGCAGCTTCAGACATGATCATCATCGTCTAAACTTTATTTAGATGCCTAGCCGAACTTTTCTGTGCAAATGCGCACAGTGCTGCGATGTTGGAGTGGATGGTATGCCTAGAAATTCTGGTGGCAAAAACTTGCCCATCGCCATGAAATATGTGCATTCAGCACATGCTGTCAACATTGCAATGTCATCTGGATGTGAATGTGAAGATTCTTTGCTCCATCTCACTCACCAAGCCTTGCTCCAGCCCAGCTCAGATCGCAAGGCACCATTCCCTCAATATCTCCAAGACCAGCACCCAATGCATCAGTCCAACATGTCGATGCCAGTGGATGATCTCGCCGCTGAACTATTCGCTATAACCCTAACTGATCACGAATCTGATTCGGATGGTCACCACAAACTGTGGGTTTAGCGTTCAGAAGTCCAGCGAGACAAGGGAAAGGTCTACCTGAATGGTGAACTCACTGTCAGCGATACACAGTGAGCAATACACATATCACATGATTCATGTAGTAACTGTTCATTTCACAGACACATCACCCACGCCCTCCAGGCCATTGAGATGAAGCACTCTTCAAGGGCTGAAGCCACTTTGAATGTGGTAGAGTTGCAGATAGAAAGCACTCACATCCAACTTTCCCTTGCAACGTCTCGTGATGTGTTACAGTCCATCCGCAATGAGCTATTTATGATAATCAAGACCCTCGCGAAAGTGAAGCACAAGGTCTCCTCCATCGTCTCTCGCAGGACTCGGCTAGAGACAACCTGTAACGAAATACAAACACTCCTTCTCAGTAAGGAAGATGGGCTTCCTGTCTCGTCTGAGCCAGTCGAATTTGACTCCTGTGAGTGTTGTTTATTCTTACATTATATCCTTCCCTCTAACATGAAGGCAAGCACATCATTACGATCTGCCCATTGACTACACCGACAAGCAAATAGTCTTCCAAGGCGCGGATTATGTATATAGTAATATTATAAAATCTTTCATGCTTAGTGGGTGAGGCAGGCAGGTTAATCCAGGCAAACCTTTCGGGTGGGAGATTGGTGGGCACTTGTATCAGGCGGGAGGTAGGTATACATCTTCAAATCACTTATTTATTACTGCTTCATGGCATAACACAGTTTGTCTGGTAGAATACCTGTATGGCCAAGCCAAGCAAGTGGTGGATGGCATTCCAGAAAAGAAGGTTCATGAAATCGATCCATAAATGTAGGTAGGCAATGGATATCTATGTGGCTTCCGCTCTCTTCCACCCCACTGGCTCCTCCTCCCTAAATGTGCTCCAAACCCAACAGGTGCTCTATCTCGTTCAACTCCTGCCATAGCCAAATCACCGCTTCGTGCCTATCCTCCACCATCAATGCTAGGAGGCACTTATCGCGGCACAACATTTGGATGGGGGGGTGAGTGGCGCATGGCGCGTGTGGATGAATTTGCGCGTATTCCATATCATCTTGCACGATCTCTTGTGCGTAGTCCCATAACACCTAGATATATCATAATTTGCTAATGGAGATGAGTAGCAGCGGACTTACTATTGCGGATGGTGTTACTGCAAATGTTTCGGCACACTCAAGGTCTCCAGCCTGCTCCTCTGCCCCAGCCTGCTCCTCCATAATGCCCTCAGACTGCTCCACCATGACATCCCCAGCCTGCTCCTCCACCTCCCCATGTAAAGACTAATATTGTATAGTTAGTTTACTCACTCAAACTGTAGCATAACTTACACTATTGTCTTCATTAATGTCAACTTGCTGCAGAAAATGCATCAGTTCTTGCATCTCATCAGGCTACTGACGACTTACATTTTCGTGCACTTCAGCCATTATTGTTATAGCAAGGTTAACATGTTCAATGTTGATGAACAAATCTCTGAGTCTCTGAAGTCACTTCGTGACGTGGTGTCACATTCGCACATCGAAACTCCTCAGTCTTTCCAATAGGTAAAGGATTGCATCACTATGTCCTTTTAGCAGAGACCATTTGAGCAGTGATAGTTTCAATGCCCTTTTTCAGCTTCTTGTCGAACTCAAACCATTATTTACCATACATAATGTAGACCTACTTTTTGGCACGGTGAATGCTCAGTGCCCAATGAATGCTCAGCGAGCGCCCAGTGAATGCCCAGTGAATGCCCATTACAATTCCCCATAGGTTTAATTTTTCATTTTCCCGGCTCATTTAAATGTAGGGGCAAATTCAAAATTTCCCAGAGTGGCAAAACACTCACCATTATGTAATATTTTGCGGAACATTTTGCTGTGCTTCAAAAGTTTGAGTTTATCTGTGATAAAATAGGTCGTATTTTAGTCAACATTTTCGGAAAGGAAAAAACTTCGAGTATTTTGTACATTTTTACAATGTCAAAATGATTCACAAAATGTAGAATTTCACCCAGGATTTAGCCACTCATCTAATTTTTGCATTTTTACCATGTCAAAATGTGCAGTAAGAATGCCAACTTTATCACTAACATTTCAAAACAAATCTTGCATAGTGAAAAACTCCCAAACCGCTGGTGTGCTAACAGCCACGCTCTGTTATCCCCTGTGACATGGACCATAAATGGTAGTCACAACTTGTGGACTCCAAACACCTCTGATATTGCTTCTAAATCGTAGCGGTGTGGACACACCAAGTTTGGGGATGCTGAATCTGACCTTGCTTGCCTGTGTGGTCACAGATTTTTCTGACCGGTCCAGCGATTAGCCGCCATGCTGGCACCATTTTCAATGTCCAATCATTTTCTGTGTACCCTAGCTTTGTATTCTATTGCAGCTGCTCGGCCTCTGTGACTGATGGATGTTCCTCTGTCTCGCCTTGTTTTCTCGTCTCATTTACAACATGTGGTTGTGTATGATACTGCTCTGTGAGTCAATTTTGATTATGTATGTGATACAAATGTGACCAACCTATCAACTAGATAGTTGATTAATACTATTTTGTCTTTACTACCTTTTACCGTTTCGTGGTCTCCACTCAGGCTTCCCATTCGTGCTAGAATGTGATTCGTCAGCATACCAGTTGTCGGCCTTTCGAGAAATAACCACATATTACCAGCTCGAAGTTTTTTTTAAGATACACGCATTGCCAGTAGTGGCCTCAAGGGATCCACGAAAACCACCAGCAGCCACATGGTTTGACACGGCACTGTTCATTGAAAACCGTGATCTGTACACTGGGAAGGGCATATCAGGTCAGTCATCATTTCGAACTTATCTAGATTTTTCACTCACCTCCGTGCCAGGGCTACATGTTGGTGAGGTGAAGGCAGCATTTAACCTGCCATCTTGTTTGGGGAAATTTGCACATCCACTCCTGTATATTCACTGGTTCCGCCCTCTGCAAAGCTTCGACAATAATCTACAGAGCTTCCGTCTAACTCGGTCATCACAGCAGCATGGACCTCATGCAGTCATTGTACCAGTAACAGAAGTCATTCGTGCATGTCACCTGATTCCGCAATTCAGTCACCAACAAGTTGCAGACGAGGCAGAGCAATTCTATCTTAATAAGTACAAGAGTTCCGAACCCTTCAGACGGTAACACTTGAATGTCCCTGTGACCACGCACTCTTGACAGTGCAGTGTATAGTTGACCGTGTGCGAATGAATCAGTGCACAAGTCGAGCACCGCCTTCTGTAAGGTTAGCCCTTGGCTTCCGTTGAACATCGTAGCATAAGCCGCGCGCAATGGAAACTGCTTTCAATTGACCATCCAGCTCGAACCCGGGGGATTGAAAGTGAAAGTAATCTGAGGGAGACAGTGTCTTTCCTCCGTCTCAGGAATCTGCACTTCTATGAACCAGCGATGGCATCGATGAAGACCGGTGATGCAGACACACACATTCCGTACCAATCCTTTCTCGACTGATAGATTCCGGTGCAAAAGGAGGATGCGGAGATCCAAAGGAAAAGGAGCGTCAAGATGTTGGAGTGCCTGTGGAGCTCAAGTACTTGGTGCGCGCACATGGGAGTCACAGGATATTGGAAATCACTCCGTCCTTACAATATGTCGAAGTAGAATATACAATTGATGTTCTTGATATTCAACAGATGACTCAGAGGTGCATGAGGTCCTCATACCATTTGTAGATGCGTGACACTGACTAAAGGAGTGTGGCTGTTAGGCTTTCCATACAGGGTAGATTTTGGCGCCTGGCTACTTGCGGTTAAAGCACCAGGAAAGTCGAAAAAACACAGCCTGCATGGCACTGCAATTCGAAGTCAGGCTTTCAGAGTTTGAAACACCATGCCTGCCCTTTGCCATCTTGCTCGTCGCTCAGCATGACTTAGAGCCAACACTCAAGGAGTGCGCTCAAATCCAATGGATCCGCAGGCCTCCTCGTCACAATGACAACCTGATCATCAAGATGCAATCAAGTTCGCTATCCAGTGGGAAAGGGATCATGCTCTCACTACAATCCTTATCAATCATCTGACTATTCACCCACCTTATTGTCGCATCCTGTTCTATTCCGATGGTAAGAAAGCAATGTCTAATGTTGACGATGCCCCCTCAGGCAAGGACAAGAATGAAATACACGACATTATCGCCAAGCTCATCTTTGTGACCCATCCCAAATACAAGACCACATATCATCAGGATCTGAAGAAGTTTCGTGTGTCAGTTGCCAATTGCATCACAGCGACGGCGTAAGTCTCTTTCTCTTGTTCTTATTTACGCTGATCAAATTTCAAGTCTCAAAAATAAATACAAGAAGTGCAAGGCCAAGTTCAGTGCAACGGGTGCCGGTGTGGTGCCACTGGATGCAACTACCTCGAACAACTTATTGGGTGAGTCCTTCACACTTATTTCTTGATTATTGACCAATTGAGCTTTACAGACGAAGTCAATGCTGAACTTCCATGGTATATGATCTTGATAGCATATGGCACTCAATCCTGTCTTTCGCAATTAAATCACATTCATCCAGGCCGGGGGTTGACCATGCGGGTAATCTCTATGCACTCATACAGCTGCATGGTGACCCTGGCAGGGCTGGTCCCTCAATGAATTTTGAGGTTGCCACTCAGGCTAGTGCTCAGCCATCACACAGTGCATCCTCCCCCCAACCACAGCCCCATCTGCCATCACACAGCGCATCCTCCGCTGAGCCACAGCCCCAAGGTACATTCTCCCCCCAGCCCCAACCCTCTAACGGCTCTTCCAACAATGATCCTCCTATTGATCTGTGTCTTCTGCAAGCTCCTCCCTCCTTTCCTCATAACGACATGGACTGTAATATGCATGACCCTGATGACGATGACGATGACATGGATCTGAGTTGTCCTTTGTCCACCCCCCTCGGGGACGCACTGTGCCACTTGGAAGATGACCCCATGACCCTTGACAGCCATGCTAGAGCCACTGGGAAAAAGCGTCAACTTGCAGCATCTCCTCCTCCCGACATTCCCAGTACTTTTGAGGTGCCGCAGAAATCGTCGACACCCTTTTATGACAGCCATGCGGCATTCAGTGCACAGCGACCCTCTAGTCGTGGGGGGCATCACAGAAAAACACCCTCTATCGCATCGTCAGGGGTGTCCTGCAGCATGTCAACCCCTTCCTCAACAACTCGCAACACTGTTAAGACCATGCACAAAGGGTAGGACTGATTCCAAGGGGCTTGGCTTCAGCTCGTGCGCTGCGCCCCTTACCCGAGTATGTGCCCTTAATTTCAGAATGATGTCCAAAGAAAGTCCAAGGATGTCCAAAGGACGTCCGAAGCGCGGGAAAGTTCCGGAGGAACTTCTGGAAATTACGATGAGGTTTTGTCCTGATACAGATATGTGTAATGGCTACTTAGGACAAGTCCTAAGTAGAAGCAAACAGAGGAAAGGCTGCAAGGACAAAGTCCAAAGCAGAATAGGTCCGGAGGACCGCAGGAAAGTTTCGGACGAACGTCCGGAAACTTCGGAGGATCGGATAAGTGGATGAGCGGAGGATTGGATAAGCGGAGCTCTGGCCTAGGGAATTTCTCCCTAGGCCTGAGATGGATATTGGCTAAGTCGGAAGACTAGAACTGATATGAGGACTTAGGGTGAGATCTAGTGCGAGGACTGATATGATATTCAGACTGAGGAACTACAGGACATATAAAAGAGTTTATATACTAAGGAAATAACGGAAAGATCAGTAAGCAAGCGTCCGAGGCTATGTATGAAGCATAAGCAAAGTTATCAAGCGCGAGTCGGAAATGAAGCATAGGTTAACGGATCAGTAAGCGTACCGGTAGTAAGTATAGCCGAGATACCGAGGACAAGGAATACCGAATAGAGGAATAGTGTTAAGACCATGCACAAAGGGTAGGACTGATTCCAAGGGGCTTGGCTTCAGCTCGTGCGCTGCGCCCCTTACCTGAGTATGTGCCCTTAACTTCAGAATGAAGTCCGGAGAAAGTCCAGTGAAGTCCGAAGGACTTCCGGAGGAGCGTGGGAAAGTTCGGAAGGACTTTCCGGACGAGTGCGAGAAACTTCTGGATGAGTGCGGGAAAGTTCCGGAAATTATGATGGAGTTTCGTCCTGACAGGGATATGTGGATATCAGATCTGGCGTCCGGATATCAGATGCAGGAGTACAGGGATCCGGACAGATAGAGAATTGGGTCTGGAGACATGGACAGGAGGTCCGGAGGTCCGGATGAGGCATGGGAACGTCGTCGGATGTTGGTCTGGAATGCGGGATATGACAAATAGGCTGTGTTAACGTTATATGCACAGGAATGAATTAAGAAGCTTATCGTATATCGGATCGGAAGCGGATCTATACATCAGACCGGATCGGATCGGATCGGATGTCCGGATGAGACACGTGGATAGACATTAGGGTGATGGGACAAAGGATGAATGATGCAGGCTAGCTGAGGTATAGAGGTAAAGGGATCTGGATGTGCAGATGTGGATGTGCAGAGGTGCAGGGATCCGGACAGATAGAGGACTGGAGACATGGATAGGGCATCTGAAGGTCTGGATGAGGTGTGGGAACATTGTCAGATGTAGGTCCGGAATACGGGATATGACAAACACATCATCCGACAGTTTTATAAGTCCCACCCCCCAGACATCATTGCCGACCAGCACCGAAGGCTCGAAGAAGAAGAAAGCCAAGTTGGATGTTCAGGAACAGGTTGCCAAGGTAAATGACGAGATTGAGAGCATCCAGTCCAGTGCTGTGTCATGCCACGAGGTGAAGCATCAACACTTCTTCGTGAAGCTTGATGCAAAGTCTGACTACCATCGTGATGCGAAGAAGTACGAGTGGCTCCGTGACACGCGTGCGCACAAGTCCTCACAAGCTGCCATCAATCACCAACACCATCAGGAGAGTAAGGACACTGAAATACACCTTCATGAGACAGATATTTGAGTGCACGAGGCACATTCCTTAGTCCTCGACAAGGAAGCGGAAACATTACGCCTCAAGATCCAGTTCCATCAGATGATGCAGGGCAGCAAACCTCCTGCCTTGCATGTGGAGTGAGTTGTTCGTCGTCGTCGTCATCATCATCATGTCATTGTTTTGCCGCTCTCATTTTTATTTATTTTTGTTCTCATTGTTGTTGTGTTTGATGGTACATATGTTACATATGTTGTACAAGTATCTTACTAGTAGGACACATTCATGGTCAATATGAGCTTTCTTGGTCTTCAGCCCCTCCTACGTTGAGCCCTTGAATGAGGACTGTCAAAGAGCTGATCCATAAGCTTTAAGTGAGTAGCCTGGCCTGGAGTTCCCTCATAAGATCTATCACCAACTATTTCATCACCATCTGCATCTTCATGCTCTTGAGGTATGAAGTCTTCACCCTCTACACGAGCCCACTTCAGAGAATTCTTGTATAATCCATCCTGCTGGAGATGATGGGTTTCAAAGCGGATAATCATGTTGTGCAGGATGATACAACACTTAATCCACTGCACAGCAAACTCCAGGTCTTTCTCTGACTGAAGATTGTGCCAGAGCTCTCAGAGAGATTGTAACTGTCCCTTCAAAACAGCAAACATGTGTTCAACACATACATGGACCTAAATAAATTCAAATTCACTGAAAAACCACCCAAGCAAAAATCATACTTTAGAAAGGTGATAATTGAATATCTTCTGGTTCTTTGTCAACTGTCCATTGCGGGGCTTCTTTAAAGGGGCTATACACCATGGCTCCAATAGATATGCACTGTCTGCCCAAACCCAGTGACTATCAGGCAGAAGGTCCGCATGCTCTTCATATAGGCAAGTGGATCGAAAAGCAAAGGCATCATGAACACTCCCAGGTTGACCAAGGGAATAATCAATAATCAGGAGGTTGTGGGGTAGAATGACCGCCTAGAATTAAATTAATTGTTTTATTGATGATAATAGAGAAAAACACATTACTTGACAACCAAGGGAATACTTGATTTCCTATCATAAAACACCTCACCATAAAAGCCAGGTTTGGCATAAAGGTCCATAGTTGAGCCATCAATGGCTAGAAAGCCTCCACTCCACTCTGGACAGGTTCGAGACTCAGCAAATGCCTGAGCCAAGTGAGCATCCTCAGAGTCAGCTGCTGGGAAGCTGATAAACTGATCATGTGCATCGAGCACCGCAACCATCACATGATGAGAGCAATTGACAACTGACCCAATGCTCACACCTGCCCATTGAGCGACATCCTCAAGAGTAATGGCATTCCCATAGTGGCCTGCACTATTGAGAAAAATAGCAAGCTGGACGGAAACAGGGAGCTGAGGATTGTTGGACTGGTTGTGGAAGATAGGGTGATCAGAGATCTGATCAAGGATATCATTGAAGATCTCTGGGTTAACACAAAGTTTCTGCCGAAACAAATGAGGGTGGTGTTCCTCGTGATGAACCAGCATATGAAGCTGAGGTGCTCGTGGAGGTGGCTCATCTGGCTTGTGGAGTACCCGTGCCCTTTCGACTTCATCATGAAGTGCAGTGATGGTGTCTTGGAGCCTATTGTAATGTGCAGCAACATCAGCACTGGATTTGTCACTAGACTCTGAGGAAGAATAAGAAGTCACAGTGCTGGCAAAAGGTGACAGTGGGGATAGGGGGGACATTGAGCTAAAAGGCATGTTGATACTATCTTCATCATCATCCGAGTCTGAATCTGTGTCCCAGTCCATATCAGACTCGGAGTCAGACCAGTCATCTAGGAGTGCATTCTGGTATTGCAAATTGGCTAATGATCAAGTAGCTTTATCAATAGAATTGAGGAGGTCATCATGTAGGGCTACACAAGGCATGATCACAGTGGGGAGGGGTATTATCTTATCAGTTGTCCGATCTCCAACTGATTCAGTGGAGTTTGAATCGGAGTTTGAATTTCTGCCACCCTCAGCATTGCTGATGTCGTCGACTTCCAACAAGCTCGTTGATGGCAACTGCGCTCAACCATGCCCCCACACCAACCCTGATGGTGGCTGCACTCAACCATACCCCTACACCAACCCACAACATCCTGATGGTGGCTACACTCAATCATGCCCCCACACCAACCTATAACATCCTGATGGCAGCTGCACTCAACCACACCCCCATGCCAATCTACAACATCCCTGTCATTGTCATTGCCTGTGAAGAGACCGAGACAAGCTCATTAGCACTCGGCAAGAAGCTTAACCTGAAGGAGCTGAGGTTGGCATCAGAGGATTTGCTTGCTGATTTCTTCATGCTCAATAAGAACTCTAGTGCATTTTTCTTCTTCTTATGAACTCATCTGATTGACATGGACAATCAGTGTCGCTGCTTTCATTGACCAGTGAGACATTCCCAAAAGTTGTCACTATGGTTGATGCATTGATCACATCCTCCTCTTCCATATTTGCCTTACACTGGATGGGCGCCCATCACACAGCACATCCTCCCCCCAACCACAGCCCCATCTGCCATCACACAGCACATCCTCTGCTCAGCCACAGCCCCACTACATTCTCCCCCCAGCCCCAACCCTCTAATGGCTCTTCTAACAATGATCCTCCTATTGATCCGTGTCTTCTGCAAGCTCCTCCCTCCTTTCCCAGTCTACTGAGTCTTGCTCAATGCTTCGGAATCCCCCCTCCCTCACTGTCACGCATTCAGCAAAATTGCCGACAAACCATTTCACATATGTGCACGTCTGTAGATTTCTGTTTCATTGCATCTCATGTAATTTCCCTTGCTTGTTAAATACATAGCTATATCTACATGCCTCAAAAATGACAAGTGTTATTTCCAAGTCCACTCTGATGCCGCTGTGTGCCGTGTGTTTTGGTGGCTTTCTGGCCAAGTTTTCTGAAGACTTTACTGAGTTTTCTGAAGTTTTAGCAAGTGTTTTTGAAGCCTTAGCAAGTTTCAAAATCTACTTTGAGTTTCACTAATACATTATGATCAAACAGTCCAGAATATTTCGATCCTAGGATATCCGACCATCCGACCCCATCCAGCATCCGCCCCGGATATGACTCAGCATGCAATCTACAAATAAACAACACCAAACACGCCACCTTGAACTGTACACCCCGCCCCCCGCCCCCGCCCCCGCCCTTTGTGTCTCTTTCCCCACCCTTGCCCTTTGTGTCATGGTGAATGTTGGAGGTGAGCCAGTAGGGAGGTGATGATGCAGCAACTGCAGCACCTCAAGGCTGATGGTATTGGCATAGTCATTGAGTGCGGTGCAGGGAGGTAAGCATGTAGCGGCGCTGTTAAGTAGCGGCTTGGCCAAATGTAGTAATATCCCTGACATTGTGCGCAAGGTGGCTGACAGCGAGAATGTGTGGGAAACAGCAAGCTTAATACATGATTATATTTTAACAGTATATTATGTGTTGTGATTGATGTGTGGGAACAATGATTATTATGCTGGCGTGGATGCGGTCAGATGGTTGGATGAGGTTGGACGGTCAGATATCCCAGGATTGAGATGTCCTCAAACAGTCAGCATTTTGACCAGGCTCCCTCCCAGCCCCACAGTTCGAGTGTGGAGGGGCGATATCTGATGGCATTGTTGGCACTGTTTCATAAGTCACATGATACAAGAAAAATTCAAACCCAGCATAACCTTATTCCCCCTCACACTCTCACTGGGGGCTGGAAGATAACATTTGTAAACAAAGGTCAGCCACAGTGACCGTGACCATGAAACTTCAAAAATATGAGTTTGCACCTAGCATAGGGTTACAAAATTTCAAATATGATATGTATTTTTTGTCCCTGGCTATTGTTACACCCGTTGTTATACTATGGACACAGTGATTGCAACGCTACAAGAGTGCAACCTGAGTGCTTCTCAATTCATCATATCAATTCTAAGGTGCCAAAAATATCACGGACATCATCTTGCTGAAGGTCTTCTTGTCTGTTCTGATGAAATTATTGAAGCTTTGATTAAGCATTCTTCTCATCAAGACAACAAGTCGCAAACCACTGCAAACCACAATGCTCTGAGACAGCAATACATCACAGAGACTAAATTAATCTCATCTGAAGAAAGGGGCTGGCATTTTGGACCCTCACATGCACTACATGACAGCTGGAGGAGTGTAGCATCGAGGAAATGAGAACTGAAATGCAGTCTCGTGCACCTGCACTATGGGATTTGCTTGGGCTTTTGCTAGGGGCTGATAGTTCATCTTCATTCGAAGACGTGAAAGATGCTGATGGAGATATTATGATGGGCAGCTTGCAACGGACTAGCTCTGAGGTATATGATGAAGAGGATGACTATTGGGGTGATGTAGACGACTTAGATCTTGATGCACATACTACGACGAAACAAACTATGCGGTGATCTGCAGTCATCATGATAGTAAGCATAGTGCACACCCCACATCAGCAAACTAGTGGGCTGTGTTACAAGTCACACCACATGTCACATCAGGTGATATTATTCGCACATTATAATTTGCATTTTGTAGGAATTGAACCCAAGACCTTAGCAATTAGAAGTGTATCATAATAACCACCAAGCCACAAGAACATTGTTAAGCCACATTAATAATAGCAATATATACCAAAGACATGTCACATGACCAAATGCGAAAATTCTACCAAGTCAGTCCAGTCAATTATCACTACAACACTACCATTCTATTTACTACATAAATAAGACTACAGTAGCTTCAGATAGTTGCAATAGAATCATACACTAATTTACTCAATATATATCCTATTTAATTTTCACTCAGAGTCAATAAATCTTGTACAGTAAAAATTAATATATATTTCAACTATATTTTCAGTAATTACAACAACATATGGTAGGTTAAGGATAGTAAAAAAAAAATTTAGTGTGGTATTTGATTATGTGTCTGTGAAGTTTGGAAGACCTGTGGTGTCTTGTGGCACCTTGTGAAACCTTATGTTACCTTGTGACACCTGTGATGAAATTGCTAGTTTGCTGATACAGAAGGTGATCAATACACTTGCATGCATCAGAATCTCAATATCTACAGACTCAATCAATGCCACAATCCGATCATTGTCAACAGAGTCACAGAATACTCTCCAAACCCTAGGAAAATCACTCCTTGCCTCGTATGCATATGATAACTTTGATGTTGATCTGAAATCTCAAGTTCCTCTTGCTGAGAAGTCAAATGACTCGTTAAAGCATCTCACCTCCGGTTTGCTGTTCCCATTGCAGCATGGTGTTACTGCAGATGACTTAAAATGTTCTAAAGAGCTATGGAGACAATCAGTGTTAAATTCCCATGTGCAGCTCTCAACACTACCTCCGAAAAGATCATGGAAAGATCTGTTACACATCCACCCAGAATCCAAGGACAATTCCACACCACAACTCTCTCGGCGCAATCAATTCAACATGCGGATGTTCCTGTTGGATTTATGTGAACATGGGCCAGAGTATTTTCATCAATTTCAATCCAAGATTCCCGAGCTGGACGCTGTAGAGGAGATACCATTAGTCAAAATGTCAATCACAGCTGCATGTGCAATGGACATCAATAATTCAACCATCAGTGGGAATATTTGTGCAGTCATGGAACTACTTGCCCAAGGTGGTGTACATGATCCCACCGACACCAACATTCTTGACAATCCCAACATCTCGCAATATGTCATCTTCATTCACAGTGACCTGGGCACAGGGGAATGATTGCAGGCCGCACAGCTTCAACGGTCAGTGGAGGCAACCCCATGGAACCGCTTCCAGCATGTTGTCTTCATTCCGGGATTGTTCCACTTGAAGATGGTGTGTGCTGATGCTATTTGGAGAACCTTCCTGCAGCCATTAGCAGCTGGAGAGGATGAAACAAGTCTAATGCACGACATAACACAATTATGACCCAAGGAGACAGGAATATATTGCTCAAAGCCTGGTTTTAGGTGGATGCACCAACTCATTGCCCATGCTGGCACATGTCAGTATCTTGATTGCTGGCGTGTTCATGTGGCAGGTATGGACCCAAGTTATATGAGCCTTGATGCTTTTGCAGTGTCCAAACCAGACCTTGAGAAGTTGAAGAGTACTGCTAATGAGATCGCACTCAATTGGGTGGCAAATCACAAGCTCACATTTCTCCGCATTAATCAAATAATCCATCGCCATATCAAGACTTGATTTTTGTTGCCTTCCTGTATATTTTGGTACTTCCACATCACCCTTCACTAAATCCTTTAATCCCTGCAGGCCCTTATCCATTGGAGGAGTATCCTCATCAAACCCATCAGACCCATCACTGTGATCACCAACACTGGCAGTCGGCTGTGCATGGGAACCAGCCACCCGAGAATTCAGTGTATTCATGGCATGCCGCTTTGAAAGTGATGCAATAGGTAAACTATCACCCTTTCTCTTCCAATTCGTCTCCCGCATCTTTTTCCTTGCTGCTTTAGCTTGTCGTTCATCATCAAAGTACTCCTTCTCCACAAATAGCAATGCCGTGCCTTGAAGGCTTCTATCTCGTACTGCACATCCAAACTGCTGCCAAAGAGTCATCAGCTTGCACATTGCTCACCATTGGATAATAAGCATGATATCGAGAATGTCCATTCCCTGATTGGTAAGTTCATTTATGAATCCTAGTCTGATGGAACATGCTTACCATTCTGAAGGAATCTGTTGTGCAGTAGCCCCATGTATCTCCTGATATGAGGTTTGTGAGCTCAGTATCTTTGTACTCTCCTGTCATGTCCGTGTTGAACCACTTAATTTTATCTTGCATGTCTGGAGGTAAGCGTTTGTGCAGGTATTGAATTGCATTGATAGCATCCGGAATGCTGTCGAAAAATATTAAGAACTTTGGTGGGGGGGGAGGGTTACCATCCTTCCAGCCCATCAGGATGAGGAAAGCAAGATCACAATAGCTATTGAGTGCGTACTTAATTTTTTTGACTCCTATTTTAATGTTTGGGCGGTCACTTGAGCAACATATGGTGACCATTTTGTCAGCGTGCATGTGAAGAAGCCAGGTGGTATGTGTCAAGGAGGCTTTTGTGAGGGTAGCAGAAGTGATCATGATTGATACAGTTGCTGGTAAGATGTAATGAAGGCGGCCCAATTCTTGGTATTCTGGACGGAACTCGCCCCATTCCATGATACAGTGGGCTTCATCAATGATGATACCTACAAGGTAAGAAGCGAACAATGGGTCCTTCAGAAGCTTTTCAAAATTGCCGTTTGGTTTCATGATTTGTTCAGGACTGACTGCAACAGCGTGGTATTTTAAGGCTTTAATTGCCTAATATCATGTGAGTGGTAACATTTCGTAGGGTTTCAAAGTAATACAAACCAAGAAGTTTGCAGCGCTAGCAGTTTCTGCATTGATAGCAATGGCCTGGATGCTAGCCTTCGCAAGAGATAATGCATTTTGTTTTCCCAGTAGGTTCAGTGGAGTGACAATGAGCTGGATGTTATTGATGTGAAACAGCAATGGAATCCAGCAGCCAAGGGTCTTACCCATCCCTGTGCCTGCAATGCATAGGACATCCTGGTCACCTTTGAGGAGAGCATGCGCTACTTTCAGCTGCCACAGACAAGGGTGGACACTGAATTTCTCCTGGGTCTTTAGATAGATTTCAGATAATGCAGGAGTCTCATGCAGATTAGGAGCTGTCATCTGTATAACAACGGGTGTAACAATAGCCAGGGACAAAAAATACATATCATATGTGAAATTTTGTAACCCTATGCTAGGTGCAAACTCATATTTTTGAAGTTTCACGGTCACGGTCACTGTGGCTGATCTTTGTTTACAAATGTTATCTTCCAGCCCCCAGTGAGAGTGTGAGGGGGAATAAGGTTATGCTGGGTTTGAATTTTTCTTGTATCATGTGACTTATGAAACAGTGCCAACAATGCCATCAGATATCGCCCCTCCACACTCGAACTGTGGGGCTGGGAAGGAGCCTGCATTTTGACCCATTTAAATGCACATCGACATGATGACGTAATAGGCATTTTAATGGTACATGCCAAGTATTAATGTCCATTTTAATGGTAACCACTGAGTATTAATGCCCATTTTAATGGTACTCACTGAGTATTAATACGCATGTCAACCGAGTCTTAATGTCATCCTAACGAGGTGGTTGCATATCAATTGTTATTGTGAGATGTTAATATAAATACTAATCTACATTATGATATCGCTGAAAATGACCATCCTTCTTGCTTTGTTTGCTGCTGACTGTCAGTTGTGTTGGGTGAGTGATGGTCATGATGAAGGGATATTGAATGATAATGCACGTCACTGGCCTTATGAGGTTTCATACTCATCACCGACATCCAAGCCTGCTGCTGCACCTATACTTCCTGTATTTCCTTCTTAGTAAAGAGGACACATGGGGCTTTGGTGTCCCCTTTACTAAACTAGGATTCCATTCCTACAGAGCACTGCTGGTGCATACCAGCAAAAACTGTGACCTTAGTGGTAAGCTATTTACTACCTACTACACTATTGTTTGTTTAATGTTTGCTCTATGCCAAAAAGTATTCCCATGGTCTTCGCCCACACACCATCATTGTCGTAAACAACGAGCTTGATACTTGGATGCCCTCTCTTATTTATCCCGCCATTTTTTGTAAGTCATACACTTGACTTGATGCTGCTGTTTGATTGATGTTTTCTCTATGCCCAATAGTATTCCCGTGGTCTTCTTCCACACACTGTCATTATTGTCAACAACGAGCTCAATACTTGCATGGTCTCTCTCATTTATCCCACTGTTCTTTGTGTATCCTATACTAAAACTTGACAGTTGCTGCTATTCATTCTCAACTAAGTCTCTGTTACTTAATATGTTGAACTTTAGCCGGCCACTGTCATCATCTGCCAGGAGGTATGTGTTTCTTCTTATTACCTCTATGCTGAAGTCATTGAGCCCAGGGACTAGGTAGCCATGTGCTCGTGGTCCTACTAGTACTCGATAACAGCAGCCATGTTTATTCTATGCAGGTATTCATTTTTTTCTTTCTATGTCAAACTCATTGAGCCCAGGCACTACAGTGCAGTCGTCTCTCTATACCTCCCATCTGCTCTTCTCACATTTGTTATACATCCTGGAGCCCACCAATGACCATGGCATTCACTTTCAAGTCTTTCTCGAGCTCTAATTCAGCGAGCCATCTGAATGTTCCAATCAAATTATCGTGTATTTGCTGCAGGCCTTGCTCTTGCCTCCTCCTCAAGTGCTGCCTGTTTCATGGTCAATTTTCTCGCCCATTTGGCATGTGGCTGCAGTTCCTCATTCACATTAACCTCTACTTGATGTTTGTCCTGGTGGATCTTGGAAGTAAGATGTTCTGTAGGGGACTCCAACATCATTGTTGGAGGAGTGATGTTGGTCATTGGAACTCGAGTATCTAGATATCATGTCGTTTAGCTACCATCAAAAAATAAATGAACTTCGACATACTGCTGGTTGCATGAAGGGTGGATTCTACTACAGTGTTAGGATTGTCAATGGGAGCTGGTGGTGATGCAATCAACTCGTCTGAATGAGAAATGGGGGTGACCAATGACGAGACACTTGAAGGTGTGCAAAGGGCAGGGTCTATGAGATCATCAGTAAAAGGATTAAACTTGGTCTCTGATGTGTCAACTAAAGTATTATTAGGTGCTGATGAGCGATGCGAGGACAAATCTGGTAGTGCCAAAAAAGGACTCGGAGAAGGTCATGTGACCTGACAGTGTAAGGCATCTGAGCTAGATAACAGGTGGAATGGGGGGCTCTGTTTCAGGAGTCAGTAAAGCTCCAAGATCTGTTATCTTTCTTCTCCTTTCTTCAACTTTCTCCACACTAATCTGCACAAAGTGGCAGATCTTAGCCTTGATGGCATCAGTGAGCTTCTCGAGTACCTCAATACCACCCTTCAGGTCTGAGGGATTGGCCCATTGAGTGTGGTTCCATCCCATGAACTTGACGTGATAGTGGCAAATGACTAAGGCCTCATATTTCGTAAATTCAACAGTAGCCGATGCATCATTGGTGACTTCGCCTAGTAACCCCTTAGAATGGCAATAGATATGAAATAATTATGTACTTACAAAGAGATGTTCGTAAGCCAGTGTGGATGGATGATTTGGCCCTTGATAAATGATCCTTATGTTTAGATGGTACAGCTATAACATAAATCAGAATGTGAAGTATATATGAAAAGAAACACAAACAATTAAAAATCCCCTTTGACAACATCATACTCTCAAAGTCAGTAGCTGTGTGTGCAGCATCACACTTCAAGTAAACATGCATGAATTGCTCGCACTTGGTACTGGTAAAGTAAGCCTTGGGTGCCATTTGAAAGTCTGAGCTACTGCAGACCATAAAAATGAAGGCCTCGATGCCAACACATTGCGACATTAAGCTACAGGTGTAGTGTTAGATAAGTACTAGCTATAACAGGTGAAAAAAGGTACTTCATCCTTGACAGCCAGGAAGCTTTTTGCACTCTCAGTTACCTTAACACGAGGGGTGATATTGGGTGGATGATTAGTGGTACATTTTTTGACCTCGTCAAACTCTTTGACAAGCTCCTCCTTTTCTTCCTCCGTAAGGCTGCTGTATTCAGCTCTGTCATTAATAATCTCTGCCATCTTTGACCGCCTATCCTTGCCTATAGAACAAACATCAGAAGTGTAAATACTAAATACTGCTGTACTCACTGGAATTGCCCTTGATACCCTTGAAGTGGACCCATACTGACCACATGTGAGTGCTTCAATTACCTTTTCAGTTTCAGGACCAAATAAAACCAGAACTCCATCTAGTTGGACTTGTGAGGTTGGTGTTGGACAAGATGGCATGTAAGCCGGCTTCTTGTCGGCTGCCACAGATGAACAACTAGCTCTAACAGGAGCAGATGAAGAACTAACCCTGATGGGCATGATGGGTCCAGGATCTGGGTAGTCATCATCAGAGTCAAATTCGCAAATAATGACCAGAGGTTTCAGGGTCCACTAAGTACAACACATGAGTGATTGCTGACATCAAAATAAAATGACATACAGAACCAGAACCTGTGGCACAGGCAGTCCCTTTGGCACCTGGTGTCATCTGAGGCCTTGATTGATCTGTGCCAACTACTGGCGTCACAGGAACCACTTGCACAAGCCACACAAGGGGAGACCCCTGTGGAACCGATGATAGGAATGATATGTTCAATCCAATGGCCTGCACAAGCCTGCCAGTGGCATGGCCACAGACTTGAAAATGACAAGAGGTTCTTGATGCAGGCATAGGGATGAGAGGAAGGTGATTGGACTGTGTTTATGGTGGCCATAATGGAGTCATACTAGATGCAGAAGGTGTTGACCAATTGTTGAGCATGCGAGAGACCACAAACCGATGTGCAAGAGGAGTTGCAAAGCACTTGATAAAAAACTGGGACATCTCTGCAACTGCCTGGTGTAAATTAATGTCCTCGGCGAGCACCCTTGGGTTGACGTAGATATCGGCTTTCAGCGACTCTGGAGTCATGTTACCACCTGGAGCAGTAGCACCAGGGTGATGGAACACTAGAGTAGATCCTCCCGTTAACCTATCAAGTGCAGTACACTGTAAGGTGTATATCAGCATGACTTAATGTAAATAGAATGGTCAACGCACCAGGTCAACAATCAAATTAAGTATGATCTTGATGTGTTCAGAACGAGTCCGCCAACTATCCATGCACTGTTTCCGAGAGCTTTGTTGGCTGGAATTGTGAGATGAAGCACCAGTGAGATAGTGAGTAGAAGTAAGAGAATGAAACACGTGGGTGAGGTTGATGTGATCACCGTCATTGTGTAGTTGATGAACGAGCATTGCGAGAACAGCTACTTTCCACCGATCTTGAATTCCTGCTATGCCAGCCAGCATTTGTGGGCGAGGAAGGATAGTAAGGACTTCAGTGAGACCATCCACCATTGGCTGGTGGCCGTACTGTGTCTGCTTCCAAGTAGTACTAGACATGGTGGTAGGAATTGAGGGACATTGTTTAGCAAACACAGCGCTGCCCTAAATAGTATGAACTGCAACCATGATGTGAGTAATGGCATGTTTGAACAAATCATAACTCTATCATGACTGCAGGGCCCAGGCCGCTGTAGAGACTAACATTTCTGTGGCCTCATAGAGGTCTAATTTCCGATGCATGTATCAATGCTAATCATTATCCAAATCATTCCCTATCATATCCGACTCAATATGCACCAAACGTGAAAATCATCAGACATCAGACATCAGACATCAGACTATCAGACTTTGCATCAGATTATCGGATATCGCGTGTACTCGTCCTACCTATGTCCTGTCTCTTATACCTTCAGACATTGTTTCCCGTGCTCGGACTATTGACCCCACATCACTCACTGACCCCCAAAAATATTCCCAGACCGCAGACCCCTGGGTCGAACACACTTGTTTCACCAAGTATAGCAGACTAGGCAGTGCAAGATCACAACATAAAGATATCAGTTTGGAGCCATCTTTGTATAGCCCCACTCTGTGTTGTATTTCTACAGCGCCTCTGGCATTCATCCAAGGTGAGTTTGCCATCTTTTCTGAGCTTGGAAGTCAAGTCCGGAAGTTTGGCAGAGGAGGAAGCCAAAGCAGATCTGTATTTTCCACCAGAATAATCTTTCTGGTCGGAGGTCGAAGCTGGCTGCTTGGCAGGAGGGGTGGATGCAGAGGGTTTGGTTTCACAGGAGACTTTTCCCTTGCGTTCCCAGTATCGAGCATCAATAGTCTGGGCCAGAGTTTTTATTGAGATAGTGTAGTGGGTTTTCCTTGATGACTGATTTCGTCTTTGATGCGAGCCAGAAGTCTGTTGTAGAACTGACAGCGCAAAGCTCCATTGCCCCAACCTCGGACTTGGGAAGCTAGCTGTTGGAACTCTATAACATACTTGTTGATGCGCTGTCCATCGTGCATATAGAGTTGTTCCAGCTGCATTTCTTCATCTCCGACCAGATCATGAGGTCCGAAGTTAGTTTGGAGTTCTAACATGAACTCGGAGTAGTCATCCATTTAGTCCAGACGATCGATGAGAGATCATCCAAAAGGAGGTCTGGTTCAAACCATTCAAGGGCCATACCCTTGAGGTATGATTGCATGAAGTTGACCTTGGTTTGGCCGGTGCGGAAAGACCTTGGCTTAGCTTGGAAGTTAAGCTCACATTGAACAAAGAACACCTGGAGCTTCCGGGACTCAGTGCTGTCGAAGGTGTCAGGTTCTGTTAAGAACATGCTCAAGGGTTGAATCCGAAGGGCTTGGCTTCAGCTTGTGTGCTGTGCCCCTTACCCAAGTATGTGCCCCTAACTTTCGAGGGCTAACGAACGATGTCTGGAGTCTGGAGTCCGATACACAGGAATTCCAGCGGACATTCAGGAACAAGTGATAAGACTAATCCGGACAAAGTCCGAACTAGAAAGGAAACAGCAGAGGACTACCAAAGGTAGAGGTGGAGGTGGTAAGTCAATAGGAGTTGATCCTAAGACTATTGGAGACAATGAGAGGAGACTCAAGTCAGACAGAGAAGGGAATGAGCAGAATCTAAGATAATATTCAAACTGAGGAAATACAGAGACTTTACCCAGTTTATATACTATGGAGGACATAACACAGAATCAGTCAGTGCAGTGTGAGGCTATGGACGGAGCATGTGGAATGCCTAACACTAGTGTGTTGGAACTTAATAAAATGAAAATGGAAATTAAGAAGGTACAGAAATTAAGCATAGTTGGTTATAGGTATAACCGGATGACTGGAAACAGGGGCTAACTGAGAAGGGACACACCAAAGGGAAAAGATTTGGAAGATAGAAGCTGACCGGATCTGGAAGTCCAGAGATGATTGTGTGATAGGTCCAGGTCTGGAACTTGGGATATGACAGGGTTGGATGTAGTGGTTGAGGTTCTCCTGTGACGGCTGCCTTGGCCTGGGATGATACCCGCAAGATACATATTCTCTGGCTTGTATCTGACATCCAACGGTAAATTTAAGTGTGCTATAGAGATAATTCTGCATGATGTACTAGCTCCACAGATATTCAGACCTTCCGGATTGAAAAAAATCCACATGAAGAGCAAAGACATAGCATCCCTCCTCTCCTCTATCAACAAAAAGTGAAACCAGCTGAGGACCATCAAACTGACAGAGAAATTGAGCTTCAAAGGGGGTTTTGATGAAGGATGGATGGGGGGAATCGATGGAGTCCATGAGATTGTCGCATGCCTGATCCATCACGGCCTCAATATCTCTATGAGAGAGGAGACCGAACAGATAATCCTTGAAATTGTTGTGATGCTTGGACCTGTGCTGGGCAGGAAAGAGGGTATTTTGATATATGTGTCAAGGAGTATAGAGCACTATCAGTTTCCTTATCCCTATCCATCCCTTGTCCAACAATTAACCTTGCACGAAGCTGAACCCCCACTTTCTCGCACATTGGCTGCATTGGACCCGCAATTCCCGTGCTTTGGATACCTCGGAAATGCATTAGGAAAGTCTCTTGTCCATCCATAGTCCATCCAAACCCCATTGGTATGTGAAATTCCTTACCTCGAGGCTTGTAAAATGTGTTACAGCCTTATTACATGTCCTTACATGTTTACTATATTTCCTATCCCTTCTTATTCCAAGTGGGATTCTTGACAGTATAAGTTGCCTATACTTTGGACTACTTATAACACTTCCCTCATACTGTATACCTCCCCTTATAGGTTACCTTCAAAGTTGTCTCTTGTGGTGTGCAATCTTTAGGGCCCGTTCGGCAACCGGTCGTTTGTGTCCGTTTCATTTTAAAACAAACGGACATTGAAGTGAAATGGCACTCCCACAGGTGTCACACACTGTCACACTCGCACGAACTCTGTAGATACTACATCAGATAATGAATGATAACCATCAGTTTGCTACTCGAGCTCTATAGCTATGACCTCCTCATCATCACAAAAAAGAAAGGCCCTTAAAACCTCTCTTAAGGCAACACACACTCGCAGAAAGAGAGCTGCAGTGCTAGCTGCTGCATTTTCAGCTGCTGCAGTGGCTGTGGCCACCTTGCCCTATATCAACAAGATTCCCCAGAAATAGGTGTAGACTAGGATAAATACATGTCAGACAACGAAGCAAGCAAGTTGAAGTACATACCACTTTCTTGTTCTCGTCAGCTGATTCAGACTCATGATTCCCTCTGAGTGGATCCTTACCAACAAAGATATCATCTTCGTCATCAAGGAGAAGTGTGCTTGGCCATGGAGGGCTCGTCTCGTACCCATTGATACTATTAATATGTAGAGCTCCTTCACCAGTTGCATGACATCCATCCATGAGCACAATGATGTCATCATAGAGGGGGAATGGTGTTGAACGCCAAACCTTGGCTTTGGAATGGACCTGAACAGTAATGTAGTCAAGAAATAAGCAACGAGTGAAAGCTCACCTGAAGATAATCATCCCACACTTTGTCACTGGCAATGACAATCTTTCTCATCTCGTCCCATCCAAATCCAGACAGCTCTCGCAGTTTTTGGACAATAAGACAGTTGGCCTTCAACTACAAACAGTATATCAGCACGAAAATGAAGGAAAAATACTACTTACAGTGCTCCAACGACGTGAGCAGCTCTTTGCAGTTTTCGAAGCACCTCCACTGACTTTGTGACTATCTTTGAGGGCCTTTGCAGCAGCTGTAAATGCTGCAGTCTTGAAGGTTCCATTATCAGCCGTGTTTCCATCAGCAAAAGCCTTGAGAGAGTCGATGAGTGTTGCATCATCCCCAGAACTCCACTTCGCGTTCTGTGGGATCTTCATGGTAGTACCAGCCTGCTCTTGAGGTTGCAGTAGATTGGTGTTCTCAGGCTCCCTGGTATCAGACGAAAGAGAGTGTTCTATTTTCTTAGGTCGCATGGTGGGTAGTAACAGTAGTAAACAGAGTAGGGACAGTGGGATATTCAGTTGACAAGAGAACAAACAAGTACTAGTGCGACGCCGCATTATGCAGCAGCGTGACAGGCCTTTAACGAAACAAACATGTTGCCGAACATGTTTTGCCGTTTCAAATGAAAATGGACGCAAACAAATGAAAACAAACGAAACAGACGCAAATGACCGGTTGCCGAACGGGCCCTTAGCCCCTATTAGGTTCCTTATACCTCTCTATACCTAGACATTCCTTAACTTGCAATATACCTTTGCTCTCACTCTCTCGAAACCTTGTTCCTTGACTTCCCTATACCTTGTATGCACTTTCCCGCTGTAGATGAGGAATGTAAAGGGTAGGTATAAGGGTGGTATGAGATGAACTCAAGTAGTCCTTTGTGCGCGAGCTAATGTTGGCCCAAGGGGATTGCTACTGAGAAGGTTCCTCTAAGTATGTAAAGGAGGGAAACACTGAACCGGGTGTGTGGTCAAGCCTGGTAAGGCATGCAACAATGAGTGATGTGTGAGCGAGTGAGAGCGATGTGAAGCGCTACTGAGCGGCGAAGTGTGACGGTGTGTGCTGAGCGGATGCGATGCGCATGTGTGTGTGGTGGAGCAAAGCAATTCTTAATGAGTCAGAAGGTAAACAGACAGAGGTTCTAGTGAGGTGCAATGGCGAGCGCTCATGTATACTTAGATACCTATCATCGGTTGGCGGATGTGGCAAAGATTTAGACTTAGAGTCCAATGATGTGCAGGAAGAAAGATGATTATTATACAGCAAGGCAGGAGTATATAAATTCTATGTCGGTAACAGATAAGTGTTGTCAAGCGCTAAAGCAAACCAGGAGATGAAGTGAGTATGTGATAACATGTAATAAGGGTCCATAATGCAACATATAGAATGAGTGTGCAAGCACCGGAGATATGTCAGAATAATGGAAATATGATAGGAATACGCACCGACAAACTGGACAGACATGGAATGGATGGATGGAGGACGAGAAATGGAACCGAAGATGCACACACTGATGCGCATCCAAAGCACATGTGCGCGCGAGCGGCCGACAAAGCACCAAGTATGCTGGGATGAGCTATGAGTCACACTATATTTGGAAGTGATTGGGACATTGGGAATTTAGACCTCTACGAGGCCACAGAGATATCAGTCTCTACACTGCACTTTCCACACCTTCAGCTGCGCGTTCCCACGCTTCGGATAGCCTCAGATACATTCCTATACCTCGCGCATACCTGTCCACTATTTTCCTGCACTTAGTGCACTCTCGGGTCGCACACATCCATCCATCATCATTCTAGTAGCAATTCCCTTTAGGGTCGAACACGTCTGTTTAGACATAAGGTAGATGACTTGCGAATTCAACAAACATCACATGATGTGACCACAGTGTGACATGCTTATGAGATGACGATGCCGAAGTGGCAAACACTGCAGAGACACAATCATGAGTAGAGCAGTGTAGACAAAACAATGTATGCAGCAGATACTGTATGTACTAGTATGATATGTACTGTATAATTGATCATTGATTAACATATTACCTTGAGATGGAGGCCATTTTCGTTCATAGCAGCAGTATTGGTAGGTATTATATAATCAACTGTGCAGAAAACTCTCAAAATTCAAAATATTTTCACCATCTCTATGTAGCATTGATTTATTCTATGGATCATTTGTACACTAGTGTTTCTTGTATTTTGCATAAACTACTTTTATACATTCTGCTCCTGTTGAATTGATTTTGAAAATTTCAGCTTTGTCACTCTAAGTAACGCTTTGGCACATGATGTTCATTGAATTTGCAAGTCGTCTACCTTAGCAGCTAGGCATAGCTTGACCTGACGTTTTCTTGCCACCCAGCAAGGTAGTTGTTTTCACATCGTGGTACATGAAGGTCCTCCTAGGTCAGAAATTTCCATCAGCACCAACAAGCAAAGCCTCACCACATTCAGTCGTGAGCATAGGACAATGGGTGTACCATTCAGGATATACTGGAGTTGTTGAGCCTGGTGTGTAGGTTGATGCATAGGTACAATGGCAACTGCAGACAGCATATGGGACAGTCTTTCCCTTGAGATGGAATTTGGCCTCGGCGCATTCTGAGGTCATTTGGATCTGCTTTAGGATATTTGTATGGGAGGAGCTGAGGCTGTTATCTGGCCTCTGGAATGCGAGAAATAATATGATGGAAATGATCTTCATAATTAGATCACAACTACTCCTGCTGACCCCTATGATAACTCTGCATGCAATGCCAAGGAAGAGAATGATTTGAATGATTTCATCTAACTTGTTCACTGGATCTTGCGGAAGGGTATCTACTGAAAAATAAGCAAAGAACTGTCACGATGATCTGCACACTCGCTTACCAGTATTGATCTCAACAGGTGTATCATCAGATGGCTCATAACTGCTGAACTGGGTTGCCAATATGTCTATCTGCAATCTGATCGCCTTCTTTTGTGCAATTACAATATCAATCTGCCGAATGATGTTTTGCATAGCTTTACAAAGTAAATGTAGCTCACAATCAACATGATCAATGCAACAAGAATGCAGCAACAAGTGAAAGCATTTCTAGATCTGGGACTTGATGTTATCAAGGACAACTAACACCTTCGTGGTGTGTCAATTGCATCCCTTTTTTGAGACAGGTACTGCATCAGGTTTGAGCTCAACAGTACAAACTGTCAAGCTTGAAGAAATATTGACTGAGCTCGAAGTGATCAGAACCAAGTGTACATTGATCAATTGGCCATATTGTTCTTTACCCAGGCTTGCGCTTAAGTGGGTGACCAATTGGTTGTTCATGTGTGCACCTACGTATGGTCTAGCAGAGGGTGTTCTCAAGAATTATCCAAATCCGAACATGTCTCTGCATTGTCGGGCGTCAAGTTGACTGGGTGGACACGCAAGCAGAGCTTGCCCATCCAAACGGCTATGAATCTGTCGAAGGAGTAACATTGGAACTGGGTTGTATGTAGAGTGTATTGAGAGTGAGCTTGATAGTACAAACTATTGAACTCGAAGAGATCGGGGAATGATGATCTCGACGGTACAAAACCATTGAGCTTGAAAAATCAGGGGTAAGATGATACTACTACAACTATACAAAACAGTTGTAGTAGCAGACTATAGTAAAGGAGTGACTTGAGACTCTGACGAAATTTGAGATGGCGAGACAAACAGCTTCAAATAATATTACATTAGCATTCTAATTTGAGATTAAGTCACCCACCTAAAATGAGGCGGCGGGGGCGCACTCAATGTTAGGCGCGGGGACCACTCAATGTTAGGATGAGCTTGATAGTACAAACTATCGGGCTCAGAAAGATTGGGGAGCGATGAGCTCAATGGTACAAACCATCAAGCTCAATAGGGAACAATGATCTCGACAGTACAAACTGTTGAGTTCATCTATGATGAAAGTCGAAAGCGAGGACTTTGCCAAAATGATTAGAATGATGACATAAGACTATGTATACACAATGTTAAGACCGTGCACAAAGGGTAGGACTGATTCCGAGGGGCTTGGCTTCAGCTCGTGCACTGCGCCCCTTACCCGAGTATGTGCCCTTAATTTCAGAATGATGTCCGAAGAAAGTCCAAGGACGTCCGAAGGACGTCCGAAGCGCGGGAAAGTTCGGAAGGACTTTCCGGACGAGTGCAAGTAACTTCCGGACGAGTGCGGGAAAGTTCCGGAGGAACTTCCGGAATTACGATGAGGTTTCGTCCTGATACGGATACGTGTAATGGCTACTTAGGACAAGTCCTAAGTAGAAGCAAACAGAGGAAAGGCTGCAAGGACAAAGTCCGAAGCAGAATAGGTCCGGAGGACCGCGGGAAAGTTTCGGACGAACGTCCGGAAACTTCGGAGGATCGGATGAGCGGATAAGCGGAGCTCTGGCCTAGGGAATTTCTCCCTAGGCCCGAGATGGATATTGACTAAGTCGATAGACTAGAACTGATGTGAGGACTTAGAGTGAGATCTAGTGCGAGGACTAATATGATATTCAGACTGAGGAACTACAGGACATATACAAGAGTTTATATACTAAGGAAATAACGGAAAGATCAGTAAGCAAGTGTCCGAGGCTATGTATGAAGCATAAGCAAAGTTATCAAGCGTGAGTTGGAAATGAAGCATAGGTTAACGGATCAGTAAGCGTACCGGTAGTAAGTATAACCGAGATACCGAGGACAAGGAATACCGAATAGAGGAATAGGCTGTGTCAACGTTATATGCACAGGAAATGAATTAGGAAGCTTATCGTATATCGGATCGGACCGGACCGGACCGGATGTCCGGACAAGAAGCGTGGATATACGGGATATGATATTAGGGCAATAGGACAAAGGATGAATGATGCAGGCTAGCTGCGGAGGTATGGAGGTGTGATGTACGGAGGTAAAGGGATCTGGACATGGATGCGCGGATGTGGATGTGCAGAGGTGCAGGGATCCCGATGGGTAGAGGACTGGAGACATGGATAGGGCGTCCGAAGGTCCGGATGAGGCGTGGGAATATTGTCGGATGTAGGTCCGGAATACGGGATATGACACACAACCAAAGTGACAGTTACAATGATGACAAAATTGTATTTGTAACTATTTGTCACACATCTGAAATTTTGTCAAAGTCTCAAGTTACTCCTTTACTGTATGTTTTGTTTTACTTGTGCTTTGTAGTACTAACTTGCCATTTTTTATTCACAGCTGTGCTTGATAGTGTGCCTCAAGGTCAGTTTCCTTTCCTTTGTTTCAGTACTAACTTGCCATTTGTTATTCACAGCTGCACTTGATAGCTGGCACCTCAAGGTCAGTTTCCTGTCCTTTGTTTGAATTGTTTCTTGGCTATCCATGTCTCTGGAGACTGGCACCTCTTACTTTGAGATCTGAGGGATATGTTCCTGGCTATCCATGTCCCCAGGGATTGGTGCCTGACACTTTGAGATCTGGGGGATGTGTTCTTAGCTATCCATGTCCCCAGAGATTGATGCCTTGAACTTTGGGATTTGGGGGATTTGTTCTTGGCTATCCATGTCTCCAGGGATTTACTCCTTCATTGGTCTAATCTGCTAAGCACTAATTTAATATTCAGTCTCATACTCACTTTCACTATACTAGATTATCAATTACTACATATTTTTACCTATATTTTGTACTGTAGGGTGCAAGGGTTGAATGGAGAGGGCCCCTCCATCCATGTCTTGCATCATTTACCTTAGTTTTGTGTCATTTTTAAATTTTCACACTTGTATACTTTAGATTAGATGAAGCAGTGCAAATGTATTGCCCTTGATGGGAATTCTTTGGTCATGTGACTCATAACTTTTTGCCCAAAATCTAAGTCATGTGATCGTGTAAGAGTGATATAAAGGGCAATAATGTTCAAAGATTAGAATTTGACTGCTGCAACAAAGGAATAATCCTCATTGCTCAATATTTCAGTCTGTTGTGATCTTGTACTGTAAGGAAGATAAGATGATGTTGGCATCCAGTACAAGAATAGTGAATAGTCTGACTATTCTTGCACTGGGCGAGTGAGCTTGCCCAGTATAAGAATAGTGAACCATTTCTCTGTTCTTGCACTATGTTTTCATGGTTGCAGTAGCAGAGTGCTTGAGAGCGGATGCTGACAGAGCAGCAGCTGAGGGACTCTTCACACTTCCAGAAGCACACCATCCAGCTTTACTGGTCCTCTTAGTGGCAGATGTTTGCACAATCAGTACAGGATGGTAGTCTGACTATTCTCGCACTGGGACACAGAGCGCACATGAAGAGAGTATTGTTGTCATATCCCGCATTCCAGACCCGGACCAATCATGCAATCATCTCCGGACTTCTGGACTTCCGGATCCGGTTAGCTCCTATCTTCTGTGCCTTTTCCCTTTAGTATTTCTCTTATCAGTTAGTATGCTTTATTTTCTGTCCCTTATTCATTTCCGTCTTTATTTGACTAAGTTCCGATAGACTAGTGATAGTCGTCCCACATGTTCTGTCCATAGCCTTGCATAGCCTTGCACTGCACTGACTGTTGCTCTGTTATGTCCTCAGTAGTATATAAACCCTGTACAGTCTCTGTAGTTCTGGAGTTCGAATATTATCTTAGACTCTGCTCATTCCCTCCTCCATCCAACTTGAGTCTCTCTTCTCGTCGACCTCCGATAGTCATAGGATCGACTCCTATAGACTTGACACCTCCGCTGTTTCCTTTCTAGTTCAGACATCATCTGGATTAGTCTTATCACTCATTCCTGAACATCCGCCGGAATTCCCACACATTGGACTCCAGACTCCAGATGTCATCCACTAGCCCTCGGAAGTTAGGGGCACATACTCAGATAAGGGGCGCAGCGCACAAGCTGAAGCCAAGCTCTTCAGATTCGACCCTTGAGCATGTTTTTAACAATTGTCTTCATCACTATTCTTGTACTGTAAGGAAGACAAAATAATGTTTGTATCCAGTACAAGAATAGTGAACAATCCAACTATTCTCATACTGAGTGAGTCAGCTTGGCTAGACGGCCTCACAAATCCATTCAATACATCTTTGTCATTTGAAATACTCCTCGCCACAATTTTGGCCTGGTGTTCTGCAAATGGCTCTAAAGGGCCCAAGTTAATCAGACCATATTAGGTTATTATGTCACAATAAATTTGCCTTCATATCGTCTGATTGTCTAATTACATCATGCTTAATTCGACCAAACAAGGCATCAGCACAGATCACGAGAACTTTGGTTCATTTTTTCTTCTTCATAATAGACAACCTCAAAAGCAAGACAACTGAGCTAGTGGCAGCTCTGACCAGGAGGGTGGGAGAGATCATGGGCAATTCATCTGAACTAGGTGTCTGTGAAGACCGTGCACAAAGGGTAGGACTGATTCTGAGGGGCTTGGCTTCAGCCTGTGTGCTGCGCCCCTTACCCGAGTAGGATGTCTGAAGGACATCCAAAGCGTGGAAAAGTTCAGAAGGACTTTCCGGACAAGTGCGAAAAACTTCTGGATGAGTGTGGGAAAGTTCTGGAGGAACTTCTGGAAATTACAATGAGGTTTCACCCTGATATGAATACGTGTAATGGCTACTTAGGACTTTGTCCTTGCAGCCTTTGCAAACAGAGGAAAGGCTGCAAGGACAAAGTCCAAAGCAGAGTAGGTCCGGAGGACTGTGGGAAAGTTCCGGAGGGACTTCCGGAAACTCAGAGGAATGGAGGATTGGGGATGAGCGGAGGAGCAGAGCTCCGGCCTAGGGAATTCCTCCCTAGGCCTAATGTCATATCCCGTGTTCCGGACCCGGACCTATCACGCAATCATCTCCAAACATCCGGATCCAGTCAGCTTCTATCTTCTGGATCTTTTCCCTTTGGTGTGTCCATTCTCAGTTAGCCCCTGCATCTGGTCATCCAGTTATACCTATAACCAGACTATGCTTAATTTCTGTACCTTCCTAATTTCTGTCTTCATTTTATTGAGTTCTGATAGACTATTGTTAGTTGTTCCACATGCTCCGTCCATAGCCTCACATAGCCTCGCACTGCGCTGACTGATTCTCTGTTATGTCCTCTGTAGTATATAAACCCTGTAAAGTCTCTGTACTTCCTCAGTTTGAATATTATCTTAGATTCTGCTCATTCCCTCCTCTGTCCAAATTCAGTCTTCCCTCGTCATCTCCAATAGTCTTAGGATCGACTCCTATTGACTTACCACCTCCACCTCTACCTTTGGTAGTCCTCCATTGTTTCCTTTCTAGTTTGGACTTTGTCCGGATTAGTCTTATCACTCGTTCCCAAACGTCCGCCAGATTTCCCACGCATCGGACTCCGGACGTGGTCCATTAGCCCTCGGAAGTTAGGGGCATGTACTCGGGTAAGGGGCACAGTGCATGAGCTGAAGCCAAGCCCTTCGGATTCAACCCTTGAGCACATTCTTAACAGTATATTCAAACACACACCTTACCGAGTATACTTACACCTAATTCATGGCACATACACATACTCAGAACAATCTCCGTGCAGCGAGCTTAGTAACTACCCAACGTGACTCTACTCCCATAGTCGATGCATTCACTAGCTTCTCGCAATGCCGCACCGGCACGCAAGATGCTGCATCCAGCATCTCTCAACTCATGAATCATCTGCACCCAGAAACCCCTACTCGTACACCGGCAGGAGCCATCCCGGACAACAAAGATACTCCAGGTGGAAACCCACCAGACAATGAAGGAGGTGATCCGGACGATGGACCTCCTGAAGACCTGACTGACGATGAAAACGAAGGTCTTGGTCCACAGGACTTGGTCTTCCTCTGCCTTTCTCAGGCAATCAATAACCTGGTGTGTAACAACCGCCAATCCTCCACCTCCGACGACTCTAAAGTCAAAATCCAAGAACCTGACACCTTCGACAGCACTGAGCCCTGGAAGCTCCAGGTGTTCTTTGTTCAATGTGAGCTTAACTTCCAAGCTAAGCCAAGGTCTTTCCGCACCGGCCAAACCAAGGTCAACTTCATGCAATCATACCTCAAGGGTATGGCCCTTGAATGGTTTGAACCAGACCTCCTTTTGGATGATCTCTCATCGATCGTCTGGACTAAATGGATGACTACTCCGAGTTCATGTTAGAACTCCAAACTAACTTCGGACCTCATGATCTGGTCGGAGATGAAGAAATGCAGCTGGAACAACTCTATATGCACGATGGACAGCGCATCAACAAGTATGTTATAGAGTTCCAACAGCTAGCTTCCCAAGTCCGAGGTTGGGGCAATGGAGCTTTGCGCTGTCAGTTCTACAACAGACTTCTGGCTCGCATCAAAGACGAAATCAGTCATCAAGGAAAACCCACTACACTATCTCAATAAAAACTCTGGCCCAGACTATTGATGCTCGATACTGGGAACGCAAGGGAAAAGTCTCCTGTGAAACCAAACCCTCTGCATCCACCCCTCCTGCCAAGCAGCCAGCTTCGACCTCCGACCAGAAAGATTATTCTGGTGGAAAATACAGATCTGCTTTGGCTTCCTCCTCTGCCAAACTTCTGAACTTGACGTCCAAGCTCAGAAAAGACAGCAAACTCATTTTGGATGAACACCAGAGGCGCATGGAGAAGAAGCTCTGCCTCTTCTGTGGCGGACCCGGTCATACTGCCCGGGACTGTCTCAAGTCCACTTCCCATGCGGCTAAAGGTCATGCTAGCATAGTGACTCCTGAAGCCAAACAGGAGATCCTGGAAGAGACAAAAAATTAGTCTGCAACCCTCCTGACTCCGCGCGGGATGAGGGTTGCATTGACTCAACCCATGCAATGGAGCTACGTCTCAATGCTGTGTCCCTTTCCAATCTGAACTCTCTTATGCCAAATGTTTCCATCTCTACCTTTGCCAATATCTCTCCATTTCCAGCCCTTGTAGATTGTGGTTTTTCTCACTGTTTTGTAGAAAACCACCTAATCCGAGAAAATAACATTCCTACTTATGCAATCTCTCCACTTCCACTCCATCTGTTTGATGGTACTTCAAATGCCACTATCACTGAGGCTGTAGATTTACCGATCCAGTTTCCGACTGGTGTGGTTACCTCCGAAACATTTTATGTTACTCAGTTGGACTCATCCTGTTCCATCGTTCTAGGATATAGCTGGCTCACCCGACACAATCTGTTGATTGACTAGGTAAAGGACAGCATTGATTTCCGTCCGATTCCTCATGGAGTGCCTTCAACCCCTCTGACCTCACTTCCGCCGCCTCTGGCAGAAATCCCATCCATAACTCTGCTGATAACACTGTTCCAAACATTTCCCTAATCAATGCAGTTGCCTTTTGCCGGGCCTGTAAGTTAGAGGGACCGGTCCAGTTCAGCATTTTTGTTCGTCCCTCCGGTGTCAATCTCCGCTCCGCTACACTCTCCTCTGAACCTCCAGACCTATCCAGAATTCCTTCAGAATATCACGAGTACGCAGATGTGTTTGATAAGGGCAAAGCCGGACAGCTCCCACCTCATCGTCCCTATGATCTGAAGATCGATTTGGAGGAAGGAGCAGCTCCACCCCTTGGAACCATCTATTCCCTTTCTCCAGTCAAGCTTGCAGCTCTTTGCAAATTCCTTGATGAGAATATTGCAACCAGACTTCTTCATTCCTCATCCTCTTCGCATGGAGCCTGTCCTGTTCATCAAAAAGAAGGACAGCTCCCTACATCTCTGCATAGATTTCCGAGGCCTCAACAAAATCACAAAGAAAGATCACTACCCACTTCCCCTCATTTCTGACCTTCTTGATTCTCCGAGCCACGCAAAAGTCTACACTAAAATCGACCTCCATTCCACTTATCACCTAGTCCAGATAACAGAAGGAGATGAGTGGAAAACTGCTTTCTGAACACGCTATGGCTCATATGAATGGTTGGTTATGCCCAAGGGTCTCACCAATGCTCCAGCAGCTTTCCAACACTTTGTCAATACCATCTTCGCCAATATGCTTGACATATGTGTTATTGTGTACCTCAACAACATCCTCATATATTCCCAAGACCTTGCATCCCATAAGCAACACATCCTTGAAGTCCTCTGATGCCTCCGGAAGCATCACCTATATGCTAAACTGGAGAAGTGTGAATTCCATTCCGACTCTGTAGAATACCTCGGCTACCCCCTATCTCTGGCCAGCCTTACCATGTCCTCTGACAAAGTCCAGACTATCTGTGACTGGCCAGAGCCCCGGAAAGTTAAGGATATTCAATCATTCCTTGGATTCGCCAATTTCTATTGTCGCTTCATTTTCAACTACTCGGACATCATAGTTTCGCTTACACAGCTCACTCGCAAGGATGCTCCCTGGAATTTCTCCCAGGATTGCTGGAAATCTTTTAAAACCCTCAGAAAGCCTTCACTACCGCTCCGGTGCTTATGCACTGGATGCCAGATGTTCCTATCATCGACCTGTGTTTGAGGAAAGACCTTGCCACTCACCATGGCTTCATATAAGCAATTCGGTGACACCTTTCAACACCCCCACACACAGCAAAAACTACCCTCACACAGCTCAAGAGTATCAAATCTACGTGCGACCCTCAAAATTTTGAAGACTTCTTTGCTGCCTGTGAGCCCTACTGCCTCAGTGGTGTTGTTGATCCGTTCTGGTGCAACTGGCCATTCACAGATCCAACTTGGTTTCTGACTCCGGACACATTACACCATTGGCCTCACGAATTCTATGATCATGATGTACAGTGGTGTATCAGAATCATCGGCATGGAGGAGCTTGACTTTTGTTTCTCTGTCTTACAACCACTCATGACATTCAGACATTTCAAACAGGGTATCTTGACGCTCAAGCAAGTCACCGGAAGAGCACAGCGTGACATGCAGCATTACTTTGTTGCTGTAATGTAATTGCGGATGCTGCACCTCCAGGCGTCATCATTGCTGTCTGTGCGCTAATGGACTTCCATTACTTATCTCAAACAGTAACAATCAGTTCAAACCAATGTCAAAAGATCCTTGATTCTCTCAAAACATTTCACAATCACAAACATCAAATTATTGCACACAGTGGGTGTTGGGGTGCGCCAAGAGCAAAAACATCCTTGACAACTGGTACATTCCGAAACTTGTCAAAATGGTCTCAAGTAAGATCTTAGATCATGTGCGATTGTACTTACTGATGAGCCTTCAGATTTGCGCGACTTTCAATGTTGTTGACAGGCTAGCAAATTATTCCGGGATCGATTTCAGTCTGGAGCATGGTGCTAATATCACGGAGGCACCTGAGTCTGTCTGGACAGACCTAGTGAAGGTATCTAATCATCGTTATGGCAACTTACACGCTGATATATTTTTGAGTTTAGAGTATCCCTCACGCAAAGCAGTACAAGAACAAAGGATGGCTGCATTATGATGCCTTAAAGGATATTTTGCCGTCAATGGGAAGAGGGGATATCACGCACCATGCTACCATGTGGCCCGCAGTGGCAGTCAGCGACCAAGGCGGCAGTACCGCCTCCATGACTAGTATAGCTACCCTGCCAAACTATGTAAGTACTAGTTCTAGTGAATTTGGAATCGCTGACTTGGAGTCTGGCAGAACTCGGAGAGAGCACTCGACGCTATCGAGCACGCCAACCCAAATGTCTCACCGGTGCCAGACACACCAATCTCTTCAATCATATTTGATCCTGCACGCCAACCACCCTTGTTCGCTGGTACAAATATTCCAGAGTCCCCCACCACTAGCATGTCCTCTATGCCCACCACCTCAAGGGCACTGGGCAAACGTAGAGCTGCTGATGGTGATGATAGCCCAAGGATCATCGGCCGCCCTCCTGACTCCACGAAAACTGGTGTGAGCGGCACATCAGTTTCATCGAAATCGATGAAATCGCAGTGCCGCAGTGGCGTCTCTTTTCCAGAGGCATTTGGCCACATAAGCACTGAAATTCATGGTCTTAGGTCAGCCTTCAACAGTGCGACAAGTGCAATGCAAGAACACACCTCGCACATGCAAGAATGCATGATGCATGTCGTTGCTCACTCAGTGGATCCTATCCCGGTACACAAGCAAAGGGCAATCATGCGTGTGCAACAGGAGGAGGGTCTGACTGATTCGGAGATGGTAGCGGCTATGACACACATTCAAGGTGATGTTGTGTTAAGATGGGAGTGAAGTGGGCCGCTTCTAGAGGCTACTGAGACAGAAGAGATCAGATTAGAGTCCAGAGTAAGTTGCCAAAGAGGCAGGGAGCACTGGACTCTGGGATATGGGATATGGGCGATGTATGGCAAACAAATGTAAACAGACAAGCCACAATCAAAGAGTAAGTAATAACTCGACCTAGGGACGTCCTAGGGAGGTCAGGAAGTCATGTAAATAATAAGTAAAGTATCAGGAATAACACTATGAGTATGAAGGCACAATAAGACACATAAAAGACATAGAAATGCGTACTGTAGAGGTGAATGATCATATAACTAACATGTTGTGATCGCTGATATGTACCTTTCCATTCAGAAGGATGAGCTCCGGAAGTTGTTCTTATCACAGTACTTCAATTAGTTTGAGTTTACATTTACACGTCTCTTTCAAACTTTATCAAACTTTATTACTTGTCAATGTATCAGTGTGAAGACCACTTGTTTGTGGAATAGACTTTGCATGAAAACGATGTAGCTTTGAGTCACTGATGGGACTGCATGTGCTTCTATACTGTGTAGCTACCGGAACAAAAACTGAATAGGTACTAGTATTGGACTACAAAACTTCTTGGATAATTGGAAAACCTCTGCGCTGTCGTCATTCTCTGTTATAATCATCCCACATCTGATATGCAATTGTATCACGCCATGTCTGCGCTTGAACACGTGCTTCTTCGTTAGGAGGACTGTCATGTGCCCCTGGATTGAGATCGAGGTCGTGATAGTCTTCTAAGTCATTCGGATCATGAACACGGATGACATTGTTGTAAGTTGAGGAGCTCTTTGTGGTTACAGGGCCTTTAAAACAAAGTTAGTACATAGTAGATAACCATTAGCATGACATACACTAAATTTGCCCGGCCCCATTCAGCCAAATGGTAGCGCACTCCATGATATGGGACCAGAAGCTCGTTGCAGGATGCAAATCCAGCATCGGCAAGGTAGTATTTTCCCAGAGGGATCCTGAGATCTGTCACGCGAGCAGCATGATAAACACGCGCATCTGCTGCTGATCCCTCCCAACTGCTTAGCATGTAGAAAAAAAACATATTGAATGAGCATGCAGCAAGACAATTTTGCGTCAAAGTGCCTTTACGATTGCAAGCTCCATGACGCTGCTCGGCCGATGGGTGACACATTATATGTGTGCCATCAATAGCGCCAATGGTGTCAGCAAAGTATGGATAGAACTTGGGGTTGTGAGAGACTTCGGGGGGTATCGGGTTTGTGGCATCAGGTAACTGAATGTATGTTGTATAGATAGGGGGCATGAGAATGCAATGAGAATGCATTTGAAGTACCTTTGCAGACTTTCAGCAACAAGTGTATGTAGTATGATAGGAATGAATGACATACTTTGATATTGTGTCATTAGAGCAGTATGAAGTAGATTTAACAGAACATAGAAAATGTGCTGGCATGTACCGAGTTCACATCGAATGCGGTCTGGATGCCCGGCAAGAAGTTCATTGACCCATGCGATTCCCGACAGAGCTGAGGTGTGATACGGTATCTTCTCAAGGTGGGCCTTTGAACATGTTTCAAATGCCTGATTAGCTGCGTCAATGACAATCATGGAGACTGCTCAAGCTGCAGGATAGAACAACCCCTCCAGCACATCCAACTCATCATCTTCCTCCATATTGACATCTATTAACTTCAATGTGTCGCCTGCATCAGATCCTGCATCATTCATGTCTGTTGGGTCTTGATCGGGGTTGCGGTGCATTCTGCTGGATGGTGTACGACAATACCTGTTATCAGCGTGATGTGACGGATGCTCGTAACATGACAAAGCAATTTTGAATTTTGAATTTTGCGAAAATTCGCTGTCCGAACAGACTCTAATCTTTTAATATCTAGATCACATCAAAAAATGTCGACATTTTTATACTGCAACGTCTATTGCATAGCAATTGCAGTCTCAGATGGATACTGCCACCACTGGATATGGAGATGATGACTTGGATATGGGATCAATGATGTCGAGGGCACTGATGAGGCAGATGATCTACAGGCTACCATTAGTGATCTCTGGGGGACAGGCCATGTTATAACAAATTTCTTCAAGAAGGCACAGCTTGCTTCATCGTCCACCACAGCACCCAGACCACTCCACACGTTCATCACTGGCTCACTGCCATCAATCTTAATTTTGACCCCTCATTACAATTCAAGCTATCGACGATGTTGCCAAGAAATTCTGTTTGCCTGACTTGCAAGCAGCATTCACCGATTACATTCAATGTGAGGGCGCTATGATGCTGCCATATTTACTGTTGATGGAACTGAACAATGGCCTGCTAGTGGGCTTCAAGGTGACTTAACATATGCTTCAGTGTTTTTTATACTGAGGAACACAATCTACCAGGACACATTGTTGTTGAGGTTCACCTCATCATGTTACCAGTTTCACCACCAGGCAGAAATCTCCTATGGGCTTCACATTTCCTTACCTATGTCCAATGTCTTGACATGGTACTCAGCAATGTGGAGAGGTATTGGAATACACCATGCAGATGCATGTTTTAAAATGTGCCACACATGCAGGAGTGATGCCTTTTGGAGACATCCTTCCTCTAGATCAACTTCACTCCTTCATTCATATTATGCCCCAATTTGGTCCTGTTGCTGACACTCGTCTGACATCAAGTTTGCTCAATCATTTTTCCTCAATAAGTACATTGATAAGAATTTTTATTTTGCCATCTCCGAGTTGAATGTAGTAATACTAGCTCTATGTATTATTTTGTACCTACTAGTTTTCTTTGAAAATTCACCTAGATTGTCCTACATGCCCTGTGACTGCTGTATCATGCTATTGATAACAATCCTAGGTCTGTCATAGCAGTCCAGACCACTTACCTAAGCTGGCATACACTGCTTCTCTTCTTCTATCATCAATCTCAAGGCCTAATGGCCAAGGTATCATCAATTGTCAATAGCCATGTGTGGTGACAGAGGGGACTCGTGTTATGTAAGTGTTACTGTAAATCTGTAACTTGCACCACAGCGCCCCGCCTATAACTAGTGCTGCCATGGTCTGGTTTGGAGGGTCATAGATGAGAACCAAGAACTGGATCATCAGTTTGGTTCTACAAAATATCTGAACCCAGAATTATTCAAAATTTTCTGCAGGGAGCACAAAACAAAAACATTATAATAAACAAAATAATAAACTTCGACTTTTTGCCTCCATAACTCTCTCCCCTGCAACCTGCTGCCTTATCAGTCTTTACCATCGTCTTCTGCGACCTTGTAAACCCCCTGGAGCGCGTCAGAGTTGTTGTAGAGCGTCTGGATCATCAGTGATAAGGAGATCAGTTGGAGATCAGTCAATTTTGGGCCCATAGTGCGCCCCTTTCCATACTTTGCCTCATATCGAGGTCTATTCATCACATATCTGACTCGGAGTGTCTCCCATCGCGTTCAGCACCTTCAGAAGCCCCTATACGCATCACTGCATTGTCCCTGGTCGAGCCCATCACTCCCAGCCTCCTATCCATTATCCTTGCTCCCCAATGCACTCAGCTCACTTCGTGTGAAAAATTGACGGTCCTTTCGGTGACGGTTTGCAGTCTCGCCTAGACTGCAAACGTGACACGTGATGACTCAGCCACAGCGCTGCCTTCCTCGTTGGGCTCGATTGCTAATCGCGCTCCACCTGGACCTCGACCACCAACAATCAACGTCGTGGATGGAAAAGCCACCTAGTGTCGCCGTCATCCGACGAAGAACTACCGTTTTTGGGAGGATCAGATGAGTTTTATTCGTGTGTGTGTCCATCATTCACTCACCACCTTTTCGGCACTCACTCATCTGCTTCAAGATCTCCTACCACCAGATCATCAAATGGCGCCTAAGCCAGAGTCTCAACTGCCTCTAAGGCACCTGCAAAGACTACTGACAAGGCTAACGAGTGTTGAGGCAGGTGCACTGTGATACAGGGATCTCCAACAAGGCCATGGTCATCCCGAACTCGTTTGTCAACAATATCTTTGAGCGCATTGGTACGCCCTCCCTCTACTTCTTCATTGCAGGTCTAACTTTAGTTACAGTATTGAGGCAGGTGCACCCTGATGAGGGCATCTCCAATGGAGGCCACGGCCATCCTGAACTCGTTTGTCAACGATATCTTCAAGCGCACCGGTGTACCCTGGTACGGGCGCGTTTTTGACTCAGAGACTCAGAGTAGCAGACGGTATTCATTCACATTATGTAGCTCTTAGCTCTCATGTACAGTAGTTGATTAGAATGAAAATAATGGACTATGAACCTGGAACTAGTGAGTATTCATGATTGGAGAGATGCCAGAGAAAGATTTGAAGCAAGTAGGGGATAGTAGAAGTAGTAAATATGATAAATGTTGGGGTTGAGGGCCAAAATATGATAAAGAAACTCGCTCCTGAGTGTTGAGCAAGAGATGCCAGAGAGAGATTGGGGGTGAACATGATAAAAAAGTTGCTCCTGGGTTTGGGTGAGCCTGAGTGTCGAGTGAGGGCAGTTGAGACTCAAAATATGATAAAGAAACATGCTCACCTGAGCGTTGAGTGAGGGTAGTCCAAACTCAAAATATGTAGGCTGAAGAAACCCGCTATTGAGTGTTGGGGGTGACATGGTCACCAACTCGGAGGAAGTGAATTGGAAGGAATGACTTGGTTTGCACATTGTTACCAATGTCAGGGCGCGTCGCTAACAGCTCGCGCCATTTTCTTGCAATAGCATCATCCTTGCTTGATAAATAGGTCTTGCCAGCCTTGGTGTAACAAAAGGCACGACGAGCCATAGGGTGGTTGAGATTGCCATGAAAGAATGTTCGCGCATCGTTGGCATCTTGAGCTACTGCAGAAATCTGATACTCTGCAAGACGGTTCAAGATCTGCTGATAAGAAAATTTCCTCCCATTCCCGTCACTGAAGGCCTCCCAGAAAGAGTCGTTGTCTAGATATTTCTGACGTTCCTCAGCAATGAACTGTGTGATCCAGATTCCCTCAGATGCCAGAAAGCAATGGGTAGCACCCACAAACAGAGAACGCACCTTCCAATTGCCCCATTCCACCCGCAAAGCATCCCATGCCGTGCTCTTGATACCCTTGGCTCTCTTATAGAACTCGCCCCAGTGTTTGATGGGAGAAATGGATTGTTGGTGGCTCTGGGACTTTGGTCTTGTCATATTCGAACCGTTCACCATCAAGCATCGCAATCCCAAGCTTATGTGAGTGGATGGACCGATGAGGCAAAGCCTGGGACTTGGAGCGAGGCGCTGAGGTGATCAGCGGGGCTGACAATACCACCCCAGTGGGAATTTGGGCAGCACAAACCGTATTACTAGGTGCTTCAACTTCATTGCAGCAGGGAGCATTGTTCATGGAGATCTACAGGGAACACAAAATTTCAACAGACCTCATCACTCGCAGGGGAGTTTTTGGCGAGGTCCTCAAGGACCTCATGCAACACAACCACGGGCCAGACAGTAGAACGAAACACACTAACAAGTCTTTTTGGTTCTCAGCCAACGAGGTTGTGGATAAGCAGGGCCAGTGGTGCAAGGTCAGGTGGTGCCAGAGAACATAGAACAGGCAGTTCCACGAGTGGAGTGACAGCAGGTTTCGCATACAAATCTATGACATGCACATCAGGAAACGAATCTGGGAGGGAGCGGGCAAGGGCAGGGTGAGCTCGTCCCATTTGACCTGTGGGATCACTCATGAGGTGGTACCAAGCAGCATCCCGCCAGTGTTGCAGAGATTGATCAGGTGAGTTGTCACCACGCACAGCATCACATAATGTGCTGTTGTCCATGCAACGAACGAGGCCAAGAGCCGTCTCACGACCACACCCTGGAAGGCCCTTCTAACAGAGGTGTGAGCAAGACGAACAATTTGTGATTGCTCCTTACCTTATCATAATCACCACCACAGCAAATTGGAATGGTTGTGAACGCATCACCAGTAAGGCGAGGCTCCACCAGTTCCTGGATGGAACTGGTGGTGTACAACTTGATGGTTGCATCAGTCGAAAACGTTGAGCTAGAAAAGAATCGTTTGAAAGTACCAGCAGGAGGAGAGAGTAGCCTTACTTTCGAAGGACCGTCTGAGCACCAAACACAAACACGTCACTGTCGTCAGTCATGATAGCATCGATGACTCCTGCATGGTTCATCAACCCCAGTTGCGCTTCGGCTTCTCCTACAGCCTAGGTAGGAAGAAACAATGATGGTGAACGAAGGCTAAAAGAAAATGGACGAACCATGATCCATTGTGTGTTGAACATGTTCAGAATACGTTGAGTGGGATCCACCATCCAGTGGTCCTTTGTAGATACACGATGGCCTCTTTTGATCTTTTGCCGCTGATTGCCGTCGTAACAAAAGACAAGCTTGACTGGGTACTGCACGAGTCGAGAAAGGCGAAACAGAAAGGTCCGAAGGGCAGGGTTCATTCCAGTTTGTGCATGCACACGGTGCCATTTTCCTTGCTGACATTGTTCGAACCATCCACTGCAGAGGAGTGAGTCACCAAACATGGGCACAGTCAACATGCAAAACTAACCTTGCATCAATGCCCACGACGTACGGAGAGTGAGGTGCAGGTCCTATGTAGCGGTCCAAGAGGGCAAGTGACACGATTGGCACCGTTGTCGCAGCAGGCTCGAGCATCTGCAAAAATGGGAGGTGAGGCATCTACCAACTGAAACTGTGTGAATATGTACATCCCATAGATCATTGACGCCCATGGCAGTGGGTTTTATTGAATCAAGGAGGAGGATGGGCAGTACTATGGTCGCGGATGCTATACGCGGAGGTGATGATGAGAAGAGTACGACGAGGACAAGGACAAGGAAAGGAGTAAATACTGACACACACATACCCGTACTATGACAAAGCCGCCACCTGCCTGGGACTGCAAATCTGAGGACTGCAAATTTGCAGTCCATCACCTGCAAGGGCCGTTTTTTCGCGCAGGAAAAGATAAGTCCCCACCCTTTGAAAGCATCAGCTGGGTCCAGACGGTAAATTGACGGTCCTAGTGTGGGAGATTTACAGTCCTGTGGGAATGCTCCCATTTGGCTCACCTTGGCTCACCCAGCAGTAGCTGGAGCTCGTCTGCAGCTCAGAAACACTCTGTTTTCCCCCTCCGGACGTCGAGTACCTGTCCTCCGTCCTCCCGTGCGGTCCCTACCTGTCTTGGGCTTGGGATGATGGCAGATGATGCTGCTGCCTGGGGGTCGCATCTTCCCCAGTTTGGGTGTCGCGTGCCGTGGTGGCGGTGCTGCTTGCATAAGCCCGTGCTGGACCATCAATTTCACCGTGATCAGTGCTTCTTCCTGCGCCATCCTGCGCCGCCTGCACCCTATTTCTCCATCTCTCTCGATCTCAATCGCCTCAAACTGCTGAGGAGGCGTCTTTCATGCGTGGTGTGCCCTATCTTGCTGCTGTTGGCGCTCTGATGTATCTAGCTACCACCACATAGACAACCAGTCCGCTATCTCTGTGGCCAAGCACCCAGAGCATCATGGACGCAACAAGCAGCTGGACTTGTGCTTCTACTGGCTGCGCAATGAGGTGGACAAGCAGGTAATCTCCCCCGCCTTTGTCCCCACTGCAGAACAACCTGCAAATATTCTGACCAAGGCCCTGCCTCGAGTCAAGGTGGACTTGTTCTGTCAAATGATGGGACTTGTCCGATTAGGGGGGAGCTCTTGATTGTGAGAGGTGCACAATCAGGGGGGAGTGTTAGTTATATGATCATTCACCTCTACAGTACGCATTTCTATGTCTTTTATGTGTCTAATTGTGCCTTCATACTTATGGTATTATTCCTTGCACTTCACTTACTATTTACATAACTTCCTGATCTCCCTAGGTCGTCCCTAGGTCGAGCTATTACTTACCTTTTGATTGTGGCTTGTCTGTTTACATTTGTTTGCCATACATCGCCCATATCCCATATCCCAGAGTCCAGTGCTCCCTGCCTCTTTGGCAACTTACTCTGGACTCTAGTCTGATCTCTTCTGGTCTCTCAGTAGCCTCTAGAAGTGGCCCACTTCACTCCCATCTGAACAGGAATTGTGGATGTAACCAATGCCAACATCAGTGTCCAGGAGCTGTTTCTGCACTTCTCCTCCTTGGAACTTCTACAGCCTGCCAAGTGCATCATTCTCCTTCATGATGGAATCTGCAAGTCTTTTTTCTGTGAGACGAACATCTTGCTGTGCTCTGAAGGCTTCCAAAACAAGCCTGGCTCTAGCATCTTTGGTGGAGTCTGTGGATTCCTAGATGACATTAGCACTCATAGTATAATATGAACATGAATTGATGTATAATTTACATCACCAGTAGTATTAGTGTCACTGTCATCACAATCTTTGCTTGGCTGGAAGGCAGACATGTAGGCAGCAATGCTATGGTGTGACTCTGATATATTTGATGTGATCAAGTGTTGCATGAGCCTCCAACCTTAGGGGGTATATGTTTTGGAAGAGCAACCAATAGCCCTGGGAGTTCTGGTTGACCTTGAAATGCTTTGTACAAGCCTTGCCAATGGGTGGGGGGATAATGGGAGTCTGGGGGATCGCAGGTTCAGATGCATAAACTTTTTTGGCTTGGGAGGGAGAAGCAGGTGTTGTGGCATTGAATAGGTTGGATGACAGGGGTTGAACAGCTACAGTTGGTGCCACCAAGGCTCAGTCACCACAATAAGTAGTAGACTCAGAGGACATATTACAATAAACGATGTATCTAGTCGAAAAAATTCATGAGCAAATAGTAGACAGGTGTCTATGGAAGTATTGAAGTTACTAATACTATTATGGCATAGTAAGAGGGGCCCACCACAAGTGGTACTATCCGATTCTGAGTCAATGCTCAGTGACTATGAGTTGGTGATCACAAAGGAGCCCAGTGTCAAGCCTCAGGTTGACTCACCTTTGAGGCCTTGGCGTACCAAGTGTTTCAACACTGGAAAAGTTGGATCAGCCTCTCAGTTAAGGAAGGTTGGGGATGCTGTGATCGATGCTCCAGCAAGACGCACTGGTAAGGGACAACAGTTTGTTATACCTGATGGAGAGCCAGAGAACATCATAGCACCATCTCCAGTGAAAAAGAGAACTTGCATGAAGGGTAGTAAAGCAGTCAGTTCTATGACATGAAGCTACACATTCCATCATACTTGAAATTCCATAGGCTGTACCGGCGGTTAGGATACCAGATCCATCCGATGATACAGGTCAGGTTCCACACCTACTCTGCATGTTGCAGAGAATGGTGGAAGGTTCAGGTTACAGAAGAACCCCATTCCTCCAGGTTACGTCAGTTTGCAGCCATTGGGGTTGGAGGAGCATCCTGGGTGTCCGTATGCAACTGCACGGGTATGGGTAACCCGCACGGGTCACAGGTAAGGGTACACCTGGGGTACGGGTGGGGGTTGCCTTTCATGGCACCCATACCCTTACCCATACCCGCACACGGGTTAGATCATCCAAACACCGGCAGCAAGCACTCAGTACCACAGGCACGCGACTCACTGGACGCCATGTCACAATTCGCACCCCACCCCCACCATTTGTGCCGCCATTGGCGCATACCACAACACCACCACCACCAATGACCACCACACTGCGTCCAATGCCACCAGCACCATGCGCAAATGCCCAACGCACACCAGCAAATGCTGACGTGGCGTGAACACTCGTGGACAACACCAGGACACCGAAGATACAAAAAGGACAAGAGGTGGCACTCATTCTTGCTCATCGCACTCTCGTTCTCACTTGCATGCAGCGCATGTAGACTCGGCTCTGGATGGGGAGTCGCAGTGAGTGAGTCTGTTGATCCTCCTTCGAGTTTGAGCCACGCTGATACAAGTTGGTGCCTGTCGTTCATAGTTCGTGAGTCCATTGTCCTCCTTCGAGTTCAAGTTCAAGTCCGAGTTCAAGCTGTTGCCCGCCGTTCGCCGTTCATGAGTCCATCAATCCTCCTTCTACTCGAGCCATGCTGATCGAAGTCATTGTCTGCCGTTCACAGCATGTTGATCCTCCTTCGAGCTTGAGCCATGCTCCTGCCAGTGGTGAGTTTTTTTTAAATTGAACTCGCATATACTACAGCTAATAACATCTACACCGTGTCATAGATTTACCCTATAGTATCTGTAACCCGCGGGTACACCCTTGATGGGTTGTACCCTGGGTCCTTACTTCGCTACCAACTGTGCAACCCATACCCTTGCTGTGGGTGTGGGTTTACCTCAGGGTGCAGGTGTGGGTTGACCTGCTGACACCCGGGGGTTCACCCATGTGGATCCCTAGGTGTCCAAAATCTTATATTCAGCAGGACCAGCCAAAAACAATCCACCTGGTGTCGGTTGTTAAGATGGGAGTGAAGTGGGCCGCTTCTAGAGGCTACTGAGAGATTAGAAGAGATTAGACTAGAGTCCAGAGTAAGTTGCCAATCTATTGAATGGTGTAGTAAAGTTATACAGTACCTAGAGTCCAGAGTAAGTTGCCAAAGAGACAGGGAGCACTGGACTCTGGGATATGGGATATGGGCGATGTATGGCAAACAAATGTAAACAGACAAGCCACAATCAAAAGGTAAGTAATAACTCGACCTAGGGACGTCCTAGGGAGGTCAGGAAGTCATGTAAATAATAAGTAAAGTGTCAGGAATAATACTATGAGTATGAAGGCACAATAAGACACATAGAAGGCATAGAAATGCGTACTGTAGAGGTGAATGATCATATAACTAACAAACTCTCACCTAACAAACACATGGACAAGAACAAGGATATCAGACACATCCAGTCTTGCCAAGGTGAAGCAGAACAATGGGTGGCCTGTCTCAATGGTCGATGATGCTGTAGTAATATAAACATACAAAGGAAAATATACATGCCAGACACAGCCCAAGACCAGAGCTCTTCCTCGAGCTTCTCGCCATGATATTTGTCATCTGTGACCTACTTGAGTGTCTGCATTAGTTTATGGTACACCCTTTCAGAATCTCGCAAGGCCGTTTGCTTTGTGTTCATGTGATCATACATTGAGTAAACATGAATAACATTGTGAACCTGAAATAGTAATATAAATCAATAGTTGTACTGATTCAGTAAGCTTACGATGGTCGCAACAAGGAGAAGGGCCTTGTGAGGGATGGCATTACGAAATTCAGCAAATTGTCATAACAATTTTGAACCACTATCATGGAATGCTTGAAGGCAAACAGAGGAGATGCCGCTGTGTGCAAAGTTAGAAGTGGGTGCTGTCAATAGCACCAATGACATCAGCAAAGTAGGGGTAACACTTCAGATTTTGGGAGACTTCAGGAGGTATTGGACTTGTTGCATCAGGTAGCCAGAGGAGGCAGTGGAAGCCTCTGGAAGCCTACTACTTCTGGTCAATAGCATTGATTGTTCCGAAGGAATGAATCTGATTGGAGAGGGTGGTTCATCTGGCACCAGTGGGACATGAGGGTTTGGATGCTTGATAGTGTCAAGCACTTTCTCTGATTCCTGACAGGCTCCAAGTCAGTCCAAGCATGAAGGTCACAAGAACTGGTCTAGGACTTGAAGTCCTTGTGGCCTTATAGAGGTCTAATTTCTGATGCATGTTGAAATGCTAATCATTACCCAAATCATTCTATATCATATCTGACTCAATACACACCAAACCCGAAAACATGAGACATCGGACATTGGACTTCGCACATTGGACTACCAGATATTGCATGCACTTGTCCTACCTATGTCCAGTCTCATTGCACTATCCCGACTAGGTGTGTAGTTACTTGTTTTCACATCCCTGACATTGTCGACCGTGTTATTACATGTATTCCCATCATCCGCAGTAATCATGTCTTATTACATAGGACATCAGATCTGAAAATATTGCGCTACTACTTTTGCCTATCGGGTTCCGGATTTCTACCTATCTACATAAATATTCCAGCCTCCTTGGGCAATGTGTATGCCCTGGCCGGCCAGCCTCCTTCTCCCATATGATGATGAAGCCTGCTGTGGGATATCTTTCTCAGATAGGGACAATTGAGCATACAACAGCAAACATCGAAAAGCTAGCTTGTCAACTAGTTGGATTGCCTGCCATAATGTGAATAAATCTCAACACGCATTCCAAAAAATGCACTTCATCTTCCATCACGATGAGCTCCATTATATATTCCATTAGTCCCTCCTTCGTAAATACAGCCAGTTTTGAAACCAGGCTGCCATCAAGAGTTTGTTGTGTTGCAGTGAGGTCTTTGCCAGGTGGAAATGCACAAGAGTGCATGGTAATGGCTGCAGCATCACAATGCTCCTACTACACTTGAAAGTGGGTTTGTTTGTAGCAAACTATTTGTGTTCGCAGTGTTGAAGTCCCTCCGCAAAATGTGTGTTTGTGTGCTGGTTCACCAGCATCCCTTGTGCAAACATGTCAAAAAAGAGATTGAAAAATAAACAAACAACTTACTTTCACAGGGTACAGACCCACCCATCAGGAATACAACTGAATATAGTCCAAATATCTGCTGTACATTCACTTTCAAAACCTAAATACAAGTATCAGCAAAGGAAAACATTCAGGACAATGAGAGAGGTACATATCAGCCTCCTCCTCATTGTCCAGTTGGGGGATCAGCTTGTTGGAGGATGCTGGATCAGGAGAAGGGATGTCTTCATTGTTGGTGTCCAGAAGGGATAGGACGCATATAGTGGCTTTTTTGATGGGCACTGGAGGGTCTATAATGCTTGACAAAGCACATTTCCTCATGCTGGAGCCGGATGCTGACAGCCCACAGGTATTGTCAGCATGATGAACATGAGCTGAGGGATTTGAAGGATGGCCAGACCACTGAGAACCAGCTACAACAGTGGCTGGGATATATCTAGCCTTGGTCCTGTCATCTATTTTGATGTTAAGGATGCAATAGTAGGTGATGGGTCCACTTGTTGTGTCTGACCCATCCATAGTAACCATGGGGAAGGGTTTCAAAAACTTATGGGTTCAGATTTGGAGTAGTTTGTAAAATGATTTGCTAATGAAGGTTCTGGTGGCTCCAGAGTCAATAACCATGGAGGTGTCAACACTTCTTATATGTTCCTCAGAAATGATAGTGGCAGGGATTCTGAGCTCCTTTCTATTTCCAAGGGATTGTACAAGTCATATAGGGGTAGAAAGTACTGATCATGAGGGAAAACCTCCTATGCTAACTTCGATGTGATTAGACATAATTGACATAATTAGCAATAATTATGTAGTTTAGCAGATTATGAGAACTCTTTTACTGCCTTCTAAGAGCATGTTCAGATAGAAATATTTGCATGAAGATTTGAAATATTGATCACACAGTTTCGTCAGCATTGTCCTGAATGTTGTTCGGAGCTTAAACCTTCCTTGTCTCCTACTGTACATACTAATTGATAGAGATCTCTTGCTCCTCCTCCTTTGATATCCACCAGCACAATAGACTGATTGCTAGTGTCATCGCAATCACTGTGATCTGTACTCAATATACCAATCTTATCATGGCTCAACCTGAGGCCCATGAAATCCCTACAAGGCACACACCTGTGCACTGGAGAAATGAAGAAATCACCGCGCTTGTTAATCATATGTACAATAACTGTGCAAGTGGTGATACCTCCAGCAACTTCAAGCCGCAGGTGTATACTTTTCTGCACTAACAGTTATCAATGATGATCCCAACTTTCAACCATTGTGAATTGGTCCAGCAAAGACCGTCAAGATGGTGAAGAGCAAGTGGGCATCAGTGTGTCCATCCAACTCCGTCCTTCACTCACTTTACTGATTCAATATTTCAGCTTAAGTCTATTCATCACGCTATCGATAAATCCCCCAACCAGACCAGTATACACTGGGACAGTGCCAATGGAGCTGGGATCCATGGCCCTGCAGCGTCCGCTGTGTGGGATTTGTATGTTGTGCTCAGTGTACGTCGGCCCCTTTTATTTTTCAAATAAAAGCTGACATTTTTAGTCCAATTCTCACATGTGTCCATTTCGCAACACAGGCTGGCCTTACTTTGAGAAAATGCAGGAAATAATTCCCTTGGGTGGCACTAGAGGGTGCCATGCTTTCCAACCAGCTGTTATGGGTCCTCCACCAGTAGCAGACGCTGATGAGGATGAGCCTGGCCTTGCTCAGGCTCCAGCCCTCTCTTCTGCCAGTCCTTCCTCCACTAGTGGTCCTTCCACCACTGCCAATCATTCATCTGTCACCGGCCCTTCATTCACCACCAGTCCTCACTCTAACACTGGTGCCAAGCGCCCTTACGAGGGTACCAATTTTGATTCTGTTGAGACTACTTCATTTGTGTTGACCCATGATTCAGCTCAGCCGGTCTCCACCACCTTGGTGTCCGCCCCCCCTCAAAGAAAGCACATTCGCATGTCTCTCAGAAGATGACCAATGCGGCCAAGATGAGCAGTGCAACACAGGCCACCAAGATCACACCTGCTGCTGCCGTGATGGGAATGCAGGGCACTGTAAACCATCTGACAGATGTCTTTGAAAGATTCATTGTTAGTACCATGAATAGTGGTACCCTTCCGCCTCCGCCTCCACCTGGGCCTGAGCCTGAGGGCAGCATGGACTTGGTGGCACGCACAGCACACCTACTGCAAACTGAGGATGCCGGCATGCCTCCTGAGCAGTGCACTGTCTTGATAATGGTCCTTGGTGAGAAGAACAACGAGAGCTTCCTGAAATTCTATGTGTCCCTCATGGACAAAGAAACCAGGTGTCCGTTTATTCAGAAGCTCATCACAGATGCAATGGCGGGCTGAAAATATATCATGTACCTTGTTCTTTACCACTTGCTTTCATTTCAATGTATGTACAATACTACATGTTCACAACTGTTGCAATGCATCAATGTTTGTCTGATTTTGGAGGCTACAAAGTGGTACTCGAAGTGTGAATTATTCTGAAGCAAAACTGTCCTGATCCTCATCAAAAGTGTCCTCAAGGTCCTCATCCCCCTCATCCTCATCATCAAGATCTATCCCTTCAGGTATATTCTAATAAGATGCGCTGATAGTCATTCCACATCGCAGATCCTTGATGAAACTCAAGTTTGTTACCTTCTTCGATAGCCGCAATATTGTCTTCTTCTTCGGCATTTCCACCAGAATATCCACCCTGCCAGTCTTCATTGTCATCTTCATTATCGGCCTCGTTGGTGGGGATGTTTGTGGGATCATGCACGTGGATGAAGTTGTGAACAGCGCACAGTGCGGCGGGAATTCACACTTGCAACTCCATGGCATATGCAGGTGGCAACAGCAAGATCTGAAAACGATGCTTCAAAACACCAAAGATGCACTTGATGATGTTTCTTGCTGATGCGTGTTGCAAATTAAATAGTTCTTCTTTATTAGCAGGCCTGTAGGGAAGATGAGTTCCAAATTGAGCTTGATTCAAGTAAAAGGACCTACCTAGTGTTTGCATGTCCCCATTCAGCTAGGTGATAGCGCACACCTCAGTATGGCACAAGTAGGCTGGGACAGAGTGGATAACCCACATCTGCAAGAAAATACATGTGTAGGGAACTTTGAAGTCATTCAGGCACGCATCTTCATAAACACAAGTGTCCGTTGCAGAGCCTTCCCAGCTGGTGAGTGTGTAGGTAAATTTGAGATCGAAATCACACGCAAAAAGGCAATTTTGAGATAGGAACCCCTTCCGATTATGATACACAGCACGGTCAGTAGCCCTGGGGGTCACCTGAATATGGTTCCCATCTATTGCACCAATGGCGCCTTTAAAAAAAGGCCACCCTTAGGGTTTCTGCAGACTTTGTGAGGGACAGACCTATCAGGACACTGGACATATGTTGAATAGAAGAATGGTTCAGAGGAGAAAGCAATGAGGATCTTGCAAAAGTAGCTATGTGCTAGAGTCAAATATCCACTGCATCCTAGATAAAAAACAATGTACTTAGATATTGTTTTGTTTGAGTGTTGAAATCTCTCCCCGACATGTCTGACTGATAGGCCGGTCACCGAAGTGTAAAGAAAGATAGTGAGTTGTTCCTCAAGGGAGATGAATTTGGAATCTGAGTGGCCCATAGTGCGAAGCTGAGTGATAAGCTCCACAAAGGCAGGGGTGTGCATGCCAAGTTCACAGCGGATGCGCTCTGGGTGACCAGTTAGTAATTCAATAACCCAGTCCTGCCCAGAGAGGGCCAAGATGTGATATGGTTGTCGGTCCTTGGGATGAGTCAAAGATGTGACATGGTGCCACTTCACTTAAACATTTCAAACCACAAGTCACATGATACAAACAAATATGTACAAATGTTGGACTTTTTATTCGCTCAAACTACAAGTCACATGATACAAACAAACACACACAAATGTTGGACTTGGATATTTTAAAATTTTGTTGCACACTCACAGTGATCAATTTATCAATGATCACACTATTCAGGTGTCGAGTTTCTCAATATCTGTAGATAGGCATAGTTTTATGACCCTTAGGTAGTACTCTATAACTTGGCAATAATTACATGTATGTTATAAATGATATTGATATCTAGCTTTAATTTGTGATAGTTTATCTGACTTAGAAGAGTTAGATGTATTTTGTCTATTTATATCTAAATTAGCACAGGAGGTTTTCCCTGATGATGTTAATGCAGTCTTTCTTTCTAAAAATCCTTTCTGGTGAAGTGGCAGCTTTCAACTTTGTTGTCACTGCTTTCCTCTCACTTTTCTACCTTCCTGTAAATATGTACTTTCATCTTCTTGTTGCAAAAGCTAGATTCCTTTTTGAAGCAGCAATTTTTGACTTCATCATTGCTGCTGTTTTCTTCGTCTTCTTTCTCTATTTTCCTTCAGATTAGCGCCTTTTCTTTTCTGTCATGAGGGTGGAATTCTGCATCATTAGCATGGTGGCTGACTTCATGGCATTTGAAGTATCTCTCTTCCTTCATGTGCCTTTTGATGTCTTTCTCTGATAAGCTGGTCTACTTCCATAGCATTGGGGTTGTGGCTGGAACAATAGTTTCTTCCACCAAAGTTCTTCTTCTTATTTTTCTGGTGTGGAATGCTTCTTGTGTTATAATCCTTCAACCTCTGAAAGCAGTTATTGAAGTTAATGCATGTGACAATAAGGATGTCAAAGTCATTAAAAATACCACCTATTTTATATAGAGACTCTTACAGAGTTCAGGGTTTAATTTACCACAGAAGAATTTAGCTTTGGAGGAGTTCTCATGTACTCTGGCCTTATGAGCAGAAAGGCAGAAGTCAGTGATGTAGTCTTGGAGATCTTCATCCTTCTGGTCAAGGCCTCAGAGCTTCAACATGGTGGTGTCTTCAGGGTCAATTACTTCAAAGTTCACTCATTTTCTATAGCCTATTACAGTCCAGAAGGTGTCTTTTCTGGTCTGATCTTGGGTAGCCCTCATGAAGTCTTCCTTTCATAGAGCAGCACTTCCTTTGTTCATGAAGGACAAGACAAAGATGACTTTTTTCTTGTCTTCATTGTAGATTTTGTCATTGATGTTGAGGTAGGCATTGAATAAAATATGTCTTTGCTAGAGGTCATTATTGAGTTCAAAGGAGGTATTAGTGGTAATGCTCCTAGGTTTAAGGCTGTGATCAAAGGAGTCAATGAAGTCATAGCTGGTTCAAGTATTGATGACACAGATGGCGGTATCTAAAATGAGTAAATTTAAATCTTTTGTTACAACTGAAATTAGTCGTATCATATAAGTCCAAATGGACAGTCATCTAGTATTTACTAGATAAATGAATGTGGTTCTTCTCTTGACTAAGAGTTCCAGCTAAGGTAAGCGGTAGTGACTTTCTTAGAATAGAGGATCAGACAACTAAGGTGGAGACTTAGTTGAATAGGAAGCTCTAGGTATAACCCAGTAGATTCAAGTAGAGAAATACAGTAGTACATGAATGTCTTATATAGATGAAGTCCAAGCAGAGCTTGTAAATGACATATTAAGATGAGAGAACATGAGGCGGACAGCCTGCTTGATGAGAGATAGTAAAGATAGTGTAGGCAGCTCGCTTAGGTAAGAAGAAAAATGAATAGGGAGAGAAATGTTATTGTAACACCAGATACTTCAGAAAATATCAATTCTGAAATATGATGTCATATAGCTCCACAGTAAGTTCTAGACTATTCTGTTGGAAATTATGATATAATGTATGAAGTTATAATGATATCATAGGCTCTAGAATGTTCTTCTACACTCTAGCTTCACTATAATGTCATTTCTGATATCATTGCCCTATCTTTTATTTGTATTTTATACTTGTATTATGCTTTACCCAATATTATGATTGGTTCTCTCTTTATTTTATTATTTATGAACCTTTCCCACACAAAATGTACATAAGGAGAGCCTATTCTCTCCTAAAACATAAAGATCCCTCCTCTGGACAAATATTTATCACTAATAAGAGAAGCCCGGAAACAAGACATCTCACTTGTTAAGATCTCCCATTTGTAGCAGAATAAGTGCAGGGAAATGTATCCTTTGAGAATACAAGTTTCTTATAATAAGAAACTTATGTTACTGTTTTTTTGATCAACCAGTCTTTGGTCAATGTGATTTTAGAGACCACTGTTTCTTTTGTTTACTGTTTATTTGACCAACTCATGTCTTGGTCAATGTGATTATTCTTGAGACCATTGTCTCACCTGTGTAACCTTGGTTCACAACTAAATACAAATGTCAGATGACAATAAAGATATTTCACATCAGCCTCTTCCTATGACTTCTCTCCCCAAGGCAAGGGTTCTGAAGGCGTTATTGCCTTTTTATTTGCCTAAAAATTGTATTCCTGTCCCCATGGCAAGGCTTCTAATGAGGTGTCTGCTTCATCTTTTGTATATTCTGCGTCAGAATGAATGGGAAATTAAGAATTTGAGACTTAACTGAAGGCATAAATGACACATAAACATGCCTCTGGGCTGTTATTCTTAGTGTTCTGACAATTCTCCCGGGTTTAGGATTGTCAGAATGCACATAGTCATTGTGGTGATTGTTAGTAGTCTTGCATTCAGGAAACATGTCATATGATCAAACATCAGTGTTTGAGGTTGATTGATAGACATGTTGGAGTCAAATGCAGGCATTTGATATTAATTGAGATAAGGTTTTGGATTCAAATACAAGTGTTCAATGTTTATTAACAGAGGGTTTTGGATCAAACACAAGAGTTTGATGTTTATAGACAGAGGGTTATGGCATTGAAATCAAATGCAAGAGTTCGATGCTGGATGTAAGGATGTCTGGTCAAAATTGCAAGTTTAAATGAAAGCAAGTGAGACATGCAATGGATGAACTTAGTATACTAGTAAGGACTGTGGATGAAATGAATGTGGAAGAAAACATGTGATCCTGACTAATTTGATCCACAAATGGCAATGTATAAATGAAATAATCAAAAACCACATATCTGAAAATATCTAAATCTGACTACAATACAAAACTTCCCTGATGAGCTTCAGTTGGTGTAGTAGTACAATATATATAGTATAATTATTATCACTATGAAATAAACTCTTCCAAAATTGCCCAAGAAACCATGTATTTAGCTAACAGAGTGTCCAACATACAACTATCATTATGGGCAATGTGCACTAAACTATGATGATGATAAAATGCTAAAATAACTTGATACAAGGAACAACATCAACCTGTAAATACACCACATTACTGTTAGTTATATGATCATTTACCTCTATAATACACATCTCTATATATATTTATATATAATTGTGTCATCATACTTATGGTACCATTCCTTGCACTTTG